ATAATAAATATTTGCATCCATTACATATAAAAGATTAAAATATTCAGTTTATACATCTAGATTTCTTTAATTTAAGCCTTGCTAAATTCAGTATACGATGATAAGTGAAGAACTCATAATGAATTGATGTAATGTTTCATTTCAACTATGGCAGGATCAGTAAATATATTCTATTTGATCTAAATCATTACTAGAGAAAATGTTTAGAAGATCAAAGAATATTTCTTTTCTGAAATAACACCGCAATATTGTATAGACTATCACAAATCATATTCCAAAGAGAACGTCCATCTACTGACTATGTTGAGCTTATTCTTATAATAATAAAACTATTTTAATGTTTTTGTTGATCCTAAATAAACTTGCTAACATGTATATATATGAATGTAACGAAAATATTCTTCATTGAAAGATAGATGTCACTAAATGATAATCAAATAATGTTAATATATATACAAACTTTCTCGTTTTGTCGTAATAATCAACCAATAAACTTGCATTGCATTTAGGTAACTAATTTCTTCGATCTGATCATATCCAAATAGTTTTACTACAGTCTTGAAGATAGTAATATCATGAGTTCTCGTAAGTTGTCATTCCTCAATTTAATTTATGTTTTTATTCATGTACCTTAATATAGGTGGTCCAATGCGTCTTTCGAAAACCTATCCTCATCCTCAACAACAGCAACAACCACCAGCACAACAACAACAACAACAGTATCAACAGCAACAGCAACAACAACACCAACAACAGCATCAGCAGCAGCAACCTTCTCAATTCTATCAACCTACAGCTCCTTACCGTTTGTATCTTTTCTAATTATTTACTAATGTTTCTATTTTTTTTTATCGTATCATTTAGCTCCAACAGAAGCATCACCAAACTATGGAGGTGATTATCCCATGCCTCAACCACAAATATCTTCAGGATATGGAACCGATTACAATGCACCTCAATCACAAGCAGCTCCTTCTTATAATAATGCATTTTTTTCACCACAAACTGCATTCTATGCGCCATCATCTCAACAACAACAAATACCATCCAATCAACCTATGCCTGGCATGGAATATCTTTCTAATAATCCTCTTTTTAATGTTGGTTTAAATGTTGTTGAACAAGGCATGAAAGATTTCACAGGCAAAACTGTTAACATGTTACCAACTGAAGTAAGGAAAAAACCTTTATATTTCTTTTCTAATTTCTACATCAAAATAAATTTAGATGAAAAAATCAATATCATCAATAAAATATTATTTTGCTGTTGATCAAGCTTATGTATTCAAAAAACTTTGCTTACTTTTATTTCCATTTCGACCAAGAGTAAAAAAATAAATATTCTTCAATAAAATGTATTCATTTAATTTATTTTTATATAGAATTGGTCATTGGCATATAGTGCTGATGAACCCGTACCACCACGTGTTGATACAAATGCACCGGATTATTATATTCCATGTAAATATAAAAACATTTTTATATTTTATATATTTTTTTTTTAATCTTTTTTAGTAATGAGTGCTATTACATATGTTCTCGTTGCTGGTCTTGTTCTTGGTACACAAGACAAGTAAAATAGTTTTTGTTTTTAATATAGATAGAAAAGAATTTTTCATTATTTTTAAAGATTTACACCTGAACAATTGGGTATGCATGCATCATCTGTTCTTGTATGGAATATAATAGAAATATGTGTTTTATGTTTTACATTTTACATCTTAAATGTTCAATCGAAATTACGTACACTTGATTTAATTGCTTATTGTGGTTATAAATATGTCGGAATGATTGCAGCATTATCATCATATTTAATAACACATTCATTATTCGTTTATCGTTGTTCACTACTTTATGTTAGTTTATCATTATCATATTTTCTTGTATGTTATTTATTTTGATTAATTAACATTTTTCATATTATATATATATATGTTTAGGTGAAATGTCTTCGTTTACAAATCTTACCTGATACAGGTGGATCTCAACCATATGGTTCAGGTGGAAGTAAACGTCGTATATATTTACTACTTCTTATTGTTATTCTTCAACCATTATTCATTTGGTATTTAACTCGACATTTGATTGTTGTTTGAAAAAGAAAAACAAATAAAATTATTTATCTTTTTTTTTCTTGGCTTGTTTTATGTTTTTTTCTTCGACACATATATATATACAAGGCATGCGTTTTAGATAATAGTAAAAGGAGACAAGAGAATGTGGGAAAACTTCCTAAAACCGTTTTTAACAACGACAAATTTTGTAACATCATCATTTTTTATTCGTCGTTCATTTAATACTCTTTGGCATATGCATACAAATACATTATGGATAACAGGTGTACGTCCTCAACCTAAAAGTAAAATGGACGAACAACCAACAATGCGTGGTTAGTATTGATAAAATTTCTCTGTTCAATTCTTCTGAGGATGGTTAAATAAATTGAAGTATTGTAACTGAAATTGTATGTCAGATTCCAGATTTCTATGCCTTCGGATTCGCTATATTCAATCATTATTGAGGAAATAATTACCCACTATTTTGATCATAATACTTATATATTGCAAAGCAACTCGCATGTTATCAATTTGAAAAAAATGAGAAAATACAACAAGGTTGCACTTCATAATAGTAAACAATCTGTCTGGATTTTTCATTAGTACTAAAACCTATACCAGATTATTTTATTTAATCATAATTCGTCAAATCATTTAGATGTCCCACATACTCATATTTCAGATAGATATAGGAGATAGTAGAGTGCATATAATATAAGAAGCTAACCAAGTATGTAATAAATAAATATAGAACGTACCAGACGACTCAGTAATCAGTGCACAATACTATAATGTAGAATTGGTAGTTTCATAAAATGTTCTTTTGGCTGATAGATAATAAATAACGTGAAGTCTTATGTTACTGCTAAATGATTGGGAGTAAATATAGTTTATAGACGTTTTATATTGATTCCTACAGTATTACTGAAAAGAAGAATCAACCAGTTTAGTTTAGTATGGAAATTTAGATCGATTTTTTAGCATTTTCATAAATATATACATTCTACTAGAGTCTCAAAATAACATATTCAAATAGTCTATTTTTTATATTTTAGGTATTGTCCTTAAAACTCTAATTCGAAAACCAAGAAAACCAAATTCAGCTAATCGTAAATGTTGTCGTGTTCGTTTAGCTAATGGACTTGAAATTATTGCACATATTCCAGGTGAAGGACACAATCTTCAAGAACATCATAGTGTTCTAGTACGAGGTGGACGAACAAAAGATTTACCGGGTGTTCATTATAAAGTTGTTCGTGGTAAATTAGATTGTAATTTACCCGTAAAAAGACAAACAACATTACCTGCTAGTGCTAGTACAAAATAATGTTTATTTTTTTGTTTGATCGTGTTATTTTTTTGTTTTATTGATATTAGAAAAGAAAAATTATTTGCTCATAAAAACACACAACTAGTTTTATCCACTTCCAAAAAGAATAGGAAAACGTTCAATAGCTTTTAAACATTGTTTTTGTAAACGAGATCGCTCAAGATCTTGTTTAAAACGATGCATATCAATATAAAAATATTGAGCAATATCTTTGAGATATTCTAATACTATTTGTTCTTTTAACCATGCTGGATAATCATCAATAAAGCAATAGACTGATGCTAAATATTGAAAAGTATTTGATAAATTCTTTTCTGATGTAGTTGCACTATTAACATATACTAATATTGAGAAGAAATTTATAATAATAATAATGTAACGTATTGCTTTCATTTTGAGATAGTAAAGCTTATAAATTGAATAATAGAATGGTTGATAAATGTTTATTGATTAGAACAATATTGATGATACATTTAATGACCTATCAAAAAACGAAGATATGTATTATGTTATATTACAATATTATATCTTATTTATCATTAACTATAAACATTTAAAGAATCAGTATATCATCAGTTTTAGGACAAACAATTTTACTTAATAATGTCCTAATTTATTTTGTACATTTCTTTGTGTCAGTGAGTCTGTATGGTTTCTACCACTTTTCAGAAGAAGAGTATTCAATACCAATATCCTGAAGGTAGGGCTTGTTTTTATTTTTTTAATAATCTATTTAGACGTAAAATCGTTGAACTACGTCATTTTTTTTAGATATATCACTTATACAAAGAGTATCTCGTTATAATTTAGAATAAATTCTTAATTATAATTTTCATACATTTTCCTAGTATAAAATGTTGAAACTTTTTTCCCATATATACCTAATAAAGATCTTATACACTATGAAAATATGCGACAAGTAATATATTTCAATTTTATCGTTATAATTTATCAGTAGTTTAAGGACATTCATTTCTCTACATCAAGAAAAAGTATAAAAAGTATCAGTAACAATTGATCATGAATTATTGTTTATATTTGTGAGATACTCGTAAAAAGGGTGAGTGTGGGTTATCACTAGAAACTTTTATATATGCTTATATGAATGGTATCACGTAGTATATGTAATATAAATAAGAATTTTAACTATCAGTCTAGAAAAACTAAAACCATGAAAAGCACTATGCAACTTGCTTACCGTTTGATCTTTTTATATTTCTAATTAGTTTATAACAACTTTTAGCCCCTTTTATACTACAGAAACCTCTCTTTTATAAGCAATATTGTAAAATCATGCTCTTTTGTTTTCAAAACTACTCGAAATTATGACTTTCAAGACGAACATTTGGTATACATGAATTTTCTCAATTATTTTAAATGTATATTTAATTAATCGAGGGCGGGGAAAGGTTTAGTAGTAGAAATACCAACAAAACACTTTACAGAATATTATTGTTTTAAAATAAGAGAATACATTTGTTAAGAATACAATAGATTATGAACCTACCAAAACTTGAAAGCATTTAAACACCCAGTAGATTCAAATAATAAATTGACAAGATCAAGCTTGAAACAGTCTCGAATTATTAGTTGTTAAACTTAGGATAAATACGAGATATTATATTATTTTTTTTCTTCATAATTACATGAGGACAGAAATATGAGATTGATGTTAAATATAGAAAATTCAATAGAAATTATCAAATTTCATCAAACATCTTTCTTCTATTTATAACTCCCACTCATCACTGATCGTAGATATATTTAGATTTACTATTTATAATTTTTATCCAATTTAATATTAATTGTTCCAGAAAATAGTTCTAATATTACATAGAACTATTGATCATTTATCATAGAAGAAAATTTATATTTATCATTTGTATATATTAGCTCTATATGTATTTAATAATCAATCAATAGAATATTAATTAATCAAGCATATGCGTCATATTTTCTTTTTTAATCTATAAAAAACATGCATATGTATACAGATGTTTACCACTGAAAGAAGAAGAACAACAGGAAATTATTTTTTTTCCTATGATGATAACCATATTCTTTCTATTCATTCTTCATTGACATGCGATTCATCCACCTCCTCCTCCGCATCATACTAGATGAATCAGCTATTTTGCTCATATTTGTTTTTTTCTTTTTCTCTATTGTTGATAGCGAATGACGAATCGAATGACTCGACCAAGAAGAACGAATAGACGGGGTGAGAGTAGAAAGATCGAATGATTTGTTTCTCTGTTTTTTTTTCTTACTACATGCATGATTCATATATGCACATCACATATCTAAATAAATATATATAACACTGTTTTTTTTCGAGTAAATCATAGAATTCTTTTTTTTTGTTACATTTCAAGATGAATTTATTCAGTCGCAAAAGTGTTATACCACCTCCATCACTCAGTCCATCACCATCGATTGGTAGTGCTGCTACAGCTGGACCGGAAGCATTTGCAAATAATTCAGCATATGGTCGAGGTTTTTTTGAACCAGGAGCTTATTCAATTGCATTAAAACGATGTGAAAATGGTCATGATCTTGCTCAACAATTGGCAGATATGTACGAAGAACGAGCACAACTTGAATTAGTTTATACAAATCAATTACGTGCTTGGTCGCGTAAATGGCATGGAGAATTAGTAAAATCACAAGAATATGGAACGAATAAAAAAGTTTGGGATCAATCAGTAACAACAGGTAATTTCATTTTAACGTGAATAATTTTTTTTCATTGTAAAAAATAATTTTTAGGTGAACAAATGGCTGATGTTCATGGAATATTATCCTCGTCACTTACGGATTCTTTAATACCAAAACTTCGACAATGGCGTAAAGATAATTATGAAAAATCTCTTGTACATTATAAAAAAACGAAAGAATTTGAAAAAGATTTTATTGATGCACAAAAATCATGGGCGAAATTATTAGATAAAATATCTGAATATAAATCATCGTATTATTCAGCATGTAAAACAGCTAAATTAGCAGATAATGCTGAACGTACAGCTACAGAAGAACAACGAAGAAAATTAGCTGATAAAGCTGAAGTTGCAAGACGTGAAGTTGGATTTGCTAAAACGAAATATGAACAAGCAATAAATGAAGCAAGAGAACAAAGATCAAGTTATGAAACAGCCATGAAAAATGTTTTCGAACGAACACAAACATTCGAAAGAAAACGTCTAGATTTTTTTAAAGAAACATTTGATGAATATTCTAAAGTAATAGAAACAGCGACAATAGACAAGTATGTTTATTAGAAAAAAAAACAAATCATATAATAATTTTTCTTGTATTTTTAGTCCAATTTTAAAAAAAATGAATGAAGATTATCAAGCAAGTTTAAATATGCATAGTTCGGATCAAGATTTAACTTGGTGGGATCAAAATTATGGTACACAAACAAATAATCGATGGCCAGAATATGAAGAATATCGTGATTGATTATAAATTTTTGTGCACTTTATCAATTGATAATCAGACAACTGCTTTTTTTTCTCCCCTTGCACTTACCTTAAACTAGTTTAACTGTCTTATATACTATCTGTTTTGTTTTTCTCTAACCAGATTGTGGATTTTTGTTGTTGTTTTTTTTATATGTGCAAAAAACAATAGAACATTGGGTTATCTTCTTTTTTCTGTTGGATAGAAATTTTCTGATATCTTTTTCTCGGCAATTTTCATAATAAAAAGAGATGAAGATATGTGTTTAATTAAATTATTATGTAATCAATTTAGATAAAGCTTGATTGTAAATAGATAAAAATTTTGATAACAATCATATTAAAAAATAATTAGTGCATCGAAATTAAGTTTTGTTATGAAAATCTTTCGAGAATTGAGATACATGTTGATTCTTAACTATTTAAATAAGTTAGTAACAAGCGATTATTTGACTTCTTTTTAAGGTCAAGTGTTGATCAAATACGCATAAATAATGTCACTTTACTCTTCTGTATGAATAATATCCAAAGGTAAGCAAATAATAAAAATGAAGTATACTCATAGTAAGAGTTTCGTTTATACAACTAAAGTCATGTTGTTTTATATTAAGATTATTATTTATTGGATCATAATCGTTTTCTTTTGAATTTAGTTGAATATTGTAGTGTATTATTAACCCGAAAGGTTATCGAAAAGATAAGTATTCTAATGGCTAATATTTCCTAGCAATAAAATATCAATTTCATTTCTACTCATTGATATAGTTTATTTTCAAATCAAGCATGTTATAAACAATGCAGATCAATTATGATTTCATTTAGATATTCAGGGGTCAAGCTGTTCTTTCTCAAATACATTCCGTTTTTCTTTCATCTATACATAATAATTAATATAGACCAAAATGGCCATTCTGTTAATGCTTTCTATTTATTCGTTTTTTTTGTAATATTAATACTACTAGTGGCCAATGCCGTTGATCATTATAAGAGAAGTGTCTACTATATAACACTTGAAAACAATGATATCGCATACATACATCTTTATATATACATATATCGCCAATGTACATTCCATTGTTATCTACCACTTTTTCATCTCTATTTTTCTCTTAGTATCAGTAGTTGCTTGCAGCTCTCTGTTCTCAGACACAGTCGATTCATTCTTTGTGCATATATTCGTTGTTATATATCTTTTACATGTTTATTTATCATTCGCTTTCATTTTTACATACTGTGAAAATACGTGCTATGGGTGCTAAACTAACCAAAAGCAAAGATATTTCAATCAGCGAAAAAACTGAACAACAACCACAGAAAATAGAAACAACAACTACTGAAAATTCAAATAATCATTTGGATGCAACAACAAATGAAGATACGAAACAAATAACAAAGAAAATTAAAAAGAAGCAAGAATCAAAATCTGATAAAAAATCATCTAAAATAAAGGTCGACAAGAGTACAAACACAGAAAACTGTTTATTACCATCATCAACATTCAGTGAACAATTGGTTGGTGAAAAAATCTCTGCAATGAATAATAATGTTCTATTAGATATTAATCCAGCTCAAATTAATGAAGGTTACCAACCCGAAACACCCCTCAAAGATGTGCAAGAACTTTGGAATCGTTGTGCTCAAAATAGTATCATATCAAATGGATTACAGAATGACAAACAAGAATATTCTACAAATATTCTAAATAATACTGATGATCAGGATAATAATGAAATACAACAACAGTAATTTATCATATATCTTTGTTATAGAACATTGTTTTTTGATAATCAAGATTCATTTTTTTTTGTTTTACACATTTGTAGGTTTTTTCTATTCAAGTTATGTGTTTTTACATTGTAATAGAATATTATCTCATTATCAATTATTCTTTATAGAAAAAATTTAATTCATTTACGTAAATAATTTAGATAGTAAATTAAAAATACTTTAGTTTCTAATTTTAACTAATGTATTTCAATAAAAAAAATAACCTTCATCTTATCTGTACACGATAATAACAAAAATGAATAAGATAATAAAATCTATCTGTACTTGAATTTTATTTTAATTAAACTATTGTATGAATAAGTGTCGTATATCTTTAAATACCCAGGATTATATCTTTCTTTTGTAACATCTTTATACATCACTAAATATTCTGTCAATATTTGGATATTTCATGGTCATTTTTAATACGTAATTTAAACGAATAGATTATACAAAAAGAATTTGTATCAAATTTATATTTACAGCATTAAATTACAAATATATTTTCTTCGATTATATATGTTTAGGAGTCTCATTCATGTCACGTAAAATGCATTTTTTCTATTTAATCGTTTGTTTGCTTAACAACTAATCTTTTCTTCCTTTGTCAAAGAAGAATTTCCTATTCAACATTGACAAAAAAGGAATGTATCTTATTGAACAAATAAAACTTATTAATGATCTACATGTATCTCATGTGGTTTCATCTATAATTATAAGATTTATTTTTACTTTTTCGATAAGTATATTTTCTAATAAATAAAAAATATTCATTAATAAAGAACACATCAATAAGATTTTTTTTTTATTTCTTTTAAATCAGTTATTTTGATCATCAAACATTATTAATCTTAAGTACTCCCCATTCTTCTTTTCTCTTCTTTTTTCTGCATATAACAATAATCACCATCAGACAAACAAGAAAGAAACAAAAAAAAAAGAAAAGGGAAAGTGTATACGAGGCCGATATGACAATAAAGAAAACAGAAGACAAAGACAAATAAGCAAACAGGAATCATTCTTATGATCAAAACACAAAAAGAAAAGAGAAGTAGATATAAAATAACAGAGCAGAATAAACAAAAACACTGTTTGATAGATAATAAATGCTAAATTAATGGTTGAAATCTCGGCATAAGTCGGCTCCAGAGAATAATTGTTAGAAATATCTCCATCATAAATTTTAACGACATGAGCATAACGTGACCGGCACGTAATTGAGAAAATCAAAAATGAAAACAGATAAACGAGAATGACAGAAAGACAATTTGAAATAGAATATTTTAGACAATCTGAGATGGTTGTTTCGTAGATAATGATGATGATAGAAGATATGGTCCAGCCACTGACAATGACGAATTAGATGAAGATGAAGATGATGTCGATGATGATGACGATGATGATACTGACGAGGATACAGATGATGAAGATGATTCAACAAGAGATGGTGCAGGTGGTGGTAATGGTATAGTAGAGAGTTCTTCAGCACGTGTACCTGAACCAAGACGATATTCTTTTCCACGCCAATTTACCGTTGATGGACCAGTAAATGCTTTGAAATATATGTAAAATGATGAAAATTCTCGTACAAGCCATGCTATTGCAAATTCAAATTTCGAAAATGGTAATGGACCACCCTTAAATAAAGAAATAAAGAAAGATATGAATAAATAAATTATTTATTTATTTTCTTTTAAACACATACTTGAGTTATTCTGAGCATTAAATAATCAAGAATAAACCATATTAAAATATGACAAGCAGCAACAACAAGAGCATTCCATTCAAATAAATAATTTGTAACAATACCAGCTAATACAGCTGATGAAAAACACTCTTGTAAAGGTTCTAAATAAGCTAATGGACTTAAACGCATTCTCAATTTGCACCATCGAATCATCCGCTCTGTCCATGATGATACAGAATATTCTCCTGAATTTTGTTGTGCCGGTGTCGATGCAACACGTAATTTCCAACCTTGTTTAGCAACTTCATAGGCTATATAATAATCTTCCGCTATATAATGACCAAAAGCACGTAAACCACCTACACGATCAATACATTCTTTTCGTATTAAACATGACATTCCAGTAACACAATTTATACCAATTAAATTGATTGTCATATACATACGAGCATGTTGAGTACCAAAATAAACCTTTTTAAATCACAAAAAGAAAACAAATTTCAATTTAGAATATTTTCATTTGAAAAGAAAAATGAAAGTACATATTTGTCATTTGATTATTATTATTATTCTCGAATCAATAATAACAAAAAAAATTCAATTTAGTATTTTAGTTTAACTCTCTATTTGACAAACCTTTTCAACCGATGCAGCAAAACCTTTTCTATCACAAGTAAATGGCATTTGATGAACAAGACCAACATTATCAGTCATAGATATAACCATGTCGTATAATGTATTTTCATGCATCATTAAACCACTATCTGATATTAATATATATGGATATTGAGCTTTTTCATAAGCAGGTAACATATTAAAGATTTTGGGATTTTTTATATCCATTGTTCCATTTTTTGATGATTTATCACCGGATAATAATTTATGTGAACCTATAGAGGAAAAAAACGAAGATTTTTAATTAAATATTTGAAAGAAAAATAAAATAAATATTAATAAGCAAATAAATTTCTTTTATTAAATTATTATTTCAATAGACCATTTTCATTAGTTAACTTATTGATATAGATATATATATATGAGCTTGCATGCATATCAGTATTGGGAAAGAAAATGTATACCACAACATAAAATTCGTTTCCATAAAGATATTCGTTTTCGTTGTATTTGTTTAGTTTTAATTCGTGTTACCAATGGTGTTAGATCATTTCCTTGCTCTTCAGCAATATCGGTCTCCTGCTCTGATACGTCTAATTCACTTTCTATTAGGAAGTTTCCTTTTACTTTGAAAGTAATATTTAAGAAAAGAAAGATTTCATAGATATTGTTTGTATTCTTACTTACCAACAAATAATTGTGATTCCACATGTGGATATTGTTCTCGTAATCTTTCGAGTAAATCAATCAATTCATTATCGTGTTCTTGTACACAAAAAAGTACTTCATACTAAAAGAGATTTTATACTAAATTAATTGAATAAAAAAATAAACATACTCGTGGATATTTAAGATTGAAAAATGTTTTTAAATTTTCATATAGATTTGCATCGATTCCTGTTAATGGTTTGATTATTGAAACACCTGGTAATTCTTTGAGATTACTATGTGATGGCTTTCGGTGGAATTTGTATAAACTATATAATAACAAATAGATCAATTATAATAGAAATAATATTTCTTTTTTATTCTCTTATTTGAAAAAAAAATGTAATCCGTTTTCTGGGTCATAATGCTCTGTTTTCTTAAGTGTCTGACGTTTTTGTTTTTTATTAACAAAATGAAAACAATAATAATAATCAATCATATTATCTGAACAACAGTTGTGCATGTTATGTTAAGTATTTAAATTGATTGTCAGTGACACCAGAAAAGCAATCGACAGTGTTGATTTTACAAATGCTATTTATAAAATTTTGTTTTTCTGTTTTCTTTTTTAATTCTTAGAAAAGAAAAAAAAATACCAATTAATGTTTTTCTCCTTCAATTTAAGCCTCTTTGTTATTTTTAAATACGCAAAAATAATACAAGGATATGATGAATATCAAAATGTGCATGCACTAATAACATAGATCTTTATATTGTGTGATTCAACAAATTCATCATTGTTTTGATATGTCTGATTGGTTTTTTCTCCTAGTTGTCGTTATTATGATAATGATGGATGTATCTCGAGGGACGAAAAAAGAAAGGCCAAAATACGAACAAGTTATTATCTTATACCATACGATAATCTCGTCTGGTCTTATCCTAACAAATCATCAATTCATTCACGTGTAAAGACATACATATATATGTATATGCAGAGTAAGAAAAGAAAAGACATATTGGCTTACAGCCAAACGGAAGCGGTCAAAAAGTCATGATCGATAAAAAAAAGAATTCTTACAACTGTCTAGTTCGTCTATTAAGGTGAGACGAACAAACAAAACAATATCACCACTAACTGTCTCATTAATTAAATATTATCAGTATATCATCTAGACAGGTAAAACAAAACAGAATGGGAATATATATTTTCATTTCAATAACAAACTAAAAAAAAGTGTAAAAAACAACATGAATTGATGCAACTTGAAGAGAATAGAAAATCAAATCTTACCTATAGCTCATTCCACTGATATGAAAAAGCCATACTAATGTTATAACTAATATGGCTAAAACAAGAGTTATGGCAAGCGCAATTGTGTACACAATGTGAAGGAAGAACATGACCAACAATAATCGTAGCAGATGGCACCCGAATATATTTTGTCATCTACATTTCATTTTACGTTTGTCTATTTGTCTCTGTTTTTTCTAAGTATGAAGGCGTAAAAGAAGAAGAAGAAGAAGAAGAAGAAAAGTGATGACACACACGAAATAGAAAATGAATGAATGAATGACGAAGTAATAATAAAGAACAGAGCGAACAAAACTGAGCGGAAGAACGAAGTAAAAAATAGGAGAGTGGCGATTTCTTAATAATCGATAGAAAGAAACGAGCAAAAGAAAAATAAAGGTAAACGGAAAGAAAAGAAAAGGGTGGTAGTACACCTGCTTTGTCTCAATTAGATAGAGTAAAAATATGTAGGAAAGAGAAAAATAAATTAGCCATGACAACTGTCCTTATATCATTCTTAAGAGTATAGCTTAAAAACATTTTATTTTTGTTAAAAACTATTGTCACTACAAGCAGACAGAAAGGAAAATATTAACTACGATGATGGCACGAATCGCTTGGAGAAATTGTTTCAATACTCTTTTAAAAACATAAGATTATAAGTATGCAATACAAGTCAATTTATCATGGTACGTGTTGTTGTTATTGTTGGGAAGTTAGCATAGTTAAGTTTTCCCCACGAAGAAAAAAGATTCAATAAGATAAAATTGAAAATTAATAATATCTCCACATTCTCTTTTCTTAATTCACATTAACACAAATATTAATCATTTATAAATGAAATATGTATGTTATTCCAAAAATTTCCCTGAGGACTCTATAACTAGATAAATCTCATGAGTTTTTTTTATCTTGCGACCTAGTTAGTCCATCATGACCAGTATTGGTATTCTCATAACTTAGAATAAAAGTGAATTAAAAAAAAAGGGGTATAAGACTTTAGTTTTCACATCATTATTATTTAATTTATATTCGACAATTATCAGTCTCAATTAATACGTCTGAGTATTAAAACGTGTAATTTACATTATATAGCCGCATGAATACTTTCATTCAAGGATTTGTTTTTTAATGATTAATCTTGACATGTCAATGTTATAAATCTTCTATATTACTTGTAACTCTGTTAATTATCGTTAAATGAAACATGTACAAAAAGACAATTACCTCTCTTTTCTTTTTCTTTCTACTCTTAAATTTTTCTTTTTCATATATATATATATATCTACTCATCCACGTTGTCATCCATTTATGTTTACCTTTCAAACAAAGGCAAACACATGTCATGCTCGAATGATTAGTCTACTAATTATATTAAATATATATACATTCTTACCCATAAAAAAGACCAAGTATATGGAATGTAGCCAGAAGACCCCAACCGGCAATTAATAAGTAACAGCATATATGTAGAATAATGTCAAAAGTACTAATATTATTAATACCAAACATTGATTGACAGCAATTAATTATGAAAATAAGAGAATATTGAATATGATGGTAACAAGTTTAATGAAAGCCACGGTAAAAACAAATTTAACAACACAATAATAATATAGCAGTAGCAGCACTTGAAGGAAAAATGATAAAAGTCTTTTTTGTTTTATCTGCTTATTCACATTGCCTTCAAGCTGTGGCCACAGAAACGATGACGAACAAATAAATATATATGATATACAATGGATGCGTCATCGTTGATTCCATAGTGCTTTGTCCTAGGTCTCACTGTCTCTTCTCATATCTTTGTTTGTTAACACAACGATAGAGGGAACTCTTGATCGGTTAACACAAATAATTAGAACGGGTCCTAAATTTTATACTAACTGAAAAATAATATTCGTATGTCTTTTATAAAAAAAAAATTTTTTTATTTTCGTTTAAAATTTTCGTATAAAATTAAACAATTCATTCATTATTATAATGATCTAATATGATTGATTTTGGTTCCAAAAAAATAACTAAAATCATATAAAAGCAGCAGTTATATTTGCTTCAAATAAATATTATAGGGTTTGTTAGAATTTCTATTTACTTTAATCTAATCAATCAACTATACTTAGAAAGAATCTTTATTTGTGCAATACATATATATATAAATGTCGCTAAGTGATACAAATCAATATTTATCATCGAAATTTTTTTTTCTATATGTACGAGTAAATTATTATTTTTTTCTTTGATTTTTTCGTCATATCACGAGTCTTAGGAGGAGATATATGATTTCATGATATCCATTCGTAAATAATGACTCATAAATTATATTTTTCTTATAAATATTACACGTGTTTATCACGTACAGCTGTCTGTTTTTTCATATATGATCAAATGGATAGGCATGTCCAAATTAAAAAACAAATATATATATATATATTAAAAATCGTGGGTAATACTTATATTTAGAAATCTGATATTCAAATTCAGTTGAGATATCGAATTGTATTTATTTCTTAAAATAGCATCATTTCGAAAAAAAATGATCAAATAACGATTTCAATATTTTTAATCAACTGAGACGTAATTGAATATTGAAAATATTCAGACGCGCGAATTGAATTTATTTATAAATTATTATTTTTATGTCAAATAAAATTCAAGCTGGAGATGTAGCGAAAAATATTCATTTGTGGACAACTGAAAATACGAAATTTTCATTATTTACTGCAACGGAAAAATTACCTGTTCTACTTGCTTTTTTTCCATGTGCGTTTACTAAACATGAAAATAAAGTAAACAAAATTTATATCGATATCATTGAATGTATTTCGTCTTTTTTAGATTTTAAATGGTATCAATGATAAATATAATAAATTATTTAAAGATTTAAATGTTCGTATTATTGGTATTAGTACAGATACTCATTGGACATTAGATGCATATAAAAATGAGAAAAATATTAGATTTGAAATGGCTTCAGATTTTAATAAAGACGCAGCTAAAGCTTATGGAATACTTATTGATAAATATTCATCGTATGGATATAATGGTGTTGCTAAAGAAGCATGTTTTCTTATTGCATTTGATAAGTAATCAATAGATATCGATTTGAAAAGCAAAAAAACAAAGAAATCTTTTCGTTTCTAGGAGAGAAAAGAAAAATTTTATTGAATATATGAAAGTACTTAATGATACGAATGGCGAATTTGATACAGAGAAAGTTGCGAATCTTATTATGAAAAAATGGGGAAAGAAAGTTATGTCAAGAAATGTTGGCAACAAAAAATTGAAAAGAAATTAGATCTATCTTGTATAGTTCTAATCATTCTGAATGATAGATACTGGCCTAAATAAACATATAGAAGCCAATTGATATTGTTAAACAAATTAATGATATGGTTCAATTACGAAGCCTTAGATTTACAAATTAAGAACTCTTACAAGAATATTATAAACTTTAGTGTTAAATCATACAAATTTATTTCTATTTCGAAATCTTCTAAAATATTTCTGAAGAAACACAGATAACAGAAATACGTGACTTTCCTTCTCATATAGCATTCAAATAGCTGTGAAACAGATAATCATTTTTCTAAAATATGCAGAAAAAACTTGATAACAAGTATGGAAAAAACACATTTGTAATATGTAAAGAAAAACTGAATAACATATTTTATTTGCAATCGATGATATATAATAATACGATAAAATGTTGATTATTCACATTTCGTACGATCAACTATTAAAAAGTGATTATGAAGAATTCTTTATTGATGAGTACCGGTAACCTTTCGATGCACATTGAATCGCCTCTACGTAGCAACAATAAGTCGCAACAGAAAAAAAATCACATTTCATTTATGCTTCAAAAAGTTTTTTTCTTATAAAAACAATGATATTCATGACTATGATAATAATAACATGAATACTATTTCAAAAGTAATTAGAACGTTCTTTTCCTTACAATTTGATATAAAAGAATCTTTTGTCACTGAATTACTTCACATAAATATTCAAAAATAATTATTTTTTATAAAACTTCCTGATTTTATTCAAATACATGATATTAAAAGAAAAGCAAGGTCAAATTCATTTTAATTTATTCTATGATAATATGTAATCTTTTGCGTTGTTTATACAAAAATAAAACAATTTGCCTATATAAGTTCCATTTTGATTTAATGTAACTATGAATATTGATTAAATTGTAAAAATATTGTATCTTCGTTTATCTAATTGTTTATGATTATTTTCTTGATGATTAATCATTGTTATTTCTCTCGAAACATCTTCTCGTTTTTTACATAAATTCATAAGAACTTCTTTTGATACATGTCGAAATATATCTGATGATAAATAATTACTATAAAATGTTGATATATAATTGAAATAAAAAATTAAATAAGCTATTTGAAAAAAAAGATTTTCTTGTGCTTGACGATATAAATTTGTGCTTATTGTTTGAGTTAAACAATAATAAATATTTTGTATACAAAATGGTATCGATGATATAATACAAATAATTATCTGTAGAAATAACATTGATGCTAATTGATCATCAAAACGTGCCATACGTGTTAGATTCATTGTAGATATTACACCAACACGATGATTACGTATTTGACGAGTATTTTTCCAAGTTAAAAAACCAAATAAACTCATAAAAACCCATGGAAATATTCCATAACAACATAGATTAAAAAAGTAAATTATTATTTTTGACCAAATTAATGATGAACTTTGACAGACACAATGATCTGTTGTTAATTGAATAGGTTTTACATAGATAAGTGTTGGAATAGTTATTATCATCCAGAATAGAATTGTAAATAAACAAATTTGTTTTGCAATGTAAACTGAATTTAAACGACGCCATTTTATTTGATGACATGTTGAAAAAAATCGATCAATTGAAGAATAAACAAGACATGATAGAGCTATAAGTGATGTACATTGTGCAATATAATATCGAAGTTTACACCAAGCAATATTATATATTGTCCAATGAATGCTAAAACCTTGATCGATTATTCGATCAGATAAATTGAATAATAATTGAATTAAACTAGCAATAGATAAAATTAGTATATAGGTACAATATGAACTTAGACGAAGTGAATAATGACGAAATATTAATATATTCCAACAAGAACCAATTAGACCAAAAATAAACATAAATAAACCTAGATAGATATTTAATTGTTGAGATATATAATTGAGTGTGTCTATTGTCGCCATTGAAGATAAAATCTTTAGAAATTTTTATTAATGATTCTAAAGTAAAGAAATTAACTCTATTTAGAAGGAAAAAACTCTTTAATTGTAGGATATATATATATAGAGATATAGCAGTGTTAAATAAAAATAGAAGAAAGAAGTAGAGAACTAATCTGAGAACATGCATGAATTAAGCTGTTTCCTTCTTCATTAGGACCTATTAACATTGTCAAATATGAAATCAAGGACATAGGAAGTTTTGAATAAATGTAAAGAACTATTTTACCTAGAAACTTTCTTCTATTTATTAACCTTGTTTATGAAAGAACTATTTCATATTCAGTATTTCTTTTAAATGTATGTGAAAAATAACTATTCGCAAATATCTTACATATACTTCTTGAATATCTTCAAAGTAATGATCTCTGATAACTTCTAAAAATTTACCTCCTAATTTCCAATTCTTTTTTTTCAAAACAAGAGTATTAACATCTTATGACTGATCATGTGATCGATAGCATCTTTATAGTTTCAGACAATTGACTTTTTAATATTTATGAAGAAAAATCACATAAACAAATACTAGATAATTATGATAGATAATGAACTTCCTACTTACTTGTGATTTTGTCACGTAATGACAAAATGCTTTTCTAGACTCTGCCCTGTTTGATTAGTCGTTTTCATCTTTGAATCCTTCATCTGACACATATATGTTCTTAAAGTTCTTTTTTGTTCTACATTTTTATTAATAACTTATTCAATTTGTACGATGATATCTGTATTTAAAATAATATTGTTTTTTAAATATATACATAACAACATCCACAACAGAACGAAATAAATACAAATAATTCATAAATCTGCAATTAAACTAATTAATTGTTGATAAGTTTCAGACATAATTACCTTCAAACATACAATAAATTATAGTATTCGATTACAGTAATATAAACTATTATACATCAGTAGTTCAATCAATACGAATCTAGAGAATTTCAACGTAATAATAATAAACCCAAAACAGATAGTATCAAATAAAACTTCTGTCTCTCGATGGTTTCAAGCAGAGAACATAATTTGTCAATCTTATAGCTTTGTTTTCAATCGATTAAGATTTTATCTTACTAGTTAGATATTTTTATCAATTGATTCAATACAATACTATATGTGCGTGACTCAGAAACAGTTGAAATAAAATAACTCTGTCTTATAGCGCCATCTATCTTACGCTGGATATTGATTGGTCATCGAGGTTTATTCATTGTCGCTTTTAATGGCTACTTCTACACAGGACAAGATATTCATTCAATGAAGCATGTTTATTCATCATGTTTATTTCCTCTATGCATGTCTTCTATGTACAATGTTCATTTATTTTAGATAAAGTTTTTCCATTTTGTTATTATTTTATTGATTTTTTATCACAATGACATCATCTCCATCACCGTTTGCTAATACGGGCAAACTTCAAGTATTACCAAACCCTGTAAGTAATTTCTATCTATTGAAATCAAAAAGAATTTCTTTTTCAAGACAACATTATTATTTACTCCATCAATGAATAACAATGTTACTATTAATAATATGAGTAATACATCACAAAATATTCGTCAAACAAATACACAAAATGGAACAATTCTTCAACAACAAATGAATAGTGGAATGATGACAACACCAACAAATATTGTTCGTGTTAATCAACCACAGACTATGCAACATCAGCAGCAGCAACAACAACAACATGGTCAATTTGTTCAACAAACAGTATGGACAAGTAATAATAATCCACAACATCAATTTACATTACAGAAACAATCTCAACAATCATCTGTGTTTCAATATGCAACTGTCAAAAATGGTTAAACACATATAAATGTTTTAATTTAAATAAATCATTTTTATTTATTTATTTCTTAAGAGCCTGGTATACCAATTGGAATGCAACAACAATCATCTGTAATACCAACAAAAGTAATTACTCAGCCAGTTGTTCGTCAAACAGTAGGATCACAACAAGCGACAACAACAACATATACAGAATCTCAAATTAATGATTTTGTATCAAAATGTCGAACATTCCTAACGACTTTACTTCGATTAGCTGAAAAACAAGCACCAGAAAAATTACCCATGGTGCGATCTTGTATTCAAGAACTTTTGGTAATAGACAAAAAAATAAAATAATTCATGATCGAAAACTTTTTCTTCTCATATAGGATGGAAGTATTGATCCAGAATCATTCACTCAGCGCCTTCATACACTTTATAAATCTCAACCACATACATCACTTGTACCATTTTTCAAAGTAAATCTTCGTTAATTTTTTTTAATTAAAAAAAAGAGTCTTCGAGTTAATTCTTAGCAATTGAGTTTGAAAGAGAAAGTTAAAATATTCATTTAATAATATATTTCAGGATAATCTCGTGCATGTTAAGGTAATTAAATTTAATTTCTAAGATTTATTTTTCTTGGTTTTGTTTGTAATGGTTTATTATTGCGAAAATATTGGTACGCTCAATTCATACGGGGCTTCTATCATATTTTTATATCATTTTTTTGAATTGATTTTATAGTTATTCATAGAGAAATTATTTTTAATCGAATCAACTATTGTTTTAATATTAGTAAAGTTAAACTCGTCTGACATCTATCGACAGTACGCAATAGTCGTTAATCACCGTTTTATTGTGCAAGAAAAGCACATATATAAGATTTGAGTTTTGACATATAAAAACGAAAGACGGCGGTGTGTACTCATTCCGACAATGAATAATCATCATTTCACATACAATTTGAATTATGGGCGGAATATGAATGAAGTAAATAAAATTTTCTTCAATTATATATTGAAAAGAAATTATTAACAGATATTTTCATACGTTTGCTAAATTAATAAATGTTAAATATAATTATCTCTATTTGCAGAAAATCGACAGTATATATTTTGAATCTTACAAGCCAAAATTTCTTAAGGATAAATCTATTTTACTATCTGATATTGATTGTCTAACATAAATTACACTAGTTTCTAATTATTTATATTATTTCCCATACAGAATGACATGCAGTCATCTGTTATATTAGAAGTTAACTTCAAATTCATTATTTCATTTCAGTTAGCATTACCACATATGCGTCAAATTGTTAAAAATACATTTAAACAACCAATAACTATTGATTTATTGGAAAAACTTCAATTACCTCCAAGTAATACTAATAATAATAATACAACAGGTTTAACACAAATAACAAATTCAAATGTTATTATTAATTCACAACAACAACATCAACAGATACAACAACAACTACAGCAACACCAACAACAACAACAACAACAACAAAACTCATCACCTATTATTCAACAACCATTGTATACAACAGTACAACCACAACAAAAAATAAATATTTTACAACAAAATCCTCAACAAACATTTGTCGGTTCCACCGCATCACTACTAAGCCAACAACAACAACGACAACAACAAGCACGAGCACAAATTGTTTGTTGACTTATTTTTTTGATCTTAGTTTAAAACTACAATCATTTTAGAGTATAACCGGTTTTCGTCCATTAGTTACATCATTATCACCATCAGGAAATACAAGTCTTCTTAGTGGTGGACAACAACAACAACAAGTTCAACCAGTAACACAAATGATTATACAACAAAACGATTCACTTTTACAACGATCAATTTTATCAGGAGCTACAACTATACAACAACCACAAATTATAACTGTTAATCAACAACCGATTAAAACAGAAACAATACATACACATCCATCACCTATCATTTCTTCCATTCAACAAAAACCAATTATCAAGTTAGTTTTATTTAAAAAAAAAACAATTTCTTATACAAAAACTGTTTTCTTCTATATTTAGAACAGAAAATGATCTGTTAGATGATAGTAATAATTCAGGAATGATGGATACACGTCATATAACTCATGACGATCGGTTGATACCTGCAAATATGCTACAGCGACGTTTACAAGATCTAAGTAAGTACAATACGCTATAGTAAAGCATCAGATTTAAATTCATATCGATTTGTTTTTCTAGTTGAAAAAGATAAACGATTGGCAGGTATGATGGTGACTGATGATGCTTCATTTGTTCTTATTTCTAATGCGGCTCAAGAAAGATTAAAATTTCTATTAGAACAAGTTAAATTAGTAGCTCAGCATCGAATTGATATATCTATGAAGGTAGAATTTTTTGTTTGTTTTTTTTCGAATAATAATAAATCTATTTTAAAAATATAATTTAGAATGATTCAGCCTATCAACAAACCAGTGATGTTAAAGGTCAAATAAGATTTCTTGAAGATTTAGATAAAATTGAGAAACAAAAAAAAGATAAATTAGAACAAGAAAAAATTCTTCGAGCTGCAAAAGTAAAATTTTTTGAAAAAAAAAAGAATATAAATGCGATCATTGCATATTTATTTAGAGTCGTTCAAAAACAAATGATCCTGAAGCAGTTAAATTAAAACAAAAGGCTAAAGAAGTAAGGGATTATTATTTATCGTCTTCTTTTAAAAATATATATGTTTTATCAGATGCAACAAGCACAAGTTGAAGAACAACGACAAAAAGAAGCTAATGAAACAGCATTAGCAGCTATTGGAAAACCTAAAAAACGTAAACTTGAAGAAAGTACAAATCATCCTCATCAAGTTACAACATCTACAAATGGACCCGAACAAATATCTCCTATTCAACCATCACCATCATCTAATACTGTTACGTCAACAAATGTAAATAGTAAATCGGTATGTTTTTATTCATTTATTTATTTTAAATCAAAAAAACAATATTTTGTTTTTTTCTAGAAGGCAACTAAACGTATATGTCGAGCAAATCTCCGTGATTTATTATTAATAATGGAACGAGATAAATATCTTAAACGAACAACACTTCTTGTTAAAGCTCTTAATAAATGATTTATGAAAACAAGTAATCAAGCAAAACAAAAATACTTTGGTTGGTTTTTTAATCGATATAAATCGAACATTTATCATATCGTTTTTTCTTCTTTTTCTTGTGTCTCGCATGGTTTTACATGTTGAAATACATTTATTTCCTTGAAAAGTTCTTTGTAACTTTATTATGTATATGTATCTTTCTTTTTTTTGTTGTTTCTTATTTATTCCTTCTTCTTCTGTAAACTTGCTCTCGATTGTCACAAGGATATTTCTCCTATTTTTTTTGTACACCTTCTCTTTATCTCTATTTACAGTGAAAAAAAAACACAAAAAACTTCTCTTGGATAAACATGAATGAATGATTAATTCATCATTTTTTTTTCTTTTTTTTTCTTTCGTTTTTGATATTTATATATATGTAGATATATATATATTCATGAAAAAGAAAAGATATTTTTCAGAACGATACATTATTTTTTTTTATCACTGAAGTTTTTTCATTGAGTCCTTGAACACTGACTAGAGATTTAATCATGAAATTATTTCATTGAGTTTCAATTCTAAAATAAGCAAATTCCTCTGAAAATCATTCACTATAGAAGATTGAGTATTCGCTGTAGATTAATAGTATAAATGATATCGAATTATACTTTAAACCAATTCAATAGTTCATCGAATTCTGCATCTTCGGTATCACCCATCATACTAGAATATACAGTAATAAAATATCAGAGATGGGCAACTCCGAGGGTACAGCAATCCAATTTTCCAAAAATCCACTCCATCGCGATTTGATAGGCCGAGCTTATCTCAATACGAATCACTACTTTTCGTTTTCTTCCGATAACAAATGAAATCAACAGGAGTTGAAATTACCCATCTCTGTAAAATATCCAAAAGCATGCATCTCTCAAAAGTAAACGATATATCGAAAGTCATCTGTAAATACTTTAACATGATTGAATGTTGATGTAGAGATAACGTGTTTTTTTTATATATCTACATTATACGCTTATTATTTAAATACAATTAATAGAGATAGTATCTATCTTTTTATAGTTTGATCTGATGCTTGAATGATTTTTTTTTACTAAATTAAATCGCATGAAGAGTTTCTGTCGGTTACATTTATTATTTAAAGTAATAATATTTTCTTGTTTATTTATAGATATGGCAGAGGATGTAGTTAAAGAACAAGAACAAGTAGAAAGTTCATTCATAGAAAATGAAAGTGAGGGTTTAGAAACAGCATGTTATCGTAAATGTCATGGACAATTTTGTTTAACATCAACAGAAAATCATTTTCAACATGAAATATCATTAGATTATTCACCATTTCAAGATGCATTAACAAATTATTCATCAACGACATATACAAAAATGGAATCTTTACTTAAACTGGATCATTCTATTGATCGAATAAGAAATCTTATAAAAAATAAACATATAACATGCGTAGATTTAGCATTATTCTATTTAAAACGTGTGCAAATGACAAATGATTTTTATAAAATTATTATTGAACTTAATCCTCACTTACTGACAGAAGCTCAACAATTAGATAAAGAATTCAATGAAAATCAAATAAATAATAAATTATTATTCGGTTGTGTTGCTGGTATTAAAGGCAATATTAGTATACGTGATATGTACAATGATGCTGGTGCTTATGTTTTACATGAAAAGAAAATGAAAAATGATGCGCCAATTGTTAAAAAACTTCGAGAACAAGGCAAACATATTCATATGTTAATTATAAAAACATTAGAATATTTTTAGGTTGTCTAATTCTTGGTCGAACTAATTTATCTGAATGGGCATATTCAGTAACTGAAAATGCTCCATCAGGTTTTTCAGCCGTAGGTGGACAATGTCTTCATCCCGATGATATCCATGAAGATGTTAGTGGTTCATCTAGTGGATCAGCAGCTGGTATTAAATTAAATCTATTTACATTTTCAATAGGTACAGAAACTCAAGGATCACTTTTATCACCAGCAATGAATGTAAGAAATGTTTGCACGCTTAAACCATCACTTGGTACATGGCCTAATCAAGATATAATTCCTGTTAATTATGATCAAGATACATGTGGACCGATGACACGAAATATTAAAGATGTTGAACTATTACATAAAATAGCTTCAGGAATAAAAACTAATGCTGAAGATGATAGTCGATCATTAAGAGTTGGTTATCTTGGTAAGTTTAAAAAAAATAAATCTTTTTTTATAATAAGATTTATTATGTATTTTACTGATCTTAGGTTAAAGTAACATAAGAATAATGCATACCATTATCTCGAGAATTATATTTAATTTTTAATATTTTACAAAAATAGTCGAGAACAAAATATTTGAAATTAATGTAAGCTTTTTGTTATAATATCAATTATTTATGAATATATTTATTATTGATACATAAGAAAAGAAGAAATGTGTACTCAATAATATTTAATGTTGTTGTTCGTATCTATATATATTTTTAAGCATGACAACTATCATATCGTTCGTAGACATAATCAAACGAAGCGTCAATTATTGAGTTATTTATAGATTATTCTCAGTTCACATAATTCTAATGAGACTTAATATTAAGGGCAAATTAGATTTAAATCTATATACATATATATCCAAGAATTCGTTGCACCCTATGGGGTCAATCATACAGAGAAAAATAAATCAGTTTGAAACTGAATTAAGCAATATCATTGGCGTTTCCACGTAGCAACGGCTATTATATTGGTTAACTGACTGCTAGTTTCTCCTATTTTTTTCCGGCGTGATTGACCCCTATCTGCAATATCAATATGAAAAAGTTCACTTGCAAACAACATATATTCTCTATCTGTTCATTTGCATTATTATCCTAAGAGAAATAACTTTCGAAGTTCGATGCAATGTATACTTATTGATTATATCTATATCTAATTTATTTTAGGACAATCCCAAGATGGTATTGTATTGCTTCAAACTCTTTCTGCACTATTGCCTTCAACAACATTAATTGATTTAAATAAGGATTTATCTCTTGTTTCACCAATGACAAATGTAATGAATACAGCAAATTTATGCGACGTAACATTTCTTGATTTTCTTTGTTATGCACTTGCTCGAGATGTTCCATTATATTTATCTTCTCACGCATCTTCTTATTCACATCAGACTCTTGCTTCAATCATTGAATGGAATAAGTCACATCCGCAATATATTCCTTATGGTCAATCACTATTTATTCGTGCAATAGAATCACCCATAACACAAGAAATGTATGATAAATATAAACAAACATTACAGGAAGCATTTGAAAAATTTACTGATCTTCTTAAATCAAAATATTCTCTTGATTGTTTAATAACAATTGGTAATGATGATTATTTTTCGTGCACAACAGCATGTGGTATACCACGTGCTAATCTAACACTTGATTATTATATTCCGGATCATAAACAAATCAATATTGTTGTTGCTGGCTTTTCGATTAATGATGATCTTGTTATACTTCGTTTGCTTCAACGATTAGAAAAAGCAAATCTTCAAGCAGGTAGAATAGACACAAGAACATCATTTCAAAAATATATTCAACAACCAATACGCGGAGCCTATCAAAATGGCTGCTCAATTCTTTAAATTAATCATATTTTTTTCTCCTTTTTCTTTTTCTTTATAAATGATTCATTTGTCCTTTTATAATCGGTGCTTTTGCTTTCTTCTACTTAACCAGTGAATAACAATTTTACTCTCTATTTAAATCAATGCAAGAATCCTTTTCTCCTATATTTTACTCTCAAAAGAGAGCTCTTAAAAGTATACCTATTTTTAGATTTCTTTAAACTATTGTGGCTTAATCATTATGACGACTGTTGAAACTGATGAAAATCGGTTTTTCGTACGAAATAATTCATCATCTGGAAGAAATACTGATGATCAACAACCTCCGGTAACTCCATCATCTGCTGACCAGACAGTATATGATTGGGAAAGTGATAAAAGACGTTCAAAACCATTAGATGATGGGACGATGTCTTTCTTTTGGCGTGCACATACTATAACATGTCTAGTTATAGCTATGTCATATTTATTCTATGTTGCTATTTTGGAACAACCATCAGAAGATTCATCTTATAATACGAAACGGTAAATAGAATTTATAGATTCTTCAAAAATTGAGTCAAGAAAATAAATTTCTTAAATATGATGTTTAAATTTTTCACTTCTGCATTCAGTTTATATTGTGATAAATATACAAAGTGTGTTCAAGATTAAGTACTAGTATGTTTCTGGCTTTTGAAAATATGCTCACAATAAACCCGACAAGAAGATTGATTCGATAAACTAATCCTGATGATTTAGAATATCTAACAAATGAGCAGGTATATTCAATGTCTTGACGGTAGCAATTACTAGCGTTTCTAATAATTATTTATGGAAACAGTAATTGTTAAGTTAGTTGTTTTGAATGCAAAACTATGATTCTATGAACCTAGTTCTACATAAATTGATCTTTTAACTTGTTTAATAATCATTTATTTTATTTTCAGAGGTCTCCTAGCATGTGCTGGGTTTTTTCTTGTCTTTGGTATGACACAAACACCAGATGGTGTTTTTCTTCGACCTCATCCTGGTAAAATCTATTTTTTTTTAAAAACTATCGTCATTCTCTTTATTGATTTATAGCTCTGTGGCGTCTTGTGCTTTGTTTCAGTGTACTCTATGAAATTGTACTTATCTACATTCTTTTTCAAGTAAATATATATAAATATTCATATGATCTTAATAAATAAAATTTCTTAATTAGACTGTAGATGAAGCAAGACAATTAATAAAACATATTGATCCATCATTAGGTATACCATTACCAGACAAAGATTATGGTGGATCATGCCGTATTTATGATTGGGAACATCCAGAAGATCCATTTCATTTTTTCAAAGTAGAAAACAAAATTTTTTCATATATAATTTATTTTTGTTGTTTTATTTTTCATAGGAGAAAATGGATTTTTTTGTTCTATCACATTTTTTTGGTTGGTGGTTAAAAGTAAATAATTTACCTTTCAAAGTTGTTTTTAAATATATAAAAAATATATATATGTAGACATTAATTATTCGTGATTATTGGCTTTGTATGGTAACATCAATTGGTTTTGAAATTCTTGAATATTCACTTGAACATCAATTACCAAATTTTAGTGAATGTTGGTGGGATCATGTAAGTTATATTAATAGTATTTCTAAAATTTCAATTTTATATTTTAGTGGATACTTGATGCACTTATTTGTAATAGTGGTGGTATTTATTTGGGTATGAAAACATGTGAATATTTAAAAATGAAACGTTACAATTGGCGTGGACTTTGGACAATACCGACTGTTCGGTAAATATATTTATTTATTTATTTATTTATATTTGGAAAAATTAATTTTTCTATTTCTTAAGAGGTAAAATCATGCGTGCCATAGGTCAATTTACACCTCATGATTGGCTTGAGTTTGATTGGCGTCCAACAGCATCTTTAAAACGATGGCTTGCAATGTTATTTATAACATGCTTCTTATTTCTTATAGAATTAGGCACATTCTATTTGAAATTTATTCTATGGATTCCACCACCACATTATCTATGTCTTTCTCGTTTATTATTTTTTCTACTTGCTGGTGGAGTAGCAATGCGTGAAATGTTTGAATATTTGGACAATCCTCAATGTAAAAAATTTGGTCGACAATCATGGGTTATAACAGCTATTGTTATAACAGAAGTATTAATTGTATTTAAATTTGATTGGGAAACTGTTACATTACCATTACCATTTCATATTGTACTTGTTTGGGTAACAATTGCAAGTGCAACTATTTTATGGACATTATATCAATTTTGGTTTAAAAGATTTATTCTATGGGGACAGAAAAAAAATAATCAAAATGCAAGAAAAAATCAATGAAAATAAAATCAACGTCATCTAAAGAACTCATTCCTAATTGTTTTTATGTTGGCATTTATGCCTTCTAGTCACCTTTGTGCTCCTTTACAAACTATTGCTTTTATGGTATATCATTTTTTTCCGCGATCAAACAAATTTTGTTTATTGTCATCCGAAAAAAATAAGTTCTGTGTTGTTTGAATTTAATAAAAACGAGACAAAAAGAAATCATTCTCATTTTAAAAATAATGATGTGATAATATAAATGATAAACTATTTATTTAGGTATTCTATCTCTAAATAGCAATTAACGATCATATAAAGTTTAAAGACTAACGAGCATTGTTATTGAATGATTCATTGGATAATTAACTATTTTCTATATATCAAAAGTTTGACTTGTACGTCATTTGTCTAGAACAGTAAATAGAATTAAAGAATTTTCTCGATATTTTATTCTATCCACGTGTTGTCATTGTCTATATAACGACAAAAAAAGAAGACTAAACGAACGATACGACTAGTTCGTTTATATATTTTCTTTTATTTAGCAAGAGGTATTGGTTTTATTCTATATGAGAAAGAAATGACCGAATCAATAATAACTATTTCACGTAAATAATTATTCATTGTTAAATCAAATAATTTATTTATCATTATAAATTTTAGCTAAAACATCACCATATCGGTCTAAGATTCATACACGTGTTGCAACTCCAGGTTCTTCATCATCGTCCGTTGGTCATTATATTTCATCACCTCATAATCGAAATAATGATCAACATTTATTATCAAATGAAAAATTACAATTAAAAAAATTAAATGATCAATTTTTAACATATATAGAACGTGTTCGTTTATTTGAAACATATAATAATTGTTTAACCTTACATTGTGAACAAATAAAAACAGCTCAAGAACGTACAAAATCTAAATTAAATTTACTTGAACAAGAATATGATGAATATCAACAAGAAAGATTTACTCGAGAAAGAAAAGATTTACAATTAGAACATGAAAATTTTCAAATTATTGACAAACAAGTTAATGAATATAAAAATAAAGAAAGTTTTTTTCAACATGAACATGATTCATATCGAAAACAAATTATTGATTTACAAAAACAATCGGTTGATTTGCAAGTATGTTTACGATTTCTACTAGAGATGAGCGGAATCAGGTTTTTCTGACCTCGATTCCAGTTTAGATCCGACAGTTATTTTTTCAATAGTTTCGGCTAGAGAGCTACGAGTCCATGATTTTTGCACCCAGGCCCAGTCCCGAATTCTTTTTACCAATATATAGCACCCTGTGTGTGTAATAGAGAGCTGCAGGTCCACGGTTTTTCGACCCGAACCCAACCCAAACTGGAGGAAAAAATAATTTATTAGACCCAGACCCGTACCCTTACTCGGTTGGGTCCTGAGTCTGAGTCGGGTCTTGGTCGACTCGCAGCTCCCTAGTCCCGGTAAAACTTTATTTCTTGGCTTTGGCTACCGGGACCAGAATTAGTCCCGCACATCTCTAATCAAGACTCACCGTTTATTTTACGGTTTCTGTTTAAGTTAACAGAATTATTTAAAATAGGTCTATGTTTGATTTTAGGCAAAAACCGAACATCTACGTTTTGATTATGAAAATGTAAATGATGATAATGTTCATTGTCGAAGACAAATATCCTATTATCAATTACTTAAATCATCAATTCTTGATGAAATTACTCGTCAACGTGATATAAATCAACGTACACAATTAGAAGTTGACGATTTGAAAATGCAAAAACAAATAACAGTTCAAGCATATGAAGCTGATAAACAAGTTCGATTTAGAAATTGATTATTGCCATTTTGATTTCTTTTTGTTGTTAGGTAGTTGAAATTCATAACGATAATATTGTATATGATCTAACAACAAACTTTCGTCTTGATGGTAATGGAAAAAATGTTTTAACAGAAATGTTAAATGAAATCCGTGAAGAATATAAAGTGAAAAATAATGAAATGCGTGATGAACTTCATCGAAAATGTAAAAATATTAAATATTTCTTTTCTTTTAAATTTCGCTTCGTTTTTCTTTTAAGATTTACATGAATATAATAAACATATAAAAAAGGAAGTTGATCGAAATTTAATTGTAACAAACCGAGAAGATATTGAACGACGTCATCTATCCGATGAATTAAATTCTTTAAAGGATAAACGATTATTACTACATCAAAAAGTAACTTTAATACAAGAACATTATAAACAATTAGAAATGAATTTTCAACGAGAAATAAAACGACAGAAAAATATGCAAAATACATATGATGATCAAATAAATGATTTACGTTTATCAGTTCAAGAATATGTAAGTGAAACAAAAAAAACGATAGTTTTAATATCATTTTAAATATTATGTTTTTTTTAGGAAAATCTTCTTAATAATAGTATATTCATTCGTCAACCAATACTTCAACCTGAAGTTAATAAATATCGACAATTACTTGAAGGTTCCGATCAACAAAAAGGTCTTCGACAATTGATTAATATATCAAATGAACCCGGTCGTTTTCTACCTATTAATCGTTCAACAACTCCTCCTCCTTCTCCACCACCACCACTCCTACCACCTGCTCCTATGAAGAGATCTCAAACAATATCAATACTTTTCGATCTTCCAACTCTTACTCGTCAAAATTCTATTAGTGAAGCCTCATATGAAACAGCACCTGTATCACAAATAACGACACCAACAGCAACAACGACTAATAATCAACAGTATCTTACCTTTAATTCAGTTAATGATAAATTATCTCATCATGATTATGATACTGATAATGATCAATCACAAACAATTCAATATTTATCTGGTCGTAGTAGTCGATTAACAAGTGCAACAGATACAACACCATTAGCTATGACACCAAGAGCTACAACACCAACAAATCAAGAATCATTATCATATAATGATTTTATTAATCATGATGAAACAATTGTTGAAGTACCCATTGATATATCTCATACAGATAGTAAGTATAATAATGAAGATTTAAATAGAGTTTTAACATTTATAATCATATGTAGTTGCAATAAATCAAACTTTACCATTTATACCAATGATGACAGTATCTCAAAATGATATTGATGCAAATAAAAATATTATATCCGATGGACAACAATCTCCATTGATTTCAACATTAGAAAAACGAGAAGAACTAGAAAATACATCTATCGATTCAATAATTTTAATATCATCCGAAATAATAAATCGAATTACTATCGATATTGATTCTACACCAAATGATAACAAAGTTGAAATGAAAATAGTATATCAATAATTAATTTTGATTTCCTTTTTATACTTTTATTTTACATTATTTAAATTAGGTATCACCAAATACACCAATTATGTCTGTTAATGAACAATCAAAATCAGCTATATCACCTACAATTGTATCTAATCAATCAGAACCAGAACGAGAATCAAATATTGTTGAAGTACCAGTAACAACAATAAATCCATTGGCTAAATTAATTTCAACTATGTTACCTAATGCAACGCCATTTATTCCAACTTCAAATGTTTCTAATAATCGTCCAGTTTCACCAGTGCCAATTCCAATATCGACTATGAATAACAATGCAGCAGCTTTTGTTCCTGGCCAACAGCAACAACATGGAAGTGGACAACAGCAAAATTTAAATAATATGAATGGTGGACAATGGAATGGAGTTGGTGCTCGAGGAGGAGGTGGAGGAAATCGACGTGGACAAAATGGTGTAAGTTTTTTGCATGGAAGAAAAACCTCGATACAATTAAAAAATCTTTTATAGGGCGGTGGTTTTCATCAAGGTGGTGGTGGAAATCAACGATCAGGAGGTTAGTGCAAATATATATTTTCTTAGTATACATTTAATTTATTTTTAGGTGGAAACAATTGGAATCAAGGTGGTGGTGGTGGTGGTGGTTATCAAAAGCCTCGTCGTGGACAAAAATAATCTTTTATTCTTTCATTGTGTTATTGTAAATTATATCTATGTTTTTTCTTTATTCTCTTAAACCTTTAACATTATGTATGTGTGTTTTGTTTTGAGTTATGATCTTATTTACATGAACGAAAATAAATTACAATTGAAATAATTAGATAGAGAAATATCACATCTCACATTATCTTGTTCTTACAACTAAACGACAAACATTTGTTTGTTGATACATGTTAGATTCATTAAGTTTGCCAGTTGAAGATGTGAACTGTCTTTTACCTTTCTAAGAATATCTGACAAGAAAAATTATAATGAATGAAGGCGCTAAGGAGTTTTATTTATAAATTGATGTAGAATGTAAATATTTCTTTTTAATATTCTGTCTTTTTAATCAGATATGTTTTATATGTTCTCATAAGTATATTTGGTGATGACATTGGTCATCGCCAATAATAAAATGAATATCATTCATGCATATATGCTCCGATCCACTGGAGGTGATACACTCTGATAGATCTACTCAACCATGGTGTACTCCATATGTATCTAATAATTATGATCGTAGAAATATATTAAATGCATCGTTATGTGCTAAAAGTAAATTAATTCAACGTCTTCAACATAAAATTGATCTTTATCAAACACCTACATCTAATGATGCACATCAAATTCTTCGACACTTGGCAAATGTTGTACAACGACATGCACCCAACTTTGTTTTCAATGAAATATTTCCTAATAATACACATGAACAAATCAATTCATCACTACAAAGTAATTGTGAAAACTATGTGTTTAGCTTCGAAATCGAAAACAACGTAATTACCTTTTTAGATATTCAACAAGATACATTACCAATTGCTAGTAGTGTTGCATCAACGTCACAAAGCTCTTCACTTTCACAACAAGTTGTTACTAAAAAAATGACAGATGAACATCTATTATCAAAATATTCATCACATCATTCACCCAACTTATCTATGCATAGTAGACAAATAAATGAAGGTTCAAAACAATCTTTATCGAAAGTTAATGAGAACAGTTTTGAGAAAATAAAGAACAAAAGTGATAAAGGTAGAAAAAATGAATAGTTTACTTTAATACATTTATGTATAGATCTTGATCATCGATCATCTATGGTAATGAGTATTCCAGTACCTTCCATGTTCTCAACGTCACATTTATCAGATCAACAGATTCTTAATAATCGTAAGTAGTCTTCAATATTTAAAAAAATACATCAACAGTCATCGTAAATAAGATAAAAAGAAATTGCATATTTATTTCTTTTATAGAATTACGACAGTCAACATCTGATATGTTAACGATCGGCAGTCATCACGATAGTTCAGCATTGACTCTCTCCACTCCAAAAAATAGTGATCGTCATCTTGAAAATGATCGTATTATCAGTGCGATCGATTTGAAGAGCAGTAATATTGTTTTACCATCTCATAATCAACAAGAAATTGACAGAATATCATTAACAAAACAAATTTCTTCTGCAAAACCATCTTCAACTAGTTCTATCAATGATTACAGACAAGAAGAACTATCGACATTATCCTCATCATCATCTATACTTAGATCACCATCGATAAAAAGTCAACATCCATTACCAACATATGATGAAAATATAAGTCGAAATGAAAGAAAAAATAATTATCAAGACCAATCACATAGAATAATAAACGATAACAAACTCACAAAACCAATGAGTTGGGTCGACAAGTACGTTGAGTATTTTATTAATTATGAAATATCTTCTTTTTTTTTTTTTGGATTAATATAGATTAGAAAAAAAATTCTCGAGAAAACATTTGAATACAACGCCTTTGAACGATATATCATCGAAAAATATTTCTCATATCTATATTGATGACAAAAAACGAATTGATCTTGATCATTTAAATATGAGAGGAGCGATTAATGTTCTTGAAGTAAATCTTATCAACGAAGCATTCCAAGCATTGATTAATAAGAAAAAAGATAATAAACAAAATGGATTAATGCGTATTTTAACAGCACCATCCCGATGCTGTCGAACATGTCGTACTCAACGACGTTTAGCAACAGCTGCTCAACGTTCTATTGATATTGCTATAAAAAATATCAAAATACCATCAACAGATAATTAAATCATATCCTTGTATATATAGTTCCTAAGTTGAATAAGATAGTTCTGACATTTTCTTGGACTTTTGATATTAGAATAATCTAAATATTTTATTATGTCATTTTAATATTGATTTTTGTATAAGTTTTTGTAAGTCCTCATCCTGGATATGATTGATATTCACAAGTTTCTACATTATTTATTGCAGTATGAATTCCAGGGGATTAAGATTGTTCATCAAAAAACTCTACCTTTTTTCAGGTCCTTAAATATTAATATAATCAATAGTAAATTGAATAAATCTAAAGTATAATCAGCTATAAATAAACAAACATAGTTAATTTATGAATAGTTTATGATAATATGATCAGAATCATTTTTAAAAGTGGGTGGATAGCTCATTTAAGACCGACAAACTTACTGTCAAATGCATCCTGAGCGTGTATTCACAATGATGTTAATTCGTCACAAATTATTCTTTCTTCTCTCTACGTCCTATTCTTTATTTTACAAAATCTCAAACATTCATTTCAACAAACGACGTTGTGAACATACATAGATTAACATCTTAATTTTATAGAAAAAAAAATGATGTTGTCCACAAATATTAATACTATTCCATTATTCCTCTATCTGCTCACCTTTTTTATTCTATCACCGGTTCACTCAATACCAATAAGATCAAAACAATCTTTATCATTTGAACCACCATCATCCGAATATAAACGATTGGCTACACAGTGTTTTATTGATGATTATGCAGCATGGTTAGAGCAACAAAATGAATTAATGGTCTGGCTTGCTTTTGCTAAATTACTTAAATTACCTGTAGAAGACAGTGGATTATTAAAGCAAGCATTGGAACAATTTCGTCTTCAACATCAATGTTTACGCGTTATCGAACGATTACCTTTGGCTGTTGGACCTGGTTAAATATATATTTATTGAAAAGAAAACATATCTTTGCGAGTGTTAAAGATATTAATAAAATAAATAAACTAAACCTTGCATATCATCGGAAATGCATTTTCTTTTATGTTTCAATTTTAAATATACATACATAATATACATATATAAACCTTGTGTTTTTTATTGATATTATAATTGATAGAATAGTAACTAAAAGAATAGGCTCTGTAAATCATAATATACAAAAAGAAAACTAATGAAAAGCATAGTCAGTAACGACAGGTTGTTATACTTTACAATTACATGACTACTAAATCACTCTGAGAACAAAATATTTTGGCAATAGTTTCAAATATGCAAAAATAAATCATTTCGACTTTGTTCTTTAGAGCTCAAATTCAGTTTCAATGTTGGTATCAGATATGATATGTTATTAATAGATAAAAGCAATAACTTGAATTATTTTTGTTATTCAATGGTTCCTCTAAGAGAACGAAGTTGTTTACCTCTGTCCGTGAACCTATAAAATAATACTTTAAGGTCTATTTTAAATATTTATAGCTAATAGTAATGTTAATAAATTTAAATGACACTTGATTTTATATCACAAAAGAATTCAAGGTATTTACACCTGCATGATGATTCAACACATTTATTCCATTCTTCACTTTAACTTATACTTATCTATTTCCTGTATCATTAACTAATAGACAGTATTACGATTTTAATATCTTTTGTCGTAGGAGAAAATGTAACTACGCACATACAGTCTCATTCTTTTCCAATCTTAATTTGATATAATGTTTCTAATGATGATTTATGTTATTATATAAAACGAAAAAAGAAAAGAACGTTTTTTTTCTACTCCTAATTTAATACAATTAATTTTCATCTCACGTTATAGTCGATTCTTAATCTGTAATGAACGAACTAATATACAAAACGTTGAAAAGATAAACATACATGCTTAATGAGTATATGATTACCTTGAACAACGACGTGCCTTTTATACTTAATACATTAAAATGTACAGAAAGAAAAAAGATAAATAGATTCAGAAGAGTACTCCCCATTTTTTGTTTATAGTTTATCCATTGAAGAAAGCTTTGTGTATATATACATAGCAAAAGGCAAATAATGGAATGGACTTCAAATTTTATATCAGAAATTTATAAATATCTTAAATATCGTGATGATACAAGTATAGATCGTCTTAATCGTTTATATACTGTTGCACTTTTAACAGCATTTGTTACATTAATTACTTCACAACAATATGTTGTCGGTGGACGTATTATTTGTTGGGCACCAAAAGAATTTACTGATCCACATATAACCTATGCACATGATATTTGTTGGTTAGGTCAATCAAATTATTATGTATCAGAAAATTATACTATATTAAATAATCCATCATCTCCAAGAATGTATCCATTTTCAATCTATCCATGGTTTCCATTAGTTCTTATTAGTATGATAGTAGGTTTTATTGCACCCTATTTACTTGTTTGGCATGGATTATCGACAAGATCAGGTATTAATATAAATCGATTAACAAAATTAAATAATCAAGAACAGTTAACTCATAATATACATTATATATTATCGAAAAAATATTCAATAAAAAACAATGGAAAATATTATGTTATAAGTATATATTTAATAATGAAATTTCTTTACATTATTAATTTAATAACTCAAATATTATTTATAAATAAAATATTAAATGGATATTATTTTCATATGAATTTAAAAGAGATTTTTCAAATTTTATCTGTTAAACATAATATGTGGTCATCAACATCAACAGTAGGTTATTTAATAGAATCTATTCTAAATTTTTTGTCTTATTAAATAGCCATATTTTCCAATTGAAACAATGTGTGGTAAGTGTAATTTCCGAAGAGAAAAATAAATATTTATTTTTTCGTTATTTAGATTTTATGGTTCGAATGCTAGGTATGATTAAAAATATCGAAATATATTTATTTATTTTTTCAAAAAAATAGGACATAATAATAATTGGTATACAATACAATGTATTTTACCATTTAATTTATTTACTAAACGAATATTTGCTCTATTAATCATATGGTTTAATATTTTATTAATTCTAAATTTAATTGATTTTATTATTGTTTGGTTATGGCATCGAATATGGTTAAGTTCACGACGTTATGAATATATTATTCGTTTATTTCATTTATATGAATTATATCTTTGTAAGTCTAGTATATTAATAACAATAAATCGAATAGATTTTTTTTCAGATGATAAAAGTAAAAGTCAATCAATAATGTTAGCAACTAGCAATCAAGCTCTTCGTAAAGAATTTGTTCAAAAATATTTAGGACTGTAAGAATAAACTTCGAAAGTAAAAATAATAATAAATTCGAATTATTTTAGAGATGGTTATCTATTATTAAAATTCTTGCATTCTAATTCAACCGATATGAATATGAGTTATCTTGTTGCTCATCTTTTCAAGGAATTCTTACAAATGGAACAACGACAACCTAAAAAATATACAAAACATGACAAAAATACTAATACATAATTGTTAAAAATTCGTTGTATTTTTTTTACTTATCGTTTTCAATAAAGAATTAGAGATTAGAATTTATTTTAAATACATTTATTATATAATAGTAATATTTTGTTTAAACAATCACAAGTGACAAATTACATACATATATTATTCTTGTTCGCAATTTCGACAAAATACGTGTAATTTCGCAGGAGAAAAAAAGAAAGATAATACACTTGTTTTTCAATAATATTGTCCTTGACCGTTGTGCCTGTTATTTTCTTGTTTTTGCACTTTAATTACAACGTTTAATCACTACTATACACTATTATTGCTTATAGGCCATCAAGCTATTCACCTATATTTAAATAATATGACAAAAAGACAAGTTAAGTGTCAGGTCATAAAAACAAGATCTTTAATAATTCGAAAAATAAATCATACATTATTAACATACGAACTAATTGGCATCTTGAGAAATTATTAACTAATAGCAATATTCTAGACATGATAAAGAAATAAAATATTTAATAGAATTCGTTTTTTACTATATCTATGATAATCTTTCATTTTAATGAAATGATTAAAATTTATTTTGTATATGTGTTATGTTTATTTTTTGTTGATTATAGGCAAAGAGTGCGCGTGCATTTTAGCAACAGGATAAGACAGGTGATGCTTTATTTGTACATATATTTCTCTCAGTTTTTGTCTCATGCTCGAGCAAGCACGTCATGTTCTTGTTTTCTTTGTGCTCACACTTTTCTTCTTCGTCATATATTTATACTCGATACAACAACAAAAATTATCCTATTGTTATTATATTTATATTGCGTTTAATATACTCGCCCAATGCTTAACGCTATACCAGACACACGTAAATCAGCGGATTTTATTGGAGGTTTTCTAACACCAAATGACATAGTTAGTGTTGATGCTCATCATGGAGCTCAAGAACAAGATGATCAGTTTGATCGTGAATCAATTAATATGAGTGAACGACGTCAATCATCTGTATATTCAAGCAAAAGTGAAACATCAAGTGTTGTAGTTCCACAAGTAGATTCGCCTGACGAATTAGGTAAGAAAAACAAAATATCTTGATAAGATTGACATATGAACGTAGGTCTATCATTATGTCAAAAGTTTAGTACTGACACATGCATTAAACCAAGGACATACAAAATATTGTAATTATAAACAGTAATAAAACAAGTAAATAATCTCCACCTACTGAAAGTATTATTTTCTTATTCAAATGCTTCTAATATGATTTGTCCTTGAATATTACGTCTTTTTTATCTCTCTAAACACACATGAATCATTATTCTGTATTGTATATGTATATAAATTTGAATAATGAAATCCGTCAAATTCTTATCTGATAGACAATTCATTATTTTTTTTATACATAAAATAAGTTAAATTTTGATAACACGGATAGAAATGATGTCAGTTATAATTCTGATTCTGATGAGAAGATGAATATGAAGTATGGATAATAATACTTATCATACGATACCAATTACTTGTCTTGATGAACATTTATCTATGACATATCGAAAATCTGGTCTGTTTATTTTTCATGTTAAAATTTGTTTTTTTGCAAAAAAAGTCAATATTAAAAATCTTATACATATTATAGTTCAGCGGCCCATATATGATGGTGCTCGTTTTCAAGCAGTTCAATCACGAACACCATGGCTTCGTTTATTAGCTGAATGTGTTGCTGAATTATTTGGTACAGCCATTCTGGTTGTAATCGGTTGTTCAGGCATTGCCCAATTTACTCTTTCAAAAGGTGTTCTTTCAAGTTTTTTATCAGTCAATTTTGCCTTTGGTTTCGGAGCACTCATTGCTGTTTATGTTGCTGGTCCTGTATCCGGTATGTGTGTCTCATTCTCATTTTAAATAAATCTTTATATCTTAATATTTAATATTAGGTGCTCATATTAATCCAGCTGTATCTATTGCCATGTTAAGTTTACGATCGATTACACCATTGCAATGTATTACTTATTGTATATCTCGTATGTAATTAAATTCGATTATTTATTATTGAGAAATTTTTAGTTTAGAATTTATTGGTGCGTTTATTGCGGCTGCATTAGTATTTGGAACTTATTATGATGCAATAAATAAATTTGATGGTGGTACGAGACAAGTAAGGAAAAGATTTATTTGTATTTTAATAAAAATAATAATTTTTGGTTAAAATTAGGTAACAGGTGCATTAGCAACTGCTGGTATATTTGGAACATTACCGGCACAAGGTGTTAGTCAAATATCACTTTTCTTTGATCAAGTTCTTTCAACAGCTCTTTTACTTATTGGTATTTGTTCTTTATCAAATAAACGAAATAAACTTGTAGCAAATTCTCAAATTCCAATTGCTGTTGGATTTATTATTATTGCTATCGGTGTTTCTTTTGGTATAAAATAGAATATCTGTTTTGTTTCTTTTTATTTCTTTATTTTCTCAAAGGTTACAATTGTGGTTTTCCAATAAATCCAGCACGTGATCTTGGTCCACGTTTATTATCGCTTTGTGTTGGTTATGGAACAGAAGTATTTTCTGTTGGTAATTATTATTTTTGGATACCATGTATAGGTCCAATATTTGGTGCATTAATTGGTGCGTGGGCTTATCATGGTTATAGTAAACTAATGAAAATACATATTGGTGAAGATGATAAAGAAATAACGCGTGCTCGTTATCAAGTTGATGTACAAAATGTTTCACGCATGTAACTGTGATTCAAATAATAAACAAACAAAAAAAAAAAATTCCGATTATTTACCCCCCTTTTTCTATTTGCGTGTATATATATAAATCTATGATTTTTTGAATTGAATAATAATCTAATTCAAAAAATGATGATATATTGTATTTTATATCTAGTGAATTGTTATTTTTAACGTTGAAAAAAGTAATAAAAATATTCTATTACATCTCTCATTTAAATTCTTTTTTTTTTGCTCTACGAAGTTATTAGTCATTGGATATGCAACGTGATCAGTATTATTAATTTCAACGGATACTTGTACTGTTATACCTCACCTGTATAATGTATACATACAGTTTATTTATATTATGAATAGATATAAAATAAAAACAAAGTATTATTTGACACTCGAAGATATAAACTATGTAGAAATAAAACATAGACGAGATTTTGTTTTAAAACAAATCAGTATAGATTTCAACTATCTTCGTCTGATTATTGAGTATATTATATATGAAGACAATATATCATATTATAATAAACTATCAAATTCCTATTGTATAATGTCTGAAATATATTTGAACATAGATACTAAAGGATTAAATCAATATATATATATTCTATGTAATGAATTTTCATCACACCTATAAAAGCCGATTTCTTTGCTGTTGTTACAGTTTATTAAATTATGTCGTTATTCTACGTAAGATATGTTTTATTTCTTTTGATTTTATGCCATTATTCATATGGATTATCCAAACTTCCATTATGTCAATGTGAATGTTGTCCAGGTGAACAATGTCAATCTCATTTAATGATTTTTTCAGTTGATAAATGTAATGCAACCACATGTTCGTTCGAACAATGTTATAAAATGTATCCAAAAAAGTGTGGTCTTATACCTGGCTTTACAAATACATCATGCTCTATTACTAATGATTCTACTACAACTGATACATTAGATAAAAATACTTTATTACCATTATCGAATACAACATCATCTATTATTATATTACCAATAACAATTATTATGAATATTTTATTCTATGTTTTTCTTAATTTTTAACTTTATTCTTAGAAATATTATTGTTTACATGTATATCATTTTTTTTGTTTTGAATAAAAATAATTAAAAATAAAACATACTACCATGTAAAATTGTAATACCACCTAAAACATAAGCAAGAACAGTATCAATAAGAAAAATAAAGGCTGAATAACCATTAAGATTCATTTGTTCATAGATTTTCATGAATGCTAATGTCATTGCAAAACCTGCACCAAATAATGTCAATGGAACAAGTATATAATATCGATTTGGATCACCTATTGTCGTTCCCATTAATAAAAATGATGTTATTGTACTTATTATAAGAAGAATAATACTAAATAAAATTAATAATGTTATTGTTCGATTTAATTCTTTTACAACGCAACAACATGGTTTTGAACATTGTTGAAATAAACCAATACGATCATGATTTATATTATTATTATTATTCCAATTCGTTGTTGAAATTGATAAAAGTGTTGTACTTAAAATAAATGTTGCAAACATAGATACTAATAAATCAATAACTAGTTTTTGATTCGAATACATGTTTATGTTAACAAAAAACGAAATGATGAAATGTTGATTCTGTTCTAGACTTCTTTCTTTTTTTTTTGAAATTTGATATTTATTCTGTCTGGTGTTTTATTTCATATCAATAAAGAATGAAAATTACAACGATTGTTTATAATTGATTTCTTTTATTTTATATCTATTCTAAAATATTATTTTCATCAATAGTAGACAGTAATAAATCATTTGATGGTTTTTTAATTGTCTTTCGTTTATAAACCTATATAAAATTTATTATGAAAAGAAATAGTTTTTTTTCGGTTTGTTACTTTTGCTAAATGTTGTGTTTTATTAATAAATTGTTCGAGATCAACACCAATTAATTCATCTAATTTATTTCCATGAAAATACCATTGAATAGTCGGTATTGTTGTCTATATATATATTAATAAAATGACAAAGATTATTTAAAGAGGATAAACACATAACGTAGCAGGTGTCCTCGAAATTGAGCTTTTGTATTACCACTTTTACCGGGAGTCCGTAAAATATGTTGGTTAGAGGGACCATAGCTTAAGAAAATACAGGTAAATCGGAACGAAATACCCAACAATATGTAAAATATTTTCAGGAAATCGGATGACGGTACGGCTGTGGGTGTGTAGTACGAGAGAAGAGTGACTTATACACACCTACACCCTTGTATGTTTTTATATGTCGGGAAGTCGTGACGAACATCTTTCCAGGGAAACCGTAAAAAAAAGTTGGTACGCTATGTCTCTTTCCCATTTAGAGAAATAAACTTGACTTAACTATATTCAAACGTTGAGTTAATTCAATATTATTTTCATCGATATCAATACGATAAAAATGAATATGAGTTAAATTTTGATCAGAAGATAAATCAAATACATTTGAACAAATCATTTTTGAGCCCAGCGACCAACATACAGTAAATACAATAATATTCAAACGTCGTTCAAGAATAATCTCATTGAATTGTTGTTCATTTGAAATAATATATAATGACATTTGTAATGGCGCATTAAAATTAATTTTTCTTATCAATGACTTTTCCTTTTCGATGTTCATCGAATGAAACACCATTCTTTCGTATAATTCTTTCATTTCATTCTATACTTACATTAAATCGTTATTGTCATTCATTGAAAATACTTCATTTACTTCGTTCACATTTTTCTCTATTGAAAAATTCTTTACCAATCATTTTATATGAAGTAACAACACATAATGAAATTATTTTAACAGATGAAATAATTCTAACAATACCAATTCATAGTGGAATTTATTTAGCTTTACTTAAACATAATGAAACGAAATATCAACCATTAATTGATTTAAAACTAGTCCCCGTAGAACTTTTCCCCGAGAAAAAATTCTTACCAAAAACGATACCATTTATTATCTATGAAATAGATTCATTTGTAAATGCATTGAGTAATATGATTGATTATATGAAAGACTATGAAAAAGGCAAAATTAATAGTCGAAAAAGTGCAAATCTATCGAATAGTAATTCACCACAAAATAGTATTAGTCAAATATCAACAACAAAACGTACATGTAAAAATAGAAATAAATATTTTACAGGAAACTATTGATCATATATTAAATTTTTAGATCGGACTAAAAGTACTATTCGACGAACTTCATCTTCTATAATTTCAACTGAATTTATACGTACACCTCGATCAACATCATCTATTATTCCATCTTATGCTGATTATAATGTTGATATTCGAAAATATTTTGTTACTGATCCTGAACGAATTAATCGGTTATCAATAGATAGTAAACCATTATCGTTTACATTTTGTTTGCTTAATCAAAAACAACAACAACAAATGAGAAATAAATATCCATCGATTATGGATATATTCGGTTAGTCAAAATTTCTTGTTTTCGTAATTCAAATATTTCTATAGAAAATAATCAATATTCATTCAATGAAAATGATCTTATTCTTTTTAAACACCATCTTTCTTCACTTAATCTCGATTCATCATTTATATTAGAATTAAAAAATTGTATACATCAATTAGCTATTGATAATAAACTTGATACAAATGAAATACATGATATATTAATAAAATTAAATTTTAGAATAATACATAATAATGATGTATTTAAAATCATTCATAGTTTGCAGAATGCAGCATCTACTGATACGAAAGACATGTTATTATCAAATTTAATGAAAATACTTTTTCGAATAGATTATTTAGAAAAATTTAATAAATTAGATAAAGAAAATATTCAAATATTCAATGAACGAATGAAACATCTGTAAATCCATACATATTTTCATAAGAATGATTGTTTTTTGTTATTAGAGCACAGATGGGTATATTAAATCAACAGTCAAAAATGTTTAAAAAACTTTATCAACTTGATCTATTTGAACATGAACCTAATCAATCAGCTTTCTCATCTTTTATTCATAATGATCTTCAACGTATTATATCTAAAAGAATACCACTGAATACATTAGGTATAAAAGAAATTATTCATCAACTTCAATTGAATATCAATCGTTTGGGAATAACAACTACACTTATACTTATTGATAATCTTCAACAATTTGTTCATTCAGGTTTATTTTTAATATTAAATAAATTACCACAATTAAAACGATATTTAATACAATTTGTGGAATATATACAAACCGGTCGATTTATTGGTATTCATCTTCAGCGTCTTATTGAACAAATGAATAGTACCGTTCAAATGAATACTATGAAAAAAGTTTTATTAACTAATCATTTGAATTCTTTATTACAAAAAGCTAAATTAGAATCAAAATCTGATGAACTGATTTATATTCTAATGAATTTAGCTTATCAAGGACAATTGAATACATGTATAAATATTGATTTACAACAAGTAACAATTAAACAACAAAGTATATTCTCTTTCTCATAGAGAAGGGTCTAGTAAACATAAATTGTCTGATTTCTTGTCTGTCCGCAGGGTCAAAAAAACATCGAAAACCGATTTTTCGAAAAAGACATTTCTACAGGTATTTTGATACGGAGAATTCAAATGTGCCCTTCATTTGCTCAGACTACTGAAGAAAGGTGGAGTGTGAATTGGGAAAAGTGACCTGGACTGATTGAAACCGAGTTTTTGGGTAATGCATTTCTATGGGTATCCAGATGTTCCCCTACTTGTAGTGCGTAGTGTGGCGATTATAAACTATTGGCTTTCTTGCGTATAAGGTTACTAACATTTCACCTATTCGTTAAAGGCTAGTTCGACAAGCCACTGGTGCCCCACAGCACACACATGTTTTGATCTGCATCTACCACTGAGTAGGGTTCGAGTATATGCTAAGGGTAAAGAACTACAAAGGAGAGCGGGGTTTCCAATTGTTTTTCCAGTAAATGTGAAGAGAATGTATTTCTATGAGAAAGAGCTAAGCGAGTCCTCGCACGAGAGTTACTTGTTTATTTTAAAATATCCAATAAAAATAAAAAATAAATATAATATTTAGAATCATTCACATTTATTTATGAAGAAAATTATATAGATAGAAATAATCTTCAATCATTACTTCTTTTTCTTCATGAACAATCATCTGCAGCATCACCATCGGGTCATCTTCCTTATCAATATGTATTAGATTTTATTCAATATCTTCGTCATTTTGCACAATTAGGAATTTTATATGAACCAAAACTTACTTATATACTAACTAATTTACATAAAGCTAAAGATCAAGATAAAATCAGTTCAGAAACAATTAAAAATAGTTTAGAACAAATTAAAACTATTAGCTATGTTTACGCATATGATCATTTAAATTTAACCGAATTCAATAATTTTTTAAATGATATGATTAATAGCGGTAAGAGAAAATGATCTATTTAGCTCTATCAAGTAATAAATCATATTTTACGTTTTTGATTATTGTGAATACTAGGTCAATTAACTCGTGGTCAGACATGGTATATTCTTGATCGTTTAATTGATTTATGTCGTATAGAACCTATTACAAATCATGATATTAAATTATTTCTTACAGATCTTCAACTTGAATATAATCGTCAACAACCAATTTATCCTAAATTAATTCATAGTTTTCAAATTCTTGCTAATTCTTATTCGAGTTCCTTTAGTGAACTTCATTCTTTAGAGCATGATTTAGAGAAAATTTTACTTTTATCAAATACGAATAATATGAAACGAATATCAGATGAAGTTCGAAGACGTTTAAATGAGATGTTATTGTATTGTAAAAAATTTAGTATGAATCGTCAATTACTTGAACAATTATTTAATCAAACAATGCATTCAAAATTTTATAATAAAATGAAAGAAATTTTAAAAACAAAAAATTTAATTAGTAGAAAACAATCCTTAACAGCTATCGTCCAAGTACACAAACAATTTGTACAAATAGCACGTTTAAATTCTCAGCTATTTCTAAATGATTATCAATTAGATTTAATTCTTCAAAATATTCAAATTAAACATCCAAACTTTGAAAATATTCTAAGACATATGGCTGAACTTGGACATTTACAAGTAAATTTAAATCAAACTTTAAAAAATTGAAATTAAGAACTTGAATAGGATAAATCTTTTGTCAATTATCTTATTGAACATTTCTTATCGAATGAATCATTATCTTCAAATATTGAAATTCCATCTAAATGGCCATTTATCTTAGATCTTAATCATTCAAATGTTAATGAATTAGTTAAACATTTAACACAACTTGAATTACAAGATAAAATTGATATAGGTACATCGATTGAAATTCAAAATCGTCTTAATCAAATAGCTCGTTTTGGTAAATGGTCATTGCCACAAATAAAATTTATTACTGATAGTATTCTTAAATGTCAAGGTAAAAAAAATTTATCCGATAAAAATGGTTTTCAATTAATTCAATATTATCGTTTAATTTTAAATGATATTACTCATGCAATTGAATTTGAATTCTATATACAAGACTTAGCATCTGAAAATCAATTATCAAATAATTTAACTTATCGTTTTCGTCATTTTTTATATGAAATTTTACATAATAATTTATCAATAGACGAACTTATTCGTTATCGTTTACAATTAAATGAATTTTATCATGTAAAACAAATGGATATTGATCAAATAAAAAGATTTATTGATTTATTACCACAAGAATATAATAATTTATTTCCATTAACTTTAACTGATCAATTATTAGAACGATTAAAATGGGATGAAAAAATAGTAAATGAACCAATACGAGATCAATTATTAAAAGTATGAAACACAACTTATAAGCATATTTAATCCTAATAGTACGCAGTCTTTTTTTTCACATTTTGTACAACCGTAAATGAGCTCTATATGATCACCTTTCCCATCTGAAGATTGCTATCATATCCTTCCCCAAACCTTCGTCCTCCAGTGTTGCTTTGTATTCTATCCTCAATCACACTACAGATTATACAGTCAATAATGATCAACTTGATGATACTACAAGAGTGAAATATAGCCAAGAGGGAACAAGCGAAACTTCCGTACTCCTATCGTACCTCCATTATACTCCCATTGTACTTCCTTTTGACAATAGGAGTGCATGAGAGAACCATGGCACTACAATGACCTATTGTACCTCCATTGTACTTCATCTGTACTCGCATTGTACTCCCTTGCACTCCCATCGTACTTCAAAAACGTTTTGAAGAGATGAAGTCTCGCTTTTTCCCCCTTGAATATAACTCTATTTTTATTCGTTGATAAATAGAAATTCATTCAAAGTATTAATCAGCTTATTAATTTACATAAGAAAATACAAAATTTTAGTAGATTTCTCAAAATAGACTGTATTCGTAAGTATTTAACCTTGTTCTTTCAACTAACACTTTTTATAAGATGAGACCTTATGATATGTGTATATATAAAATAAAATCTGAAGGAAAAAGATTATGACCTAGAGATATATATTTTCTATTCACTAAATATTTTTCTTCGTCTAGTTCGAACGTTCAGGTGTCCTATCACAAGATACCTTTGAAGATGTCTATGACAATCTTTATCATACATCAGAAATTTCTCATCTTTCATTACAACTTAATAATCATAATCAACTACTCTTTAAACTATTCGATAAAATAAATGATTTATATACTGATGATATAATCGATTTACAACAATCAATTGAAATAAAAGAACAAATTTATTTCCTAGAAGATATATATGAATTAAGTGATTCATCACAAATAATTACAATACAATCACGTCTTTTTAATTCATTAAATCAAAATGAATTTCATATGATTTCCAAACAATTAAAAACTTTTGTATATCAAGAACAATTTCGTTTATCTAAAGTACAAGATTTACTTTCAACTTGGCATTTAAATGAAAAGAAAACGAATACGAATGAAAAACAAATCATAAAATTATTCAATGAACTTGCTGATCTCAATCAACTCTTAGATCATTCAACCGTCGTAGTTCTGAATCGATATATTAAAATAAAACAAATTAATCAAACAGTTTATCGACAATTTATCAAATCTATACAACGTTTAAAAGATCATGCATTAATTAATAAACAAGCAATAGATTGTATCCGATCAATAGAAGCTCGAATATATAAAACTGATTATAGCCGACGATTTCATGAATTATTAATTAAAAAAATCGAAAATATTTTAAAAGAACTATTTCATAATTTCTCTCATTCATATGAACAACATTTACGTAATGATATTTGTAAGAAATTAAATGAATTAGTTATAGTTTATATCAAATCAAATATAGATGAAAATTCATCTGATAATTTATTAAGTACATTTGATTCTTATATTACACAAATTAAACAAGATCAATTAAGATCTTCAAAAGCTCGTAGTCATCATGTTTTATCAGATACGACCGTTCCGACAATAGCATCTTCTTTAGAATCATTAATAAGTATTAATTAGATAAATCAAGTTTTTCATACACGAAATGTAACCATAGTAATATTGATGAATACAAAACAGAAAATAGATCGTCCTCATTATGTTTTTGCACAAGTTAGTTATCGAATATATTTTCGAACAAAAAAAAATTCATTGTCTATTTTAGAATAGCTCATTTTACCCTGAACATGTACCAATTAAGTATGGTTTTCGTATGCATAAATTAATTGAAAATAAGCATTTACCATTATGGCAATTTAGTGACGAAAATAAAAATCAAATTATCTATCATTCTGTATGCTTATTGATATTAATTTATAAGGACAAAAAATAATAATATTTCGATTTAATTTCTTATAAAAATATATTTAGCCAATGAATGAAAATTCATTGAATAATACCAATTTACCTTTGATTTTTCATCGATTATCAACTACGACTACTACTACCACTATTCCACATTCTTCATTATCTATTGATTATCAGATACAACATCGTTGGATTAATGCATTGCTAAATAGCAGTCAATCAAAAGAATATCATAAACAAATGTCAATGTCTATTCAGAAAAATGCTTATCCATCATTAGAGTCATCCATACTTGTTCCGAATAAAGCTTTACAATCAAATATAATTACATCAAAAATTGATAGTAATAAACGAGAAATTCAACGAAAAAAACGAATACAATGTATCACATATGAAGAACATTTACAACGATATTATTTACCAAAATGGTGTTTAACTTATACAAAAGATTTAATATCATAGTTTTAAATAGACCTTGAAAATGAGAAGGTTTCGATATCTTATCTTAACGAAAAGACAGTCGTCTGTTTGTTCTAACAATTAGATGTATGTGTATATATGTCAAGCATAGAATTGTTTTATTCGATTGCAAAAAAATTTGACGTTCTTAAATGTTATTATTGCTTCAAATGAAGTAATTAGACTAAATGATGATAATGATTGAAAAATATGCGCAATAAATTTGATTGATATCTCGATGCAATGATTTTCGTTTGCTCTTTCGTCGTCTTGCTGACAGACGATCAATGATAACTTGTATCTCTATGCATATAAATGAAGTGTACCGTGTAATTGTATATGTCGTTTTCTCCTTACAACATTATCAATCTTGCTTTTTGTCGACCTTCGCAAAAGGACTGTTTGCTTGGCTTGGCTTGGCTTGGATCAGCTTGGCTTGTCTAACAGGCGTACACTTGTTTGTTTCGTTAGTTTCTCGTTTAGCAGCTGTAAACGTTAATAGGATATGGAATAATGATGACGATGATGATGATGACGATGGCCAAGAGAAGAATAACAGCCGCTAACAATCTATAAGAACATTAATTTGTCATAAGATAAAAATCTTCTGAATATTATTTATGGTTTATTGTTTCATATTATAAACATTAATTCTTTCTCTTTTTTTTGTTTGTTGTCTGTTATGTAATAATATGTATATATATATAGTAAATTAATAAAAAAATAAAAATACTACGAAAAAAAAGGTTGAATGCTAAAATATGGTCACTTTCATTTCTTAATAGACAGAACGCACCTGTTCGATCATTTCTCTTTCCAATAGTAGGAGGAAAAAAAAAGAGAAACTTGTTTTTTTTGTCAGTTCTTTTTGTTATTTTCCCTCGTTCCTATCATACTGATCGAACATATATACAAAGAACTACTCAGTTTAGTGCCAACAATTTCAACGATCCGTATATTATACATTTAAAATAAAGTTGATTATGTCTCGATTTAAATCCTATATTAATCCTACACTTATAAAAGATAGTAAGAATGGATCGAATATATCGATTCACTCAACAGCAACACCAACACGACGACATGTTACACAAGTAAAAAAAAGATTTTGAACAAAAAAAAAATTTCATTTTTTTTAATAATATTATAAAATTATTTAGATTACAATTGGAGCTGATGATGATAATGATAAACCACCAATTCCACCAACACGTCATCCAATGGTGAATCGATTAACATCAAGTATAGATGAATCACTTGTAAATTTAAGTTTTCTTAGTCAAGATGCTGATGTTGAACAAGAACGAGCTTTATATGAACTTGAACAAGTATTTAGCCAAGTTCGTAAACATATCGATAAATGTTTTCGTCAATATGAGCATGAAATAAAATCATCATATGTTAATTATGATCAACATTTACATGATTTAAAATTACGATTAAAACAAGTACGACAAGAACTTATACAAAATTTTACTTCTGTTCATCATAATGATAATGATAATGATAATGATTATTCATTTGATATTGATAAATATCGTTATTTAGAAATGCTTACAACTCAAACACTTAATCAAACAATGAAAGATCAAAAAAAATTACCAAAATATCGAATAAAATTAAATAATATTGATCGATTAGATCAATTTTTTAATATTGATTCTGACCAAAAATCTTCGAGGACAATATCTGAAACAGATAATGTTGATAATGATGATTCGTCTAGAGATATTACATCAATAGAAAGAAGTTTATCAGTCGGTTAGTATAATTTCATATAAGATTAACGATAGATTCATCTTCTATTTGTAATTCTGTATTGTTTTTGCAATTGGAGCTTGAGATATAATATAAATAAACTTTTTTCTTTAGGGCTTCTTTTTTTTGCTTAATACGTTATCGTTTTTCACACATTAATAGTAAAAATCGAAATATATACAGTTTTATAGTACATATCATAAGAATTTGATAACTTCAGCGAGAAAAAAGAATGTCAGGTATGGAATATATTTTTAAACTATAGTTAATATTTAGAAAATAATTAAGATTGTTATAATCTTATAATTTTATTTTTTCTTTAGTTACATCAACGTCTACGGATATTACAGATGAATATGATAATGTTCCAAAAGATGATTATGGTGAATATCGTGTATCGTATCATAATGCATTAAAAGCTCCATTAATAAATCTTGAAAAATGGAGTTGTCCACTTGGTTTTGGTAATTATTTTATTCCACTTTCAACACCATATCGTCAAAGTTCATTGTTATTATATTGTCTTGATCGTGAATCATTTATTTGTTATGATTCTCAATCATTATTATCTTTACCTACAGTAATTAAATGGCGTGGTACACGTCCATCAGCTGTTTATTGGTTCGATGAAATGAATATGTTATTTGTTGCTTGTCGTACACATATATATGGTTGTTATTTAGATGAAAAAGTTCCTGATTCTCAACGTATTAATATTCGTATACCTGTTGAACAAACATCGACATGGTCAGATACTCAAGGTCATGTATGTTGGCCAAATTTTTTGACCTGTGGTGGTGGAATTGATCGATTACTTTATGCATATTGGACTGATGTAGTAAATAAAAATGCTACACCATCAACATCATTTATATATTATCAAATACAAGGAAATAGTTTTCTAATAAAATCACAATTTCTTATTGATGGTCGTTTACGTGCATTACATTCAACATTATCAACAGGTCGTCTTGGACTTCTAATTGAACATATAACTAATCAGTGTACTCATCTGGAAATTCGTACATCAAAAGAATTTTCTCTATTAGCTAAATTTGAATTACGTACAGCATATGAACAATTTCGTTATGGTTGTTGTTTAACAAATTTAATGTTTAATTCTAATTCATATGTTTTATGTGATCATAAACAACAACAATTATGGCATGTTAATGGAGATACAGGAGATATTAAAGTTAAACATATGAATGAATCTATTTATAGTATTAGTTGTTTATTAGATGGTACATTAGCTATGTTAACAGGTACACCTATGAGATTTGATTTTATTTATGATCCAAATGATACTGGAATTATATTAAAAGATCTTTTTCATGAAGAAGAATCAATTGAAGTGTAATAAATAAGAAAAAATATTTGGTTGTTATTTCGTTTTTTCTAGAGAAAAAACATAAATATTTGAATGATTTTATGCGTAATGTATTATTTAACAATCATCAATAAACTGAATAACAGTGAAGATGTGTGAGATCATAAAAAAACTCATTTTATTGGCTTGTTAAGTATTCATGACTATTTTTAAAATATTTGCTTGATTTTATCATTAGCATAAATAAATATATAGAAATATATTTACGATTAAAAATGTTAATTTATAAATAAACAAATTTGAAATTAAAATAATTACAGGTATAGAAAAACTATTTGGATTTAAGATTGGACTAACTTCTAATTTTATGAACTGAAGTTTAATATATTATTGCACCTGTATCTGTCGAAAAATAAACTACTTAACTTATTTTTTATGACATTTTTCTGTAGATCAAAATTTAATTTTTGGATATTATTTAAAGAGAAATATTAAATTTTTCTATATAAATCAGGTATTAAAAAAACAAGATTTGCAATCAAAACAGTTGTCTGTCAGGTAAACGTTTTCTTAAACTTGAATAAGAGAAGAAGAAGACAACTATACTTTTAAAACCGTTAAAGTGTTTTGAGTGATTTAACTCGATTGAATATAACTATGCGCTAAATGTTAATAAAGAGTATCTACTGTTCATTTCAAAATAGAAGGTGAATAATTGCGAGTTTAATAACTCAAACAGCTATTAAGGTATGCAACCATATGTAAAAATCTGATCTTAGTAACTATTTTTGTTCTTAAGTTATTAGGTTCGCGATCACTTATCTTCTATTTTGAAAGGGATATTAGTGTCAAAAAAAGTTTCTTTTCTATCATATTTAAAAAACTGTTCGGAATGATTTGGTCGGATATGAATATTTTTATCGAGTTCAAGTCAAAAAGTGAGTATATATCTGGAATAAAGTTTGATAATGGTGGAGTTCTAAAAATATAGGTATTTCATAGAAATCTTAATCCTCAATAATCACAACTAACTCTTATTAGACAGATTAAAAGTAAAAGAAATAACGGACTTATTTTCTTTATTGATCTATAGTTAGATCTCTTATTTGGATTGTATACATCCTATGTCAATAATCGAAGAAGGAGCGTATTATCTATAACTATTTGTAAAGGATTATCGCAATAATGAGAATGTCTCATGGATGTTCAATATATCTGCCAGAAAAGTTTGTCGGTTTTTTTGTAGAGTTGCATTTATATCATAGAATTTATTAACATCAAAATATAAAAAACGATTTGATTCTCATGAAATCTGTAATCGGTTTTAGACTGTTTTTATAAGAAGAAACGAAAAACAACATATCGATTTCTACTAAATGACAGCGAACTCTCGTATCAGTTTCATACGAGTATACATAGTATATTTGTATGTTTTTCTGACAGATTCTCTTAGCAAAAAACTGATAATAACCTATTTTGCTTACTATTTACATTCAGAATGTTTCAAAAAAACAAAATATAGCTATGACTGTATAAAGAGCAAGCTGCTATTTCTCTTGAATACATGATTCGTCAGTATATGAAATTACTCTGAACTATTACACTTAAATCTAGATCGATATTTTGTAGTCATTATCCAAATCAATAGTAAATTGAACAACATGTATTGCTTGAATATATATTTTTATAATAAATACTATTTCATATTACAATAAAGTTTTGAAAATTTTCCTTTACAAGATAATGAAATTTTTACTTTATTTTTCAGTCTGTTCTTGTAATAAAGAAAATAACATAAACAAGGAAAAAAAAAGAAAGAAAGACAACAGCAACAACGAAATATAAGTACACGCACACACATATATAAAGATAATATCGGTATTAGATTTTTGTCGATTGAAATGAATACATACGTTTGATAGTATTATTAACCATAATAATCACATGAAAATCGCAAAAAACGCGAAAATACAAAACAAAAAGAAGAAGCAAAAAGCAATATCAAAAGAGAACAATCACCAAGCAATAGAATACAAGAATAACGACAATGATATTCACTCTTTTCTTTTATATGTCTAATTGTTTAATCAAATTATATATACAATTGATAGAAAAATAGAAATTTCTAACAAGATCAAGATGATATATTTTATTGTTTTTGAGTTTGCGCTATATAATGTTGAATATGATTTTCGAAATCATCCATCGAACAATCAGCTGGAATTGGCTAAAATAATACGAAAGAAAAACAAAGATAAATAAAGATAAAAGTAAATAATTTCAACAGACCATTCCAGTTAAATTAAGTAGTTCAGTTACTTCAGCTTGTATACGTTGACATGACGCACGCCAACGAGCTTCATCAGCTTTACGTTGTTCAACAATCTAAACAAAAAAAAACTTTTCTAAATAAACACAAAAAATAGTTTTTATTTCATTTACTTTTGTCATCTTTTCTCGATATGATTGCATAAATACTTCAACATCAAATTGACCAAGTTCATCATAAGCCATTGATGATATTTGTTCACGTGATAATTCCCAATCGGGTGGTAGCATAAACTAGAAAAGTAAGTTTTTTAGTTACAAAATATCTAATTGTAACATAAGAAAATTCTATACTTTAATCAATGATTTAAATTTTCTTGCAATACTAAATAATGGTTCATTTTCATTATTTGTTGGTTCAGTTGTTGTTGCTGTTGTTATTGTTGATAACGATGGCGGTTGGGGTGGGGGAGGAGGAGGAGGTGGAGCAGCAGCAGCAACAGCAGTAGGTGTATCAATATAAGACCAAGCCGGTGATTTAAAACTGAATGAATAATCAAATTCAGCTGTTGGAAATTCATCAAAACGCATTTTAAAAAGTCCACGTTTCTCATTTACAGTTAAAACTTTGCCAGGACGATGACTACCTTGATACATAGCTGATACACGTGCACCAATTGTTGGTGGTTGACGACGAGCAATCGAATTCGTATCAGTTTTATCAGGAGTTTCATTATCATCGTCCATTACCTGAATATTATTTGTTGATGATACGGAATCTGACGAAGTCGTTTGTTGATTTGTTGATCGTGACGTTTCATTTCGAGCTGCTGCTGTTGTTGTTGTTGACGAACGTGAAAGCTAATAAATAAATACTGATTATATCGTGAACTTATAGGAGTATATTAGTTTGTATAGATAAAAGAATCGAATAACATCTTTTACTTCATGAGATTAAATAATTATCTTCTTGACTTACTCGAGTAGATGTTGATGGTGGTGGTGTTGGTGGTGTTTTGGTTTTTTTTGCAGGTACTGTTGAAGTTTTTCCACGTGTTCTTTTATTTGTTGGTGATGGAACCTTTTCTTCTTCTTCCTCTTCTTCTTCCTCCTCTTCTTCTTCTTCTTCTTCTTCTTCTTTTTCTTCTTCTTCTTCCTCTTCCTCTTCTTTTTCTTCTTCTTCTTCTTCTTCTGCATCTTCTTCTTCTTCGTCTTCATCATCTTTGTCACTCACAGTTTCAGGTGGTTTGGCTTTCGATTTGCCTTTATTTGACTGTTGTGATACAGGTCGTTTTTGTCTTTTATTTGCTTTTGCTTTCGCTGACAAAGACCTAGATGGTGGTATAGATCGCTTTTGAGGAGTAATTGATGGCGGAACAACATTTGAACGTAATGATGTTGTTTTAGATTTCTATATTTTTATTTCGATATATACATGTGTTAAATGAAATGAAAATGAAAAATGTTATATTTACAGCAGCAGTCGTAGTCGAAGAAATTTCTGCATTAGAAACTCGTTTATTTGTTACTGATGATCGAGTTGGTAATCCTGATGATGTTGGTGGTTGAGGTGAAACTGCTTTTGATGATGTTCGACTTTGAGCATTTGTAGGGGGTGCCTTTTGTTTTAATTCACCTTCCGGTATAGTTTCAAGTTTTTCACTTGCCGAACAACTAAAATATTGTTTGTCAAAAGAATATTTTTTAATTAAATTTGATAGAAATTTCTACATACGTATTATTCATAACATCAGTATTATCTGAACATCGCCATGCTTCAAGTTTAGGTTGTGTTAATGGCGTAGCATTACCAGCATAGGGTAATCGACGCCATTTCAAACATTTATCACATTGAATAAGCATTGGTACAGCTGCTTGACGTCGTTTCACAACTTCAGTATCATTTGATGGTAATCGATCAAGTTGATCATCACGATAGCCTTTTATAAACAAATAATATAATAAATATTGAAACATAAATTAATATTACCATAAGTCTCCCAAAATTCTTTAACATAATTTTCAATTCCAGCATCAGACCAATATTGTCGCATATATTCACCGATATTTTTCAAAAGAAAATGATATTCTTTTTCATCAGCAAATGATTGTTTATTATGTGTTGGTTCAAGTACAATTGATGGTACATCAACAATACCAACGACACCACGACAATATCTATTATGAAATAAACAACAAATCTGAATCTATAATTCTCTTTTTATTTAAACTTACACAGTTTTTTTATTTGGTTGTCCGATTTTTTCATACATTTTAATAAGTCGACCACAATTATAAACAAAAACTCCATCAGCTGCTCGATTTTGAATATTTAAACCAAAAATAAAAGTTAACGTTTTAGTTGTATTCATTTCTGATTTTTTTCTTGTTAATCCATTACGTAAACGTAATACCATATCTTTTAATTCCGATGCTGTAACTTGTAATTTTCGTAGACGTGTACGTTCTTCAACTGATGTTGTTACACCAATCGTTTGTTGACAATGATGAACTTGTGAATCAATTTCACGTTTACGTTCTTCTAATGATTCAAGTTCTTTTTCACATTTTTTTATTTCTTGTTCAGAACGTGTTTTAAAACGTGTCGATTTAAATTGATATTGCCGAGGTTTATATAATGTATGCGGTAATTTTTTTGTTATAACACGTCGTCGTTGTATTGTTATACGCATACGTGGTTCATAATAAAGTATTGAAACATAAGCACGAAGTGAACGATTTTCTAATGGTGTACTTCAAAAGAAAACATAGATATTAACAATAAAATAGAAAAACATTTTCTAATATTTACAGATCATCTTCGTCATCGAATAAATTTCGTCGATTTTTTGAATCAATTAAAATATCATTTGTATCTGTTTTTATATCTAATTCAGGCTCACCCGTATCAGTTAATTTAACATTATATAAAATAATTAATGTTCCACTTGATGTCGTTATTAAATTAAATTGTTTAAATAAATCATCAATTGATTTAAATGGTGAATATTTTGTTATTATACGCATCTCAAGTTCATGTTTAGTCTTATCATATGTATATGAACGTGTACCAGCTAATTGTTGGTAGTCAGTATTTTGAATAGGTTGTTTTGTACGTAAATCAAAACAAGGCATTGGACATATAACTTGTGAAATATGTTCCTCTTGATGAAATGAACGTGATAAAAATAAACATGTACCAATATTATCTTTTTTTGTAAATAATATAAAATCGCTAGCAACACGCATTGCACCTGATTTTAAACCATTACCATATTGACCGATTTGATTCGAATCGGGAGCATGACGTTTCGCTGATTTACCAAAGACAATCACATTGTGTACATCATCTAAGTAATGAGAATAGTATGAATAATGATACATATATTTAATACAACAATGATATTAAAATCTCATTTAATACTTCATCTATTCTCTAACAATAGAAAAAAATATCTGATCAACAAACTCACCATAATGCATACCGCAACCATCATCCAAAAATGCCAAATAAAATCCTCCACGTAAAGCAGGATCTCTCTGTGTATAAATATCAAGATTTCTTGCGCCAGCATCACGTGAATTATCAACTAATTCAGCTAATGCTCCAAAAAGGAATGTATGTGTAGTCGAATTTGTATGCAAATATTCAAAGCTCAATTGAGCTTTATTTAAACAATCGTATTGTTCCATTATTTCATGATTATCAAAAATGAAAGAAATAAAAATCAATGCAGAATGATTCTATGTCATAATTATAGAAAAAACAAAATAGAGAGACATCACATATTGTAAATATTTATATATATATATAATATTAAATGAATTCATTTTTAAAACATAAAGCAAACATACAAATTGGAAAAGAAAGCAAAAAAAGTATTAAGTAATAAAATTATGCCAGATCAAATGCGTAGGTGGCTTTTTTATGCATGATTAATTGATTGTCAACAAAATAAAAGCTATCCGATTTTGTTTCATATGGATGTGCAATCATTTCTTTAACTAAAATAAATAGAAATAATATTTAAGTATATAGATATGTATTAAAATTATTTACTTTGTTTCGAATCAATTTCAGGCATATCATAAATATGTTCAATGGAATTAGTTGTATCTGGTGGACAGAAACCAAAATCAAAATCAAAAGATTTAATCAATTGATCACGAAAAAAATGACGTTCAACCATGCGAAAAGATTTGACTTCACGATTACCAACTTTAAACCCGACTCTAGAAATAAAATAAACATCAATAAAAAAATATACAGTCATCATATCAGTTGCTAAGATGAATGCAAATCAATAGTGTTTACATTGATCTTGAATTATAATATGTAATCATATTTGAACACGTCTAGTCATTAAATATTTATGAATATAGAGGTCACTAGAAGATTATTAGTTGAATATTAGTGACACGCATAGATAAAGAATACTATTCTCAAAGGTAAATATAAGAAGTAAACGATACTGAAGAGAACTGTCAATTTTATGATAAGAATAAAGAGTGTTTGTTTATTTAAAAAAGAACGCATGTTGAATGTTATTGATTTGATTTAAATTTCTGCGAAAAATTGCACAGAACATTTAAAATGACTCAATCTTCCGAAAAGAATTTCAGTGATCTCATAAGGCTTCCAAGTCGATCAAATCCTATTATTTTTTGATTAACTTACAAAGCGCCAACTTGTTTAAGTTTAAGAAATGCTGGTGGAAAACGATATTGAACAAAACGACCAGCTGATGTATCACCGCCATCAATTGCTTCATCCTCATCATCTAATAAACATAATTACAAATAAACAATAGAAATTAATTAAATACATACCAGGATCTCGTTGAACTTCAAAAAGAACCTTATTTGTTTTCATATCACGAATACGAAAATGAACAAAATCAATTTTATACACATTCTCATCTGTTTCTGTTAAATATTCTATAATAAACAAAAATATTCTTTTTATCGTAAAACTGTTGAGTTTTTTATTATTATTTTTACCATTCGTAGCTTTTTTCAATCGAAGTACATCACTAATAGTAATAGGTGTTTCCTTTTTCTTTAATTCTTCTTCAGTAATTGGTGTATCATTCGTAGCAGCAGATGCTGCTTGCTCATTCTTTGGTTTCGATGGTTTTGTTGTTGGTGATACAATAGTCGTCATTGTATTGAATTCTAAGTAAAATGAAGAGAAAAAAAATGAAATAATTTTGATATTTTACTACGAAAAGATGTTTTTTTTAATGTTTTTTTTCAAAAGAAAAAAAAACAGAAATATACAAATACGGTATTTACAAAGGAAGTAGATACACAATAACAACAAAAAAAAAGAACAGTAGAAGATCTTTTGATTAATAATACATGAGAAAAAAAGAAATCTGCCATTCTTAGATTTTTTTCAAAATGACGAAAAGAAAAGAAATGAATAAGTGCTTGTCTGGTCTCGTTTTTTTTTCAGAAGATTAAATAAAGAACAGAAGAAAGAAAAACAACAAAACGAACAGGTAATCGTAGCAACACATTTTCGAATAAAATGATACAAGAAAATGAATAAAAATAGTGAGATACGATTATTTAAATTTTAATGAGTAGTTGAAGAATCAGTTCGTGCCGATAAGATTCGTATAGGTCTAGAATAAATAATACTATAGATGATTTCTAATTAAATTAAAGAGAAATATCTCTTGATCGTAAAAATTCTTTAATACGAAGATAAGAACACTTGACTTTATGAGAGATATTATTCGAAAATAAAGTCGTATAAAGAAAATTGTCTTTGTAAAAATCACAGTATATAATCTATTTGATAAATTTCAAACTTACTTGATAATATTATTCGTTGGTTCATTAGATGTAGTCGATTTAATAGATAGACCATTTATATCTTTTTCAACAACTTCTTCAATATGTTTATTTAATTCAGCTATTTTTGGATCTCGTTCATCACGTGGTTTACCTATGATATAAATGAATAAATTTCATATGTGATATTCGAGTAAAATTTTGTTGTCTTTTATTTACCACATCCGAAAATACTCGTATTTCGTGCTGCTGGTTCTTTTGATTGGTTATCATTTGTAGATGGTTGAACTTTTTGTGAACGAGGTAATAATTGTAAACGTGGTCGATTTTCTATGGAAGAAACAAGATCATCTTTCATTTGTCATATATTTATATGTATGTATGTACCTGTTGATATTGTATTGCTATTAATATCATGTAAACTATTGCTTGTCGATGTTGAATTTTTTTCATCTCGATTATTAGTCGTTCCATTGGAATTTAATCTTTGTCGAGATCCTGATATTGATGGTGGACGATTATTATTATAATATGATGATGAACCTTGATTTCCAGAATTTGATAATGTTTGTGAATTATGATGTTGTTGAGATTGATTTGAATATGATGATGTCATTCGATCGTTATATGTACGGTCATTTCCTGACATTTGTGATGGTATATGTCTTTGAGAATAATTTCCAGTATTACGTCCATGCATGGATTGATTATTCATTAAATTTGGAGGTGTACGTTGATTTAAACGAGCTTTAGATGTTTGATTTCTTACGGAAGAATTATCAACATCATCATTACTGATAGTATTATTGTTTGTTGATGATGATGTTTCAATAACAGACTCATCAATAGGACAATCTGCCCAATTTCGACTTTGTTGTCGAGTTATCGTTGTACTATCTTCCTTGCTATTTAGATGTTCATCGTTACCATCTTCATTTGATATTGCTGTATCTGGCGTAATAAAAACATCATCAGATATTTGACTTGTTATTCGTTTATTTTGTGATTGAGATTTTTGTTCATTATTATCATCTGAATTAACTTGATTGTGATAACCTAGACAGAAAAAATGAAATTAACCATATACATTATTCATTAAACCATCTGTATAGTGTAAAATATATTTTAAGACTTAGAATCATGATAAATATTTATAATTGAATTTAAAATAAAGTTTATTTTACCATGATTATTTCCATTTCTATAATGACTATTTTCAATTATCTGACCAGGACCACGTTGATTATCATTCTGACGAAATCTGTCGTTAGATTGATAGTTGTTGTTATTATTATTATTATTTTTGTTACCAGATGGTTGACGAGGACCATTACGCGATTCAAAATTAGCTAAGAATAAGAAAAAAAAAGGCTATTTTGTAAATAAATAAATAATTATAGATTTACGTTTATTTCGAAATCCTTCAGATTTAGGTGCGCCAAGCGGTCGACTTGCAACATCAATTCGAATAGGTCGATCATTAACAAACTAAAATAAATAGAAGAAAAAAGAAATTAATTATCTCTGCGTTTTAGTTCTTCTATTGTAGTTATGTACCATTCCATCCAATGCGATAGCACTACGTAATGAATCCGCATCCTCAAATTCAACATAAGCAAAGCCTTTTGATTAATAAAAACAAAACAAAAATAAATGTTAGTATTTAATTATAATTAAAGCATTAATAAAATAATACCTCGAAATCGATCTGTTTGTCGATCACGAACTAATCGAACTTGTTTTACTTTCAGACCAGTAAATAATTGTTTTTCAAAATCACCTTGTACCATCGTATCCGGTGTATTACCAATATAAGCCGTATACGGTGGTTCATTTGGTATCATACGATTACGTTTTGGTTCATTTCGATTATGCGATCTAAAGACATGACTTTGTACATCATAGTTTATTTTCTATTTAAAATAAAAGAATCCTACTCTAGAGAAATTCTTCTTCTCCTCTTTTATTATAGATGATTACTTTTGAGAAAAAAAAAAAGAATCTTTATAGTAAAAATCTTTGCTAATACATACCCATAATTATTATAATTACCACTATTATTACGTCTTACTTCTCTGCCGTTCATAGAGAGATGATAATAAATTAATTATTTAATATTTGGGTTCTTTTCTTTTATCTATATAAAGACCTAAACTTAACTTGTTTAGGTCAAAATGTAATGATAAGAGAATAATCTTTTTCTAAAAAAAAACCAAAACAAGAAATGAACAATCATAAAAAGAACCATTTAAAAGGTTTAAAGTTTTTGTTTTTTTAATATGTTGTGCATTTTTTGTTTGTTTCATGTTCACGTTCAAAAAGAGAGAAAAACCTAAACAGTCCAACAGAAAAGAACGACGAAAAAAGAAAGCCTGGATTTACATTGAAAAAGAAAAACGAAAGAAAACGACAATATGTTTTGTATGTTTTGTATGTATGTGTGTGTATGTGTATGTGTATATAATTTTTGTTTTGTACGAGACAAAGAATAATGTTAACTTAATATAAAAAAGCACTCAACAACAGCAAGACCATAAAAGTTTAAGATATAAGGAAACAGTTACGAAAGGGCTGTGCCCAGTGTGAAAGAAGCAAAGATTAAGGATCGAATCACAGTTACACGTTCAAGACACACTTACATACATTAATAAGTTTAGCAGTAGTAATAAAAGAAGAAGAACAAGAGAAAAAAAAGAGAAAAATTAACACAATTTTTGTGTTGATCAATAGATTCGTTCATATTTATTGAAATGGACGTTGTTGGTTTTGTTGATTATTATAAACGTTGCTTGTAGCACGTTGTTGTTGTTGTTGTTGTTGTTTATTCACACCTTGATGTTGTTGACCTGATGATGGTGGTGGCATTTGTTGAGGTTGTGCTGGCATTGTATACATATACTGTGTATCTTTATTTGATGCTGATGATGAACCACGACTATAATAATCATCATTTACACCAATACCTGATACAGAATTATTTTGATTATATTGTTGTCCTTGTTGTTTAGGACCTTGTTGTTGTTGTGCCATGGCTGTTGTTGGCTGAGCATACATAATTGGTGGTCCTGAATAGAACAAAGAGTGGTAAATAGATTAGGAATTAGTGGATTTTGAATGAGAGAGAAATATATACCTGGTGAATAACTTGGTCCACTAGGTGGATGTCCAAGAAAATAACTCAATGGAGCAGGTGAATGTGCTGGTGCTTGTTGACCTTGTTGTTGACTGTTCGATTGTTGAATAGCATATTGTTGATATTGTTGTAATAATAAAAGATTTTCAGTAATTGGAGCTCGATAACTATAAGAGAATACAAAAAAAACATGAATGACTATTTATTATCTTATTATTCATACTTCATTGTTTTATTATCATTATTATTATGTGCTTGTTGTTGTTGTTGATTTTGTTGTTGAACAGGTGGTGTTACAGAACCATATGCACCTGATGGTGATTGAGCTTGATGTGCATTAGTTAATTGCATAAATGCATTTGTAAATAAATGCTCAGCATCATATGGTGTTGAATAAGTTGCTGCACCTGTTTGTTGTCCTCCAGCTGGTGGTGGAATCCCATATGTTGTTGAATAAGCTGTTGAATATGCTGGTTGAGTTGGTGGTGCTGTAGAAAGAAATATACCTGGTGGAACAGCTGGTCCTTTTTTAGGAGCTGTTGGTAGTGTAGTTGATGTTGATGAAGATGGTACAGATGATGACGATGATGAATTTGGTAATGGTGGTGTTTGAACATTTCCAGATGATTGTTGTCGATTTGACGATGTTTGTGGTTGCTGTTGTTGTTGTTGCGGAGGTAGTGCTTGAGATACAAGATAACGCGCTTGAGTTTGTTGTTGTGGTGGTTGTTGACTCATAGGTGCTGCCATATAATATGGTGTATTGAAATCAATTGATGGCAATTGAAATGCTGTTGGATCATAAGAATTATCTAATGGTACTGCCTATTAAAAATAAAAATAATAAATAATGTATTATTATTTCAATTCCTTTAGGTATATATATATGTATACCTCTTGTGGTTGTTGATGATGATAAAGTAAAGATTGTAAAAGTAAATTTGGTGCATTCATCTGATGTTGTTGATGATGTAAAGCATATTGTGGAGGTACAACTGGCTTCATTGTCATTGACGGTTGCTGCTGTTGTTGTTGTTGTTGCTGTGATTGTTGTATTTGTGATGGTAATATACGTTGTTGATTGATCACCGGTTGTTGTTCAAATGGACGAGTTAAATTTGAATGTGATGTTGGCGAAATAAACGAAGGCTGTTCAGTCGGTTGATGTTGTACCGTTGATGCTGTTGTTGATGGTCGCTGAGAATTTTGAATTGATGATGAAGTATTGTTCTGCTTTGATACCGATGTTACTGGTTGAGAACGTTGATAAAATGCAGATGATGATGAAGAAGATATAGGTATTGAGGTATTATGTGATGATGTATCTTCAAATGTTTCACTTAAACTACCAAACTGTACATCTATCTTATTCATTCCACCATCGAAACGATCAGAAAAAATCACTGGTTGATGTGGAATGCGTTGTGTTGGTGGAGGTGTTACTTTTGTATTTATATTTTGACCAAATGATTTGGATGATCCTATATTCTGTTGTTGATCATTCATTAATGGTTTTAAATCCATAAGAGGTTTAGGTGGAGCATTTGGTTGTTGTTGCTGTTGTTGTGACTGACCAATACCAATAACATTTTTAATCTGACGAGCTGCTTCTATTGGATCAAATTCAGGTTTCAATTTTTGGTGAGAGTTTTGTTCAGAATTATTATTTCCTGTCGATATTCCTAATGAAGATGTTTGACCATTTGGTACTAGAAAATAAAATTTGAAATGTATATCTCTGGGTAATAAAATGCAATTAGATTGAGTACCTCCAGATGGAGCATGTAATGTATTTGATACATTATTTTCGTCTAAATTTGAAAATTGTTCATCATCTTTTGATGTTCTGGAATAAACTACTGTTTCACCATTCCAATTACCTACATCCCATTGCCGTTGTTTACCATTACTACCACCTCGTCGATTTGTTTGTGATACATCAGTAAAACCTTGTGACATATCTGACGGTAATGAACTATCGATGTTTGCATCCTGTGATTGTTGTTCATGTTGTTGCTGTGGATAATTTCTATCATTTCCACGATACCCACCTCGATTACTACCACGATAACGACCTCGATAACCACTTCCACCGCGTTGTCTTTGTTGTGATATATTATTATCATTCTGTTGTTGATTATTATTATTTTGAGGGTCACTTCCATTTTGTTGCTGTTGAAATCTTGAGCGGCCACCACGTGATTTACCTCGATAAGAAGAACCATCTAGAAAATTAAATTTATTTTTTTTTCAATATATATTTGAAAATCTATATCTTTTTATAATTACCACGTTGCTGCCCGTTCTCATCTGGTTCATCACCTCCATGTCCATTTTTATTTAATGCAGTCTTTTGTTGCTGTTGTTGTTTTTTTGTCATTTTATGATTTGTTGCAGTACGCCATTCACTAGCTACATCGTGACCTTTTTCAATAAGTAATGCAACAGCTTTTTCATAATCATAATCACAATCGAATAGGGCTACTAAAGCATCTTCTTGATTTGAATTTGCCACAACATCAAGGACTTTGCGAATAATCTCTTGTACCTCAGGTTGATCATGTTTTTTATCATCAATTAATTGAGCAAGACGAATTTGTTCCGCAGTTGCTTGATGATGCTGCGTGCTTACGGCACCAGTGGCCGCTGCAACGCTCATTCTTTTATATTAATATACACACACAACACACAATAATACAATGGGAATTCAAAAAAACGTGTAAAATACACGACGATAGAAATGATTTCACAGAAAATAGAACAAAAAAAATTTTCTGGAAGAGAATAAAGGGAAAATAGAATAATCTAAAATGAATCAAAATATCTTCTTTTTTTTGTGTCTCTTAATCGGAAATATAACAATAGAGTGAATGACAACAATCACCACCGTTTCCTCTCTTTTTTTTTCTCATTAGAACAACTTCAATTCCATAGTTTATCTACTTGACGCCATTTCTATTTTACATAGACTCCGATATTTTTCATTGAAAGAATACAAACAAAAAGGTAGTTTTAGCTTAGAAAAAATATTCTTTTTTATTTAAAATTTCGAAATTTCTTTTTATCTATAATTAAAAGATAAAATTCATAGATATTTTTATGATAAAATAATGATTTTATATGCATGATTAATTTTAAATAATGTAGATGTCAGTACAAATGAGAGAATAGTCTATGTTCTCTTTCCTTGCACAATCAATTTGCAAGTTTAAAATGATAATATTTAGTCATATGTTTCTTTACATCCTACTTTTTGGGAAAAATCAATATGACTAATATATTAATATGATCATAGAAATATTATTGACTTTAAGACTCTTCAAATGTCAGATCATACACGTCACAGACTTTAACTAAAACATTAAATATCTGGATTATATATTAAATTATTGATCTTAACAAGATGTTTTTGTTTTGTTTCACTCACAAAAAAAGTTCATTTGTCAAGTTCAATGATACATATATAAATAGAGAGATAAAAGATGTCATGCAACAATAGAATAATATCATTTAATCGATATCGGTTGAAAAAAACTGTATGGTGATGAGTAGCGTCACAAGAGGTACTTCTACTACTAATATGCAGATTGATGACAGCTTTAAAAATTATATAATGTTTATAGATGACATATGAATAAGAGTCTGAATAGAATGTGAAGTATATGACGTATCAACTATAATTTCTTTGTCAATATATGAACATCTTGAAAAATTTATTTTTTATATAATATGCGAAATTGAATTCTTCTTTTAATATGATCGAAAGTTATTGTGAAGATTTCTGTTATTATTTCTTATGTATTTAAATACAAGAGCAAAAACACGAATAAATAACTAACAAAATCGGTCTCGTTTTCTGTTGTCTATGAACTCCTTGCTGTCGATGATGATATTGAAGAAAAATTAACTAAAGTAGTTGATCTTGTTTAATGAGAAGTTGAATCAAACTACAAAATTGTAAATCGTCAGTAACATTTAAATCAACTTAACTGAATTTAAAAATAATATGTCATTTACATAGAAAAAAATATAGATTATTGTTGAAAAATCTATTGATAATGATATAAATTTAGTAAAGAGATTCTATCCTATAGTAGGATTGCGGTTGGAATATTAAATGGCTATCTAATTGATTCGTTACAATATAAAGTTAGTATGTACTACATAAACATGAATAGTCAAGGTTTATACTACTATCAGAATTTTTAAAGAAGGGGCGTGAAAGAAAAGCTTATAACTTTTGAATTGAAAGTCATAGCGACTTGCGATTTTCTGGGTTTAATAGATAAAAATCGGGGGCACATGTCAATACGAAAAAATGGTCTTTAGAAGCACTTTTTCAGACCATCTTGAGAGTGTGGATGTGATTGGGAGATGGATCTAATATTCACACCTGTTCCACACCTACCCACATCCTAATACTACAGATTTTAACGTGCAATCGAGCAATTATCAACAGAAAATATCGTAGATGTTCAAATAATTTCTTAAAAATCTTCCAAAACTCATTTTTTTTCTTGTTTATCGAAGTAAAAATTTTCACCTATCAGATAATATAAAGGAAGATGAAAGAATATTTTTCCTTCATTTTGAAATTTATCTTATAAAATACGTCTGATTGCTTTCTCTAACAGTTATTTTATTCATCATATAGGCATTGATACATATCAAATATTATTTTTTTTGCTAAGGTTATACGTTGTACTCAACGTTTATCACAAAATAATATACCCATGAATTAGTCCTTCTTATTTATTTTGTATAATATGAGAAAATTGATTTTGAGACAAATTATATTATCAGTACTGGCTTTTACTATAATACTAATTTAGATGCCAGTTTTGATGTACAGGTAAGAAAATTATCTTTAATTAAGGCCCGTGCCGTAACGCTCAAAAATCGATTTGACACGTAGAATCATTAAAATGACATGAAAGTTTTAGGTTATGTTGCGATTGTGGTGAATAGACTATGATAAAACTTTTAGTACTATATTATGACATTTAATCAAGATATTCACTAAACAAAGGTAAAAAATAGTTTATTTAACGAACCAAATTTTTCTGTTTTGAAGAGTGTATCAGGATGCAGTGTAGTATCGAGTCTATTTCTTTTTAATTCTTCCTTTTTCAATGAACTAATGAGTGTACATAAATGTTAGTGTGTGAATATATAATAAATAAAAAAGATTTATTGAAAAAAAAGGAATCTGTATTGCACTGTAGCACGAAATCGTCTTTCAAACAAAACAAAAGTTTTAAATATATTAAATGAGTCTAGACAGAGAAATTTATGATGTACGATTGAGAAAGACGTCTGTTTTTTAAGAGGTAGATGATAAAACTTACTGAAAATTTTGCTCCAAAATACAATATATATAAGATGGCCTGTGAGTTACTGTACTGAGAAAAAATTCGATATCTCTACTAGGGCTCGACTAAACGGACTCATTCTTTTACTTGGAGTACAGGTAGGTTCACACTCTAAATCCATCTGAGCAAGATTAGTGAGATCCTTTGATAAGTATTGTTATTGGCCTTAACAAGAAAATTTTACTTGTTCATAGACAAAAGAACACCACACTTAACATCGGTTAGTTTATCCTCAATAAAATAATCACTTCGATTCTGCTTGAGTTGCAGTGGAGATATATCTTGTTTTTTTTAATGTATCTTTGTTGATTGACTTGTAATCGAATAAAATTTATAGATGTACGTATTTATTCACATTTAAATATTTCTGATCTTATTCATTTAAGAAAACGATGTCGCGGTTCGTAGAGGTGAGTGTATTTATGAATGAAAATATTTTGAAAATATCATTTCAACACTTTTACAGGATAACTCAACGACAATTGTATTTATTTTAATAACAATTTTTGCTTTATGTCAAAATATACTTTTTCGTGCTATCGATATTGAATTACCTGTTATGGTTCAAGAATTACCAGAAGGATGGTCATTACCTGCTATTTTCAGTATAGTAAGTAAATCAGCAATAATATTCATGATAATTCTATTATTATTAAATCATATAATAAACTTGCATTTATATGAAACTATATCAATAATTATTATTTTATCAATTAGTGTAGTGGGTCTTATATGTGTTGCATTAACATGGAACAAAACAACATTCATAGAAAATAAATATCATTCAGTTTATTTTTTATTTTTTACATTTGTTATATATAGTTGTCAATATACTGGAATATTATTATTTCTTCCTTATATTGATCGATATAAATTAGTTATGATTAGAGCATTTTTTTTAGGCGATGCTATTTCAAGTGGATCATTAGCAGGCCTTGCTTATGCTCAAAATTCACCTAAATCTGAATGTATACCAATTATTCAAGGAAATCAAACAATATTAATTGAAAAAAAATCTCCATTAACATTTTCTGTTGAAACTTATTTTTTTATTGTATCCGTTATGATGTTAGGTTCACTTATTTGTTTCCTTATTTTATCTATAACAAAAATTGGTCAAAATAAAACCAATGAAAATGATGAAAATAAATTATTAATTGAAGAAGCTAATCAAGTTGAAGAAATCGAAAATAAAGAAAATTCAATGAATAAAAGACAATTTAATCTTTCAAATGATATCTCATATCTTTTTGCTATGTTTTGGTGTTGTTTTACTACTTATGGTAATTTTAATTCATAGTATATATACATATTTAGTTTAATTTTCAGGTTTTCTTCCTGGTTTACAAAGTAACAATCTTTTTTTTACAAATTAATTTAATAGAAATTCTTTCTTTTAGCATATGCATTGTTGCCTTATTCACCTGATATTTATCAAAAAATAATTATTGCTGTTGAAATTGCCTATGTATTTGCTCAAATTTTTTGTGCAATCTTTTCTAAATTAACAGTTGTAAAGTATCCAAAATTAGTTCATATATTTAATCTAATTTCTACAATCCTTATTATCTGGATTTTTATTATTGCTAAAATGTCTCCATGTCCTCCTTTCATCAATAATCCTTTATTAGGAGGTACAATAAGTGGTTTATTATACACAACAGTATATGGTTTAAGTCATATTAATTATATTTTATTAAATATCTATTTTCAAGAAGAATTTGGTAAAATAGGACTCTTTTGGGGTTGTGTTGCATTACAAATTGGAATGGCTTTTGGTGCTCTCATTATTTTTGTGTTAACTGTTTATTTCAATATTTATAAAGAAAGATTTGCTTGTGTTGATTATCAATGTTAGAAATAACAATAAGAAAATATTTAATTGTATAATAAAAATAATTTTCCTTGTAGTACTATATTTAAAAGTGTGTCGTTAATTTTTTTTTGTTGATCAAAAAGAAGAAAATAACTGCTGTAAATAACATTTTTTACTTAATATTTATTTCAAACAGAAATAAAAAGAAGAGATTCGAGCTTTCGTATACCTTATATGGAACCATTTTGAGGGTGTGGGTGTGTCAGAGTAAGGTTAGTGTAATACCCACACCCTATCGATATTGTTTGAAGATATTTTATAGAACTAATCTCTATTGTGATTGAATATTAAACGTTTTCGTCTGTATACGCTCAATTCGATACATTTACTATAATCAATATAAAAATATGATTCACTCCAATTGATAAAATGAAAGCGTTACAAACAAAATATTCCTTCACTATTTACGGAACATCTGTATGTGCCATCTTTCTTAATTCAGTTATTGAAATTAGTTTCTTTATATGCCTGTTTATAAAGAGCAAAGAACGTAATAACAACAAAAACTATTATATATATATGTATATGTATATAAATACTCACAAACAGACAAAAAAAGAACAAAAATGCGATAATTAGATTTTTTAAACTCAATAATAATTCGTTATTGATATTATACGATAGTTGCTGTCGCTTCCGCTGATGAAGTATGTGTATTAAGTGACGTTTTCTTTGATGATGATGATTCATTATGATCATTATCTACTTCGTCATATGATCGTTTTGTTGTTGTTGTTGTTGTGGTTGTTTCTTGTTGATGAATAGTTACAAATGAGATTGAAGAATTTGATGATAGTGGAGTATGTAATTTAAAATCATTCAAAAGAAAAGAGGATGAACTTGTTGGATCAACTACACCGGTTGCAGTGCATAATTGTTGTTCTTGTTCTTCAATAAATTTTTCAATAATATCACTAAATTTATAATAAAATACATTTAATTCAATACGTTACTGTTATCGAATATTAAAAGTAATCATCTAGTATATACCTCACAGAATTAAGTGAATTAATACGTTGTTGTTCTTCGATAAACAAATCATATCGTTCACTTTTTTTCCATTGATAATAAAAATAAACTAATTCACGAACCGATCGATTTGGACACTAAAAATACATATATATGTAAACAGCTACTCAATAAAATATAATGAAATTACTTTAAAAATAGATATTTTAAAAAAATTCTTTCCATATTCACGTAGACCTTCTTCAAATTGTCGTATTTCTTCAAATGACCATGTCGGATAAGAATCTAAAATATGATTTTATTTTTGAATTAAAAACAAATAATGTCTTACAAATAGTTTTAGTAGATAACTGACGAAATTTAACAAGTGCTAAATCAGTATTTAATTGACAATTGTAAAGAGTTTGAAGAGATATTTCATCATCAGATGATGGATCTTTATAAAGAAATAAATATTAAATAAAATCATCTTAAAAACTATATTTACATTCAGTATGAATCTTTTTCAAATATTCATCGATATTTTCATTATCAACATCATTTGCAGAAGTTGAAGACCAAAGTACTTCATCGATTGGAACTAAATAGATATAAGTAATATTTCATTCAGAATAGAGAAAACTTTTACTAATTGAACTAATCAAATTACCTTCTCTCTCATCACAATGTTCGTTCGATGAATCAAATTCTGGCTTTAATTCAAATTGTGCTTGATATTCATCACCAACATTAATAAGCTAAAATAAAAACATATAACTATGACATAGAGAACACAAACAAACAAACCTTAATAATATCGGGCTCGTATAAACTGTCTTCTGTATCATCATCACCTTCTAATAATAAATCTCCATTTACATGAAGTAAATGCTGTCTGCGATCATTACGATCATCATCATTGTCGTCATCATCATCATATATATCTGATGAAGAATAAGACTAAAGTTCAATATATATATGAATGTTAACAGTTCTGAAATCTCTTTTTTACTTCTTCATCTTCTGTTCTATCATTATCAATAGTTGCTGCATTCTTCTTATACAATTTGAGCAATTCATCTAGAGGTATATCAGCATCCTTGAAAAAAAAATTCTATATATAGAAAATTTTCTTTCATTTATTACAAATAAACTTACAGCTGCTAAGTTAGCTAATTCACTTTGTCTCTCATTTGTATCAATTTGATCATTATTTTCATCTAATAGAAAAACAAATTTTATATTTTTAAAATTTCGGAAAAATAAAACGAAAACAAACAAACAAATCAACCTGTTTTTGTTGTATTTGAAGACATTGTCGAACAATTCAAATATCTGAATACAAAAGTTCTATGTCTATTTTGTCTTCAAATATAATCATTAGTTAAATCTTCTACTAATTAAATCATTATTTTCTAGATGTCGCTAAATAATTTTTTTTGCTATTCGATCAATTATTTTTTATTGGATAAAAAACTTAACTAATAATAGAAATATTTTTATTCTCCCAAGTCAGAAGACATAAATATATATATTATCAATTTTTACGTGTGATAAAATAAATAAATAATAAAAATGTGTTTTGGAAAAGATCATCCATATAAATCATTACAAACATCTATTAAACATAATGATGAAGAACATATGTATTATGATGTCTCAAAAATTAATCCTCAATTATTTTGTAAATTAAAAATATTTCGAAATCTTGTTTTTTTGTATAATTTTCGCTTTTTTTGTTTAGTACAATTACCTTTTTGTCTTCGAATTTTACTTGAATCAACTGTTCGTCACTGTAATAATATTTCAATTGAAAATAAACATGTTCAGCAAATATTGAATTGGCAAGAAAATACGATGCCAAGTAGTGAATTGCCTTTTTTACCTAGTCAAGTGGTTATGCATGATTTTTCGTAAGAAATTATTTTTTGTTTATCATTTAATATTTCATTTTTCTCTGTATCATCAAGTGGTCTACCAGCAATAATTGATTTAGCAGCAATGCGTGATGCAGCCGTTCGTTTAGGTGCTGATCCAAATATAATTCAACCAAAAATACCAACAACACTCTTACTTGATTATTATAATATTGAAGCTGATGTAGCCAGAAAGTAAAAAAAATATTTAGAAAAAATTAAATTATTATAAATTTCATTATTTATTCAGAATTGTAAGAAAAACAACGGATACAAATAATACAACAAATTTAGAATGTGGATATGAATCATGTCCGTTTCATCAAGAAAAAACTGTTTGGTAAGTAATTATTCATTTTTCTCTTAGAGAAGAGTCTAGTTAACATGAATTCTCTGATTGCTTGATTGTGTGTCCGCAGGGTCAAAAAAACGTCGAACATCGATTTTCCCGAAAACACTTTTTCAGAGGTATTTCGATGTAGTGACTTCGAATCTGATGTTAGTTTTTGGAAATTGTTTGATTAAATAGTTTACTGGTAGCGAAGACACATCGTTTCTACGAGAAAGAGTCTCCAAGCGAGCGTTACTTGTTTAATTATGTGTGTGTGTGTTTATTTTATATAAATATTTAGTGCTGATGCAATTGAAAGAAATCAACAATTAGAATTTGAACGTAATATTGAAAAATTACAAATTATGAAGGTAAGACTATTTTGTTTTTCTTTCATAAGTGAAGAAAAGTTTTATTTTAAAGTGGAGTGCAAAAGCATTTGATCGTTTATCTATCATTCCACCTGGAATGAGTGTGTGTCAACAAATCAATCTTGAATATTTATCAAAATTAATTATATTAGAAAAAGATAAAGATGAACAAATAACATTTGTTTATCCTGATACATTAATTGGTACTGATACACATATAACATTATCAAATGGTTTTGGTGTACTTAGTTATAGTAAATAAATTTCATTGTTTGTTATAATAGTTTAACAAAAAAATTGATTAATTGTTTTAGATATGGGTACAATTGAAGCTGAAGCAGCAATGTTTGGACAACCGATTCCTATTCGTCTTGCATCAGTTATTATTGGTTGTCGTTTTGTTGGACAACCACATTTTATGTCAACATCAATTGATCTTATATCAGCTATTATGAAAGTATGAATAATTATTTATTTTTTTGATACTAAATGAATTTTCTATTCCTTTTATCTGTCTAGTATCTTCGTCAGATTGGTCTTGGTAATAAATATATCGAATTTTTTGGTTCAAGTTTAAATTATTTAACTATTGCTGATCGTTCTTCAATAGCACATTTATGTATTGAACAAGGTGCTCTACTTGCTTATTTCCCATTGGATGATCTATGTCTAAAACATTATTCTCGTACTGGTAAACATCTTTTGATTTTAATTTATATCTTTTTGTTAATTTACAATTATTTCAGGCCGAGATCCATGTTTTATCAATAAAATGCGTGATTATTTAGTTACAGCTAAATTATTTAGTGATGATATACAACATAAAAATATTGTTTATACAAATGTTTATGAATTTGATTTATGTACTGTTATACCAAATTGTAGTGGACCAAAACGTGCACAAGATAAAGTATCTTTATCTACAATGAAATCAGATTTCCAAGAATGCCTTATTGCACCTTCAGGATTTAAAGTATAAAATAATTTTACAATATGTTTTCATATTGATAAATATTTATTTTTTGTATTAGGGATATAATCTTCCAACAGAACAACTTGATTGTTCTATTGCAATTTCTCCTGATGAAATTTTAAAACATGGTTCAATTACTCTTGCTGCTATTACAAGTAGTACGAATGGAATTAGCCATGCTACGTCATTATTAACCACAGGTATATATCGCTGCGTTAGATTTCGTTTTTTTTTCATTAGAAATATGTTATTCAGGTTTAATGGCGAAGAATGCTCTCGATTTTGGTCTTAAAATACCAAGTTTTACTCAAACCTATCTTTCACCTGGCAGTGGTGTTGTAACAACATATTTACGTGAAAGTGGAATATTAAAATATCTTGAACAATTAGGGTAAAAATCATTAAATAGCTTTTTTTGTAAAAACAATAAATTCATTATTAGTTTTCATATAACCGGTTATGGTTGTAAAAAATGTATTCAAAATGAAGAAAATAATAGCTTAAAATCGGATATAAAACAAATTGTAAATGAAGTAAGAAGAATAAATGATAAAGATTCTTGTAATAAGATTTTATTTAATTTTCTAGAATAATTTAATAACTATTGGTATGATTAGTGGTACACGTCAAACTCAACAACGACATTCATTAATCAAGGCAAATTATGTTACTTCATCACCATTAGTTCTTGCTTATGCATTAGCTGGAAATGTTCTTATTGATTTAGAAAAAGAAACATTCAGTGTAGATAATAAAGAATTCTCCATAAGAGATATTTGGCCTAATCGTCAAGATATTGAAGAATTAGAAGATGAATTAATAATCAAAAAAATTTTAAATCAATTCAATGAAAAAATTCAAATTGGTAATCAACAATGGAATTCATTACGAATACCTTCCGTTGATATTTATTCGCAATATCCATGGGCAGAATATTCAACTTATATAACTCGGCCTCCTTTCTTCGATACAATAGTAAATCATTTACCTTTTTTTGTTTTGTTTACTAACGATAAAAACATTTTTTTTATAGACTAAACAAAATTCTCTATCGAAAACTATATGTATTGATAATGCACGTGTACTTCTCTATTTGGGTGATGAAGTTTCAACGGATCATATATCACCAGCAGGTTCAATATCTCGAACATGTCCAGCTGCGAAATATTTAACACAAAAAGGGTAAAACAAAGAATTATATTATATATATCGATTTCATTTTATTGATTTTTTTAAGAATTACTCCACGTGATTATAATTCATTTGGTTCTCGTCGTGGTAATGATGCCGTCATGGTTCGTGGTACATTTAATCATGTTCGTTTAAATAATAAACTTGCTTCTAAACGTATATCAACATTACTTCCTTCATCATCACCATCACCAGCTACAACAACACTTTATTTACCAAAAAATACCGAATTGGATATATTTGATGCATCAGAACAATATAAAAATTCAAAAATCCCACTTATTATTCTTGCCGGAAAAGATTATGGTTGTGGACCAGTACGAGATTGGGTTGCTAAAGGACCATGGATGCTTGTATGTTAAAAGTGAATAGAATAATGTCTTAAGATTAAATTTTTATTTTTAGGGTATTCGAGCTGTTTTAGCCGAAAGTTTCGATCCTCAACATCGTTCAAACTTAATTGGTATGAGTATATTACCATTACAATTTCAAAATGGCGATACATGTACATCATTAAATTTAACCGGAAAAGAAATTTATTCGATTGAATATAATATTTATAGTAATGAAAAATTAGCCATTATTAAAGTAAACTATTATTATATTTTTTTTTGCAAAGAAATTTCTTCTTCTTTTTTTCTCAGCTTGATAATGGTAAGACATTTTCAATGATTGCTCGTATTGATACGGAAATTGAACGTCTTTATATGATTCATGGTGGTCTTCTTTCTTATGTACTTCGACAAACAGTGAATTAAAATAACACTTTAGAATTTGTACATCTTTTGCAGAATGATTATGATATTTTGTTTGTCATATTAAAAAAAAAAAAGAATCGTATATATGCATACTTAATTATATTGCACAGGGAAAAAAAAAATATTATATTGTTTGTTTTGGATTTTTAAATAAAAGAAAATATGGATGATGATAAACATTTATTCTTTTAAACATATATATTCTATCCTTCCAGATAATGGTTATTATTTCATCAAATTTACAAGATGAATCGATTTTAATACGAATTAATTGTCGAACGAATTTATTTTTTACCGAGGGTATAACGAAAACAAACATTTTATTGTACACAAAAAAAGCCTTTTTGTATTTGAATATTTAAGATAATGATGATGAATTTAGTGCATTTCGAGTTCTTTTAATCGATAGTGGTTATCATTTAAATTCTCCATTAAATATTTATTTAACACGTGATTCTGTTTATTCACAAGATGAAAAATATTCTATAAATGATGTGACCATTGATAATCTACTTGAAACAAATGAGAATGAGAAAAAAGACAAAAATGATGCATATCGACGTATATATCCATGGCAAATAATAACAGGAAAATTAATGCGATATACAACAGGTGATGAATCTTGTTATACACCAGTCATTGAAAAGTGCAATACAAAAAAACAAGGACAAAGTAATGATTTTTTGTTGTCTAAGAAGATAAATTTTGATTATTTAGATCTTCCACTTGAACTTGATCTACTTATTTCTGTTGAACGATCAGCTACAATAGCTGATGTACGTCGACAACTTGAAGAACAACTTGCACAGCAATTAGATATACTTGAAGATAGTATTACTAATCGAATAAAAGTGAGTAAATTTTTAATATAGAATATATGTCCACACATAGTTAAGCGAATTGCTGAAAGTAACGGATGATTTGAAGAATTTTAGAACATAGAATACATATATTCAATAGCATATAATACAATGAAAGGTATGTCGCTGATAAGGCCTATCAGAATAGCATAAACATTTAGTTATTATTGTTACTGGCTCGAATTTGTTCTATTATATGTATATTTAACTGTGAATAACGATCGTTCAGTTTAGTCTTCTATATATAAAATTCGTTTTTTGTCTTGTTTATTTATAGAATCAAAATAACAAGACATTCCGACATTATTATATCAAATCAATCAATCAAATAGTTACATTTTTAGATGGTGATACTGATAAAGGTACAATCACTTTATATGCTATGTAGTAATATCCCAATATAAAAAGAATCTTTATTTTGATTTAGTTCGAAAGGAACTTCAAGTTAAATATCCTCAATTATCAATGAATCAACCATTTATCTCAATGGATTTTGATGGCCAATTACCAGCGTTGACGAATGGTGGACGACTTTTTGATGTTCATAAAAATCTTCCATCAAAAGGTAGCAAATATTTAAATATAAATGAAAAAGAAACTTAACTAAAAGATTTTTCTTTTTTTTATATAGTGAAAGGTGGTGAACAAACATTAGTTAATGGACATTACGCATATTATCATTATATGCAGGATAATTTTGATGATAATATGTGGGGTTGTGCTTATCGATCATTGCAAACTCTTTGTTCATGGTTTGTTTTACAAGGATATACAACGAAATCAGTACCAACACATACACAAATTCAACAAGTATTTATTTAATATAATAAAAATCATTTACTTAATTTTATTTCGTCAATAAAATATTTAGACTCTTATTGATATCGAAGATAAACCAAAGAAATTTTTAAATTCTCGTCAATGGATTGGTAGTATGGAAGTCTCATTTGTTTTACAAAATTATTTAGATGTAAGGGGATTAAAATAAATTTAAGAAAAACTAAATTTCTTTACATTTATAGGTTGAATGTAAAATTATTCGAGTTGAACGTGGAGCTGATATGATCGAACATGTACGTGAACTTATTAATCATTTTAACAAAGAAGGAACTCCAATTATGATTGGTGGTGGTGTTTTAGCTCATACAATATTAGGTGTTGATTTTAATGAATCAACAGGTGATTCTATGTTACTTGTTCTTGATCCACATTATACAGGAGTAGATGATATTAAAACTATTCAAGATAAAGTTAGTCCACATTGATTTAATGAAGAAAACAAAATTTTACTTTTCTTTTGTTAGGGTTGGGTTGGCTGGAAACCTTGGTCATTTTGGTCAAAGGATGCTTTTTATAATCTTTGTTGTCCCTTACGACCAAAATTGACTTCTGCGTAATAAAATTTTAGAAGGATAAACAAAAAGAATAAAAGATCTGCTTACGAAATTTTATATTTTGTTCATTATTTGTCTTATGTGATCATAGAAATCTAAATTCGAAAAATTAATTCTATTACTAAAAATAAGTTTAAGATAGATGAAATTTTCTTTTTGAAAGTTTTATCGTTTTAATTTGATTAAAATTACAAGATAAGAAACAACATGAAATAGAATAGTCAAAGTCAATAACATCCGCCAATAAAATGATTCATCATCTTTTTTAATATTATATGAAAATAGAACATCATCACCATCATTATTACATTTAACATTTGTTGTATTCCAACTAGTTGATCCACATGCTATATAATCGACATCTTCCCATTGACAAATTAATGATAAACTAAAACTATAATAATATAATGATAAATATTGAATCCATTTTAACATATATGGTATTGATCTTGTATTAATATAAAATCCACTTACAGTTGAAATAATTTGTGATATAGGCATCCATATAATTAAACGTGTATCTTTTTCACGCATTGATGCACTAACTAAACAACCTAATGCTGTACTACATAAAGTTGCTAGAACAAAAACAGCACATTGTCGAAAAAAATGTCTAAGGCCAGTTAATGCAGTAACGATAATAGAAAAAAAGAACACCATAACAATAAATATAGGTGAATCAGCTATACATTTCGATGTATAATAAGCAAGAATTGAATATAATTCTTGTTGTTTTGATTCTCGTTTAAGTAAATCATGGTCAATAGGTGAAGTAGCAATAACGAGAAGAGAACAGACTCGAGTTACTATAGTTAAAATACGGAAAACAAGGCCAGCTACATTTTGAACAGTTGTTTGATTAGCTAAATGTCGTTCAACACCAAAATCAAGTAAACCATATATAACAGCAATAGCAAGTGATTGTGCAAGAAGATAAGCAAGACGTTTGACATCACGAAATGATAATGAACGCCATAATAACCAATAGATTTGTCGAAAAAAATTTGAATGATATGAAACGTTAGATTTATGTAATAGTAACGCATTATCATCAGTAGTTTTTCTTATTACATCTAGTTGTTCTTGTAAAATAGTTTCACATTTAATTGCTTTTACAACAGGATTTGTTGGTCGAGCATTAGCTGCTTGTTCAAGAAAAAAATCTGCTGGATTTATATCATTTGGACATCGAGTATAAAAAACTGATAAAGCATTTGCATAGGGTCCAGCATACAGCATTCGACCATTCAATCCTAATAAACAAATATCATCGATATGTTTCATAAGACGAATTGATGGTTGATGTAAAACTACAATTGCTGTTTTATTTAATGAACGTATATGATTCATAAGTGATAAAGCAAGATGAGAATCTAATCCACTATTTAAATCGTCAATTAATAGTATTGATGGATTAGTTAACAGACATGAAACTAAAGATACTCGTCGGGCTTCACCACCAGATAAACGTTTTATAATAGTATTTTCACAATTTGTTAAACGTAATTTTTTTATTAGAAAATTTATTCGATTGTATCGTTCAGTATCACTGACAGTTACCGGCAGTCGCAACATTGCCTAAATAAATAAATAAAATAAATAATAATTGTAAAGAAATTATTTGACTTTTTTACTTGAAAAACAAGATGTTCACGAACAGTTATTGATTCAATAAGTGGTCCTAATTCATTTGGTTGTTCAACATAACCACATTGTTCAACTAATATATGATTATCAGTTATTTTTTGTTTATTAATATATATATATCCTTTATTAGAATCAAATGTTAATTGTCGACTTAATGGTCGACCACTTAATATATTAATTAAAGTTGTTTTTCCAGAACTTGATGGTCCCATAAGAGCGAGAATACGACCAGGACGAGCATATCCACTAACGTTATCAAGTGCACATCGACCTGATGTTTTATCGATAACAACAGATATATTGTCCCATCTAAGATTTATTTCAGGTAATTCAATTGGTAAAGTATTCAAATCATTTAGTTCAGTTGATTGTATTATTGACGACATTGGTTTTAATGATTCATACACACACTGTATTTTACTTATGTGTTCTATTTCACTTGAAAACTAAGCATACGGTCGAAAAAAAAAGATTAATCAACCGTGACTTGTTATAGGCAAATAAACAACGTAGGTAGTATTTTATACAGAAAGGTAACAGCTCTCCTTTCAGATGAATGTTATGATATTTTCGATGAATATTTGATAGTTTTAACGAGTGGGATATGGTGCAAGTCGGGGGAAGTTAAAGAAATATTTTTTTCTCCTGCTCTGAAAAGGGTTAACATCAGCTTTTTTTTCTCAAATTTTTAATATTCTCAATTTTTACAAAACAAATATTTCATACTAACTCTGCTATCGCAGAAATTATACGTCAAAGTTTATCTGCTTTTAGAATATTTTTACTTTATATTCTATTGTTTGTAATTTATAATGAAAAAACAATCATTTTTATGAATATAACTTATCTCTTACCTATTGTCTTTTCGCATGTGTGTAACCGTGATGAGTACGAAAGTCATGTGATACAGGGATACCCAGTTATATATTGATGTCAAGCATATAAAGAAGCTTGTTCAATGGTCTATGTTATAGTTTGACCTATGATTCTTTTTAATGCTCACCCAGTGCATATTTTATCATAAGGGTGCTGTTCACAAAGCTGTAGACAGTTACTAACATATTATTGACAGTAAACAAAATAGCTGATATATCTAATTTATATAATTTGCATTATTTATTATAACTCGCTTATTCTCTTTATACAAACGAATAGATGATGAATTGAGTCTAATTAATCATATGATAATATTTTACTAACTACTAATATGAGGTATTTTTATTATCTTTCAAAAATAGCTTTTTCTTCCTATGATTGTTTCGTGTTATCATCATAGATTTTTAAGGTTACTTTTATTTTTTATAAACATCAAAGGCTATTATAATTAACTAGACCAAGGTATCAACTATTACAAACTGATATTAACATTATACTTGATTTTTATCTTAGTCAGTTTTTAATCAGAAAAATATTACATTGATTTTACACGCTCTACGAATTATAAACGTCTTGTGAATTATTTTCATATTTCCCAGTATCAATTAATAAGTGTAAAAAGATGGTATGATAGACAAAGTAAGAATAGAAAAACAACGAAGAAAAAAAAATATGGACGATAAAAATATTGATAGGAGAATAATAATCACAAGTGGGCGTCGTAACAGAATGGGTAAATTATTTTTCTTTCAATTAGCTTGTTTTGTCAATTGTAATCATTTTTATAGTATCACTGTAGTAATCGCCGTTTCATTACCTTGCATACCATGTCTATTCTTTCTAATAGTTTCGTAGAAAGGCAAAAAAATATTGAATAAGACGACGAATATGAAAATCTTCATTCTCACCTTACCTAACTATTTAAGTTTTTATAATATGTATTCAAAACGAAGAGAACAGATTCGATTATTTTTAATTTAAACGAAAGGTGATTCTAATGTTCCACCGAAAATAACAAAATACAAGATATGCGTAATGATAACGATAATATCACCTGCAATGAACTTTTAGAACGTGACAGTTACCCAATATGTTCATTATAAATTATACTTACTGTTGAATCGTTTAAGAATATAGTTTTAATCCCCATTCAAGAAAAAAGATAAATATTATATTTCAAGATTCTATGAATATTTATTTGATTCATAATTATCATTCGCTGTCTTCGTGATATGTTCTTTCTCTATGTTTAACATACAATTTCAAGAAAAAAAAAGGAAACTATCATAACTCTGAAAAAGTATGTTGACATATTATCAAAAATAAAAGTACACATAGAACAAAAGCATCACGCTTATACAGAGAGCAACACTACGAATACAAATACATGGCTAACTAATCACATATACTAATAACACAGTCTATCTAAATATATTTATATACATATACAATCAAGTATTAGCTCGATTTTATTTTTACAAATAGTGACCAAAAATAGAGAATTATGATAGAAAGAAAGGAGATACAAAAATATTGTTTTTTTAATTATTGAATTTTCAGAAAGAAAAAATTATTAAGAAATACATGCAAGGAACAAATTTCACATGTAATCTACAGATAAGAAATAGATTTTACTCTTTTTTTTTAGGCTTGCACCGCAATGCGATGATCGGTATTATTTGTTGAATTTGAATTATTATTATAGTTCGCTTGGCGAATCGCTTCATTCAATCGATCAATTATACTTATTTCGACTTGATTTAATTCTGATGATTCTTTGATTGGCTGTTGTTGAAGTAAATTTAATAATTCTGAACCAGTATCATCTGATGGTGAAGTAGATAAAGGCGGTATTGTTGGCCAAATAGGTAAACGACCTAAAAGTTTATCAATAACTGAATTATCCGATGATGATAAACTATCTTCATTTTCTTTATTGTTTAAATTCGATGATAATGATGATTGGTTTTGCTCGTTATTTTCCTTGTGTGGTAAATATTCAAATATTAAATGTCTAAACAACAAGAAAATTTCATTCTTTATTTCCAAATCAATATATTTTACAACTAACTCAATAAATGGAAGTGCTGTATAATAAGGATCAGTTAATCGTTGTTGTTCTTTCCAATATTGTCTTAATGTATGCATTTCATCGTTATTTGTACATAAATTAAACCACATAATATCCTTGAATAAAAATATTTATTAATGGTATAAAGAATAATTTCATTCTTACAATTATTTCTCGTTTATCAAATTCAAAATTAACAGTTGTTTCATCAAAATTTTCAATAACAAATAATCCAACCATACGATTATCAGCTAAACGAGCTTCCCAATATTGTGATGGAGACCATGAAGATAAATTAACATTAACTTCTTCTTCAAACTAAAAAACAAACAATTATAATTTTTATTAAATAGAAAACAAAACACACGAACTTCTCGTAATGCACATGACCATTGACTTTCGAATGTATATGTATCAGGATTCAATTTCAGTTTACCTTTTGGAAAACTCCAATAATATTTTTCGTTTTGTACCAAAAATACCTTTTCAAAAAACAAAATATTGATTCTTATATATATAAATTTGATTGTTTTACTTTATTTTGTTTATTAATTAATACGATCCCAAATGCTTCTTGTTGAATTTGTCGATAAACATTTATAATCATTCGAATTAAATCAATTTTACCCTGTAATTTTGGATAAATCATTTCCAATAAATCTTTATAAAAGATAAGTTTTCTGATATGAAAATTTCTATAAAAAATAACTTACGAGTATCAAGAACATATTGTGTAAATTTTTTTCGTTTTGAAATTTGTCGTGTATCTTGTGCATAGAACCATTTCTTTTTAATGCGCTCTAAATCAAGAAATAATTTAAATGGATCTTGTGTTCCAACTAAACGAAGTATACGACGACTATAGAAATGAATGAATTAAATAAAAGATTATAGAATTGATTGGGTTTTTTTTACTTTAAATGTTCTTCAATATTATTTGGTTCGGATTGATGGTGCATAATACTTTGTAATAATGCTGGATTAGAAAAAGCAGCAAAATAAGGTGTTTGTCGAAACCAACCATTTGAATTAAGTGACAATAATGATGATGGTGATGATGAATCAGGTGATTGTGGTTCGCTCATGTCGTTTTTTTTTATTTTTAATTGTTCAAGATCTCATAAAAATGAATGATGATATTGATAAGCCAGATAAAGCGCAATGTGCGCGTATGAATGAATGAATAAAAAAAAACGATTCAACAGGGATAAAATAAAAGATGGAAATGAAATAGTATATGTTTGTAGAATGACTAGTGTATTATTGTTCTCTCTCTCTCTTTCTGTCTGTCTTCTTCTTTGTTGATTTATTTTTCTCTCGATCGTTAATACATGTGTACAAACAAAGATTGAACTGGTAAACACGGACGTCTATTGAGATAAGAAGATCAATGGAGAAAAGTAAGACTATATATATGTAGTTCTTTATGAATCTATGTTTTATTGAAAGTATATAATAATTAACATGAAGATCCTTAGAGAAAGGTTGTCTACTACGATTAATCTTTAAGTGAATTTTCTTTTTGTTACTTTCAAAGTATTAATAGTATATATATGCCATTGAATATTGAATTGATGATAATATTATGAACTTTTTTCAACATTTAAATTAATGTTGTACCTTTACATATAATGAAGATATTTTACAGAATATCGAAGTACTAAATAAATATGATTCAATTAAAGGTTTTCTGCTTTGGAAGAAAATCTATTTCACTGTTTTTAATTATATATTGTACAAATTGACTGATGTATGTATAAGATGTTTTATTAAATATGATCAAAGAGGTGAGATTTATCGTACATCATTATTAATAACGAAGTGAAGATCGAAATAAGAATCATTAATAGTTAATTTTGAATTTCAGATTTTATATTTATTGAGTTTATTTAATATGATAAAAATTAATTTATGATTTACAGAACAAAATTATTAACAAATATATTAATATTATCGACAGTTATAGAAAGTTTATTTTGATAGATAAAATATCATTATCCATTAATTCTTACAAAGGAAAAAAATTCAACAGGAGAATATTACCAATAAATAAGTTTACACAATTGAAATCATATTCTGTATACAAGTATATCTTAGGTATAAACATATCAATCAAAACTATTTTCTGATCGATAGAGGGCAGGAGGAATCAAATATTGTCGGTAAAAATAGTAAAAAACTTTGCTGAAAATTGAAAATATTCATGAGATTTGTACATGAATATTTTTTCATTTAATTTTTAAATCTTGTATTTATATTGAGTAAACAATAAATAATTAACATACTTCTTTAGTAAAGGCCGTACTTTCGGTTGCATGGCTATTTTGTACTTATTAACGTCATTCTATAACTTTTCAAAGTCCATTACACCTTTTCTTTGCATACTGAGTAGAAGCTTGATTTTTCTTTCGAAAAACAAAATTTCTTTTTTATTGATTCTTATTGTTTTGTTTATAATATTTCTAGACCTTTTCTACGTGTCAGCCTTCTACAATGGTCGCACCATCAACTCAATTGCCGCCATCGACAAAAACAACAACAGGAACACCAGGAACCGTAGCTAAATGGGATTCTCGATTTGCCGGCCACGTTCCCCATGACGGATCATATTACTCAAAATGTATGCTTGCTGGTGTTCTTGCTTGTGGTCTTACACACACAGCTATTTGCCCACTCGATGTTACAAAATGTAATATGCAGGTATGTCATCTATTGAAAAAACGATGTAACTTCTATTTGTAATGATAATTTGGTCTAAACTAAGAGGTTTCGTTATATCTGTTTTAGTAAAAACTAGCGATGTTTAAAATTTTGTTCAAATATTTTTTGCCCCTTTACCCTTGAAGGTATAAACCGTGAAAAATAAAACACTCCAAAATCTTTTCTGTTCTGTGTGCATTATTATTTGCTGACATTCCCGTTGGCAAACCTGGATGGATGGGTGATAGCAAGTGGTTGAATGCCATTGCACCTATTCCATGTGCCTATCGCCAATACTTAGATGTACAGCTACAAACAGATATTCATTGACGTATATTTCTCTTGCATTGAAATCTTTGCCCTCACTCACATCAAGATTTTCGGCTTTGCCCATATAAAAGCCCTTTTCTAATCCATAGCTGTGGTATTGTAAATAAAAATGGCAACACGCAAGTGTGGACTGGGAAATGATTTTTCATAGACTTCTTTGACAAGTAAATATATCGTATGAGCTTAGCTGCCGGTCCTTTTTCTATATTTTATAATACATATAACACCTTATTTATTTATTTTGTTATAGGTCGCTCCTGAAAAATATAAAGGCTTAGTTCAAGGTCTTAGAACAATTGTTGCTGAAGAAGGAAGTCGAGCTGTATGGAAAGGTTGGTTACCAACATTCTTTGGCTATTCAGCTCAAGGAGCATTCAAATATGGTCTTTATGAAGTATTCAAAGATCAATATGCTAATATGCTTGGTAAAGAAAATTTCGAAAAATATAAAGGTCTTGTCTGGTGTACTGCATCAGCATCAGCTGAACTTGTTGCTGATCTTGCTTTATGTCCATTGGAGATGGTTAAAGTCAAAGTACAAACAGCACCACATGGTACATTTCCAACAAATTTTGGTCAAGCTTGGTCACAAATGAATGCCAATCGTGCAGAAACTGGCTTTCCATATCGATCTCTCGTACCATTATGGTCACGACAAGTTCCTTATACAGTAGCCAAATTCTTCTTCTTCGAAAAAGTTAGTATTTGTTTTCATAAAAGTAATTGAAATCTTAATGAAAATCTATTTTAGGTCGTACAATTATTTTATACTTATGTGTTCACAAATCCAAAAGACACATATTCAAAAACAACCCAACTTGGTGTTACATTTGCTTCTGGTTATACAGCCGGTGTTATTTGTGCTATTGTTTCACATCCTGCTGATTCACTTGTTTCACTTCTCGGTAAACCGGCCAACAAAGGCAAGAGCTTAGGACAAATTATCAACGAAACTGGATTTACTAAACTTGCCACAAAGGTCTGTTTTTTTCTTTGATGAAATAATAAAAATTAATTATTCTATGAAAATTTCTAGGGTCTTGGTACTCGTATTATTATGATTGGTACATTGACCGGTCTTCAATGGTGGATCTATGATACATTCAAATCAGTTATGGGCATGGGAACAACCGGTGGCAAATAGATTAATTCCCAACTCTGTCGAACCTAATTTCTTTTCGTTTTTTTAAATGAAACTTGTAGTACAAAGATTAGTATATGATCACATACAACAGTTCCTCTTGCCGTTCTAGACTTTTTTTGTGAACACTTATCTCCTTTATTAAAAGAATTATATCTTATCTCATTTTCATGGACTTTTTACTAGTATGGAAGGAATATATATACAAAAATCTAATCATAGAGATCAATCAAACAGGAAAATTAGCTAAAGACTTCAATTTCAATCATAACTATCATGTAAAACTTACTAGTTTTTCAATTGTATTTTTGATATGCATCGGGATCTTGTTAATTCGAAATATTATCTCAATTTCAAAACATCGATATTATTATAATTAATTTCATAATAACCAAGATAATCAGTTATCATATACTTTACGGATGTCAGAAAAATAGATTTAGTTAATGATCCTCATTATTAATTAGATTGCTTTTTTAAAATCATTTATTAAAACTTAAAACGATAGCTTTTTACGTTCATAAATAAAATGATATTGAATAGAAAATGAAATTATTATTCATAATATATAATTATCAAAGTGAAATATATATTTCTATATTCTGATCAAATTGAAATACAAGTGGATAGATTCGAATTTCTTATACTCAAAAATATGAAATCAAGTTATTCTTTTTAGTAAAAATAATTCATTACGTCGTAACATTCTGGAAGATTCTCAGACTAGTAGATGAATCCTTAAAAATACATAATTTATCTAAACAAATTCTTATTATTTTATAAAGAATCAAAATACTTCTATAAGATCATACAAGGTTGACTTATCTGACTCCTTCATTTCATATCATTGATTTCTAATGCTTTACATTTTGTAATTGCTTTTTGTTTTAATTTTCTATTCCCTATTTACCACATGTGTTCTTTTGAACGACTTTGAATTTAATCAGACAGTAATAGATCATATAACTATCATATGTTGCAGTATCGATATTATTATTTAATATTAAATCTAATAAGAAATAAAATTAAATGGAACGTTCTTTGTTAGATGATGCTGTTGAAAATAAACTTAAAAAATGATAAACATAGTATAATAGAAATATGATGAAAATGTATCCAACAAGATTAAATTAAATGCTGTTAATACAAGTACGAGATACAGTCGGTTCTCCTTAGAAGTCTCCACTGACATTTAATTTCAATTAAATGTAAGAGGAAATCGAATTAGTAATAAGTTAAAATTGAAAGAAAATTTAAGTTATCTCAAGTTACAGGCATTTTAAATCAACTTGAAAATAACATATCTAAATCACATATATTATCATGATAGTTTTTAAATATATATTTTAAAGTGAGAAATTAGATAACTAATAGAAACTGCATAAAGTCAATGAAAATTTTTACTATATCTACTTATATCACACTCCAATAGTACGGATTTGAACTGTGAAGGGATTGAAAATCCAACAGGTGACTAACTACAGTGATTGGAGGAAGAAAATTGTCCATACCGATATCTTTTATTGAAAAGCTATCTACTATATATACTATACATGAAGATGACGAAAGATCCAGGACATCAAGAGAAAACACTGAGAAAATATGATGAAATAACAAGATGATGACGTCACATGATAATGTAAGAGGATGATGCAATGAGATGAAGGGATCAACCGGTGAATTTTATGCACCCCGTGACACGAACTATAGTAGTTAATAATTATAATATCTATCGAGTGTAATAATGATAAACATTACAAGTAACTAGTAAATGTTCTATATATGACTAATAAAATGTAAATAAGTCTGAGATTATCTTGCTACTTGTTGTTGAATATCTAATAGACTGTTAGATCTCCAAAGAACTGAATCTTATTGAATGAAAATGTTGAAAATATGATTAATTCAAATAGTTAAAATTATATACTTTGATTTTTGACGTTTTTTGAAGTAGTTTTTAAGCATCGAATACCTGTTTTGCAGCTAATAGTTAATCCTAAAATAATAAAGTTTCTTATATCAATAAATCATATTTGCGAGTGATATGTTGATGTATGTTTCTTCTATTCAAGAATAATTTTTTTAGTCTTTTTCAATCGATATAAAAGCTACTAATATATATATATGATCGATAATATTTGGTAATTCATAGAAAATAGACCAAAGTCTAATGTATATATATATATTTATACATATAAAAATCAAGGAATCATTTAGAGTTATACTTTCAACTATTCAAATTTTAACTTTGTAAGAACTGTATGTGCTAGCCGTATCAGAAAAGAAATTAAATAGTCGTTTGAGCTAATTTTTCATGATGAAATATATCATAAAGAAAAATAATTTAAAAATATGACTTTGAACAAAATATATTGTAAACTACAATATTCAAGTCGTTGGAACACTAATAAAATTTTCTTTTACTAACCTATTGTTACTGTTTTGTGTAATGTTGTTATAAACAACCATTTCATAAGTCTGATCAGTTCAGGCAGCGGACGTCAGCCTGTGTATTTTTCTCAATATATTTTACGAGTAAGAAACAAAACTACAAGTACTTCTTCTTTGATAACAGTATTGAATGACGCTATTAGTAATACATATATAGATTTGATATACAAGTTCCTTGTTAAAGAAAAAAGTAGATGATATTCAAATTTCATTCGGATATGACATGCATTTGATAGCTTTAATATTTTTGAAAGACGCTGTCAAGAAATCCAGAGAAAGAAAAATGAGGAAAATTAAAATCGAGGAAATAAGAAATCAGGAAAAGTTTTACTAGAAGTTTATTAATCATAGAAGATAAAACAAGTAAAAGGTATGGACATACTTCAGAGAATCTGATAAGCTTATTTCTTTGAAATCACCAGTAGTGAGAGTCCATCGAGAGAGCGTAGGTGCGTAGGTACGGGTCACTCTTCTTCGACATCCTCAGAATTTTAAAGACTACGTCAATATGTATGTACATATTTTAATTTATCTGTAGAAATACACTTAAAATTATAAAAATTTATTTACAACTAGCATTGAAATAATGTCCATGATTTATTTCTATTTCATTTTTTTTGTTAAAAATGAACCCTATAAATTTAACGTCAGTTTGTCCATAAAGAATGACACGTATCGATTTAATCAGCAATCGAAGTCCCGAAGGACCAAATGTGATGCTTCTGTCTCATAACATTGAGTTCGTTTTTTGACTACCGATTGCGACTCGCCTTTTACTTTTTGAACGACATTATATGTAAGTAGTATGAAATTGTATATTGTGCAACTTTCTCTTTTTTTTCTATACATGACGTAAGTTCGTACAAATATCTCCGAAAGAATGTGATATAATATAATATTGAATGAAATATATAAATTTTTAAAATTTGATATTTTTATTTATTTGAGTCATAAGTACTGTAGTTAAAAATTGTAGAAATAAATATTTAACTTATCTAATGTATACAAATCAATACATGACACATATATTATTAAAATATTTCATCAAAAGTGTTTAGTGTAGTGAGTCATGTAAACATTATTATACTATTTTATTTGTTATCATCGAGTTTTAATATTAACCTTCCTATTTTATAACTTTCATCTTTTGATAATTAACAATATATTATAAATATCCAGTGTCGCCCTCTGACTAATGTGAAAAAAATATGATTCATATTGACTAGATAGTAAACGTACTTGACAATATATCGTGCATCGATTTTACCTCTTTTTATATCTTTCCTGTTCGATTCTGCTCTTCTTTCTTCGTCTTCGCAATCGATTAAAAAATCTACCTGTGACTTGCACATTGACTATCTCATCTTTGGTAGATACAGACATATTTTTTTTTCTTTCATTCTGTGCCTTCTTTCTTGTCAATCAATATTTAATTCGTAAGGCTGTCATATTGGAAAAAAAATTCAATTATTCGTTTTATATTTTTCTTTTCAGCTATGATTATTATTTATAGATTCTATGATTTATCTATGAATCATATATTATTTTCGTCTCCTTTGAATTTCTAGGATAGACAATACTATAGATCACACGCTAATATTCGTTTTTTTCTTTCTTATGCATTTCTTTTCTCAGATTACATCGAATAGACACAGCGAGGTCGAAGTATATATACATAATCAGCGTTTTTTCTTGTTCATACGGGATACAGTTGGATTAAGGCCATATAATACCACACCCAGAAATATATGAAATAGTAGTCCGTGATCTTTCTTTTAAATACATTTATTTTTTGTTACATTTAAAATATTTTTACTTCAGATATATTAATTATTGTAGTGGGTGAAAAGAAAAAACGATATATAAACCTATTGAAATGTTGCAGCAACAACATCAAATCATGGTTGAGACGAATTTACCTTCAACTATGATAAAAGTAAGAATTTCAGTTTTTTAATGCCTGGTTTTTTTTTGAAGAGAAAAAAAAGAATATTTTCAAGTGCAATAACGTGATTTTTACTGCAAACAGAACGGCGAAATTGGCAATCTATAGTCTGCCTTGCTCTTTCTCTGAAGTCATGTGCACACATACAAACACGTCCGTATTGTCCCACTTTTATGTAGTCATATTAATAAGTATAGTAATATAGTCGATAACGAAAGAAACAGCAAGTAGATAAGAAAGTGAATTTAAGTGAAAATTATCTAAAAATTTCTTTTTATTTAGTTTTTTTTACTTTTTATAATTTATAAAAATACCTTGTTCAGTTGTTAGCAGTTATTCATAAAAGATCTTCTTATTTTTATCATATAATGATCTATAAATTAAAGTCATTGTTGATTCAACACTGAGAATAATACGGCTATTGGGAGTAATATGCAAACAAGATGAAAATTTCATATGATTTTTATATACTCAAATCGAAATGATTACAGATATATGATAAATAAGAACACGTGATAGAGTCATTTTTTGTTATGTCTTATTTATGATCCATGTGACAATAATTTTTTCTCTCTCAACTGTCTGCCATTAAATAGTCGAAAATGTGTAAATCATTCATTGATTAGTTTTGCTCAGGTGTTGTACTTCTTTACGTAAACATTTATCGTTGAAGTGTTATCTTACCGAATCCTAATTTTCAATTGGTTTGTTAATATTCGAGTAAGATTCTATCTATTATTTTATATTGTTGGTGACAATTTTCTTTCAATAGATAATGCTTCGATAAAATAAAATATGGTTTTTATCTGTTGTTGAGGTTTTTAATGAATCAATGCATAATTTGTTCTTCCATTAAACTTTATTAACTTATTGGACATCATTAATATTGATAATAAAAAATTCCTATCATCATTTACTTCGTTTTATTAGTCGTTGTTTCAAGTTCAACAATGAATGTCTTTATTCGAACATCCTTTATGATTGTTTTCTTATGATTTTTTTCATACATAAGTTAAAAATACCATGGAAATATATTTATATATGCTTTAAATGTCACTTTTCTCTTTCGAACTGAATAACACTTGAAAAAAAAAGAAACCCGATGGATTCTTCTTGAAATACTTTCACATTGACGTAAAATGAGTAAAATGCATAGTATATAGATAAACGTATTTTAAAATAGAAATAAAAGTAAATACTAGATAATTTTTATTACTGTTTGATTATGAGTACAAAAAATGAATGGTTGCCTTACCTTATCAAAGGCTTACTTTCGAAAACGAGAGCATCGATATTTATATGACTTAATTCCAACTTTAAAATCGAATAACAAAAAGTAATTTAATATGAAAATTTAATCATATCAGATAAATTTCAGTTTACTAGAAATCGATAAAGAATATAATCGTTGTTTTTTGCTCCTATTTGATTCTCAAAAAGAAGATTATGAGAGAAATATAAGTCCAGTAGGTCTCATTAACTGATAAATAATACATTTTACTTGAAATTTTCTTAATTAAAAAATAAAAGGCGCTGTTTTGATTATCTCTACATAAACTGAGTTCTATTCATTGTCTTATAAATCTTTAATCCAATATATATATATTATAGATGTCTGACGAACAATCTTCTTCTTCTTCTTCTTCACCTTGTGCCCAATTGAGTATAATTGTTGATTTAACATCATCATCATTCGATTTTAAAACACTATACAATCATTTATCATCACAACCACCACCTAATAGTGATCATCATCATTGGCATTTTGGAGGTCTACGCTCTTATACAATCCCATTTCAATCTAATCATGATGAAACAACTATTAATTGTGTTATATCAAAATTAAAATTATTACAAAATCATTTATGTATATTACCACCATTTTGGATTTCATATAAAAAATGTGAACAACCTTTACCACTCCCATCAACAACAACAACATCCGAGGTTATTCGTAAAAATGTTAAATTAGGAAAATTTTATACAAATAATGGTTTTGATATGGAATATACTGGAGGTGCACTAGTGGGATTAAATAAATATATATGGGATATTCAAACACAAATTAAAGAACCATGGCGTTTAGTTTTTTATCATGATAAAATCGATATTGATTATGGTTGTAAAGAAAAAAAATTGCGGAAAACAATTAAAGCTGAAATGATGGATAGATGTGTTGTTATAATGACACAGAAAGATGGATTCACTCTATTTATTAATATGAATGGAAATCCGATTGATTATGAAGCTATAAATTCACATCCTCCTCTAAATACGACTGATGATGGTAAAAAAAAGAGTAACAAAATTTAAATTTAAAAACAGAAGAAAAAAAACGATTTTTTTTATTTTCTATTTTGTTTTTTTCATTAGAATTAGATCCTCTATTACGTAAAACAACTGAATCATCTATTTCATACATTCGTACTGCAGCTAGAGAATCACAACCATTTTATTCAACTATTCGTCTTGTTATTTCACTTTCAAATCAATTTAATGAGAATAATATTATTACTGTTAATAATGATGAATATAATTGCGAACAATTACAACGTTTAAATTCATGTTATACACAATTTATTGAATTTTTTCATCGTAATCATATACATGATTGCTTTGGAATTATTTTAAGTATACCATCAACTGTTGATTTTGCATTAATAACATCATTATTTAATTCATCCAATGGATCATCATCATCTTTTATTAAACAATATTGTTGGCAAATGTTAATGTCTATTGGATATCGTTTTCAACAACGTTTAACTACAGATTTTATTCAACAAATGAAATCAATTGATGATGATGATGAATTTTATCAGGTAATCTATTTCATGGATAAGTAAATCATTTCTTATGTACTTCTAAAAAGAGATCATGGAATATTTTATCTTGTTTATTATGAGTTTTCAATAAAGATACCAAATTTTGGGTTTTATTTGTCCAGTCCTGATATAGAGTGATCTATTTATCGAGAAAAACCATTTCGTATTTCTACACATTAACATTTTTCGTTTGATTATTTTTCCAAGAAATAAAATTGAATTTGAAAAACAATATTAGATATTATTATCATAGGTTTTATTATCTAGACATCATTGCATATATGGCGTCGGTCAAGTGAATATTATTTTATTGATTTACTTGCTGAATTACGTCGCTATCGAGAAAAATTAGCTGTCTTAGCAGCTGTACCACCATCATCCCCCATATCAACAAATCATTATCACCAACAAGGACTAAAAAAAGAAGAAGGAGAACAAGAACGTTGGAGTATTCATACACCACCTCGTCATTATGCTTATGTTCCATCCGTAACATTAACACCAACAACAATATGTGTTAATCCATTTAAATTAGTTAAAACAAATCGAGTTCTACGTGAACAACAATTTGGTGGAAATCTTATGTTTGCTCTTGTTGATGTTAAAGAAGAAAATGGAACAATGGATTTATTTCCACATGATTGTATATTTAAGAAAGATTTTTTTTTATAATCTCATTATATGATTTATTTAGATCGTGCGCTACGTTGGAAAACAGAAATGTTACTTGAATCAGGTTTTGATTTAGGTATAAAAGGTCGAACATATCGTTATTTACATCATTCACAATCACAATTAAAAGACAAACAATTTTGGTTTTATCATCATGATGGTGAAAGAAATTTTTCATTTGAAGATGCATTTGCTTGGATGGGAGACTTTCAAGAAGAAAGAATTGTTGCTAAACATGCTGCGCGTATTGCACAATGTTTTACAAGTGCTGAAGCAACTATTCAAGTAAAAATAGATCCTTTGGTTTTTTTGTTATTATATTTTATTTTATCGTTATAGATTCCATCAGAAAAAGTTCAATATATTGAAGATATTCATACAGATGATCGTAAATATAATTTTACAGATGGTGTTGGAACAATGTCCACTATTATACGTGATAATGTAAGAATATGATTTCTATTATTATTTGAAGTCTTCAATTGTAATAATTTGACTTAGACAAATATTAAATTTTAGCTTTCCTCTAGTGAACTATAAGACACAACTTGCTGTTCATCCTATATTTTGTTTGTAAAAGCACGTATCGTTTCATCGTTATCCAAACACTCCTACTGTTGATTATATAAACATAGCAACTATAAACGTATATAAATATCGTATCTGTAGTTTCATTTCTCATAAATTACAAACGTCATGGATATGTAATAACAAATGATAGTAAAAATTCGAATGCAATATATATACGAGATTCTCTCAAAAACCGGATAAGACATCGGCAATAGTATGAACGATTAACTTTTTATTTTTATCAATAGATTAATCCATATCGACAATTTTCAGCTATTCAAATTCGTTATGGTGGATGTAAAGGTGTAATATCCGTTAATCCTGATTTAGATAATTCACCTCATCAATTACGTATTCGTCAATCAATGAGAAAATTTAAATGTTCCCATGATATTCTTGAATTATGTCGTATTTCTAAACCACGTAAAATAAATTCATTTTTCTTCTAAATAGATTTATTAATTTATTTTTAGGTCCACTTTATTTAAATCGACAAATTATTGTTTTACTTTCACATCGTGGTATTGATGATCGTACATTTCTTTTATTACAAAATCAACATCAACAAATGTTATCTGAAGCGCTGGTTTATCCAACACGTGCCTATGAATTATTAGCAGAAAAATTAAATCGAAATTTATTTCCACTTCGTACATTAATTAATGATGCACATCTTAATGTAATTCAAGAACCTTTCTTTCGTCAATTAATCATAACAACAAGTAAATTTGAATTGGCACAAATGCGTGAACGTACACGTTTAAAATTATCAAGAAATTCAGCAAGAAATATGATTGGAATTGTTGATGAATATGGTATTTTAGAATATGGACAAGGTAAAATATTTGCAAAAGTAAATTCATATAAGAAAAATATATATTTTGTTTTTATTATAGTTTTTATTCAATATACAGAATTACATGGAGATATATTAGATGATGAATTAGGTAGTAATAATGATTCATCATCATCACCACAACCCGAAAAAACTATTATTCTTGATCAACAAGTTGTTGTAACGAAAAATCCATGTCATCATCCTGGTGATGTTCGAATTTTTCAAGCTGTTGACGTACCACGTTTACGACATTTAAAAGATGTTATTGTTTTTCCACAACGAGGAAAACGACCACATCCAAATGAAATATCTGGTTCGGATCTTGATGGTGATGAATATGCTGTTATATGGCATTCAGCTTTTATTCCAAAAACACCTAATGATATACCATATGATTATGATTCTCAAACACCAATGTTACGCGTTGTTGATCGTCCTGTTAATCGAGCAGATATTCAAGCAACCGTTTTAGATATTAGTGAACAATCTTGTGTTGGAAAATTATGTTCACTTCATTTAGCAAATATGGATCTTCATGGTGTTGCACATCCAAAAACATTAGCTATTGCTGGGCATATTTCCGAAGAATTAGATGCACCAAAAACTGGACAACATCCATTAACACCAAAACAAATTTCTCATTTACAATCCGAATTAGGAAATGAACGTCCTGATTATTTTGATAAACCATATTATAGAATGTATCCATCTAAACATGTACTTGGTACGTTAAATTAAAAAGAATAAGTTCTATTAATCTACTGATTATTTATATATTATAGGTCAATTATTTCGTTCATGTTTTCGTTTCGAACCAAATTGGGTAGCTATTCAAACTCCACCAACAACAATTTCTGCATTATCAACTGATCCATTATTAATTCATGATTTACATAATGAATATGCATCATCTGTTGATGAATTAGCTCGTACATATCGTGAAGCTATAATGGATATTATGTATGTATATCGTTTTTCATCGGATGTTGATTTACTTTGTCGATTTGATTCATCATCATCACAACATAAAAGTCCATTATCAAAACAACAAACAGAATCTGCTTGTCTTGTTGCTGATTCTGCTCAAGTTGAATTAAAACAATTAATACGACGTATACGTCGTTTATTTTACCATGAATTTCGTTTCTGTGATAAAACACATTCAAATCGTTGTCATACGAATTGTACACAATGTGCAGATAAAAAAATGGCTAAAGCAAGTGCACTTTATATTTTATGTTATACAGATACACGTCATGCTCGACGTATGTTAAGTTTACCATGGTTATTTGCACCATTATTAATTGAAACAAGAAAATTAAATATTAAAAAGCAAACAAAATTATGTAAAAATAATTCTTTTTTCCGGAAAAAATATAGATTTGAATTTTATTCTTCTTCTTCTAGTATCACCAGTACTTGTTGCTCAAATGCTTGAAATTCAACCATATCGATTAATTGGTCAATCATTACGACGTGCACTTCAACTTTTATTTGATCAATCAAAACCATTTCATTTTCATCAAACACATTCATCGGATAAATCAAATTTAATTACTGTTTCACTTGGACCAACAACAACAGCTAAACGTCTTTTATTAAAACGTCAAATATTTTTACTAGATTATTATGTTCTTGAAGTTCTTCATCATTATATTTATGAATCGTTAACAAAAACACGTTCAATAGTAACAGCAGCGAAACCCTTACTTGTTGAATCTATTTGGTATCATATATTAACACGTTTTATTCTTGGCGAATGTTCACCATTAGTACTTACATCAACAAATTCGAATACAACTCCTATGATTCAAGATTGTCAATATTGGTCTGATGAACAAGCATGTAAAACATTACAACGTTTACTTGAAATAAGTGTTCAATGTTGTGAACATGGAATTGATACGATTGATTATGCACATGCTAACGAATATTTAGTTTCAGCATTACAACAAATGGCTACAACGGGATCATTATATTTAAATTAATAGAAAAGGAAAAATAACAACACTAATGGTTAATTTCAAAGCCCAGTGATATATATATATATATTTATTTATTTATCTTTTCTTTTGACACGAACTATGTGTATTTGATATAGAACGAAAAGTCATTTTCAGCTGTGATGTTCTTTCACGCGTGCTTTCGTTTTCTCTTTTTTTCTTCTTCTTCTTCTTTTTCCTTTGCTGCTATTGATGGCAGTTACATTTCTAGGAATGTGACTGTCTTTTTCTTTTTTTTCACATTTTTTTGCGTAGAAAAGTTGTGAGAAGAAACCTCTACAAAAAAAATAGACTTTAGACTGAAAAAAATATATAGTTGAAAAAAAACAATAACATATGATTTTTATTCTTACAAAAGATTTATAAACATTGCTGCATCTTTATGAACTACTGAAATAGAACATACAAGAAGGAAAAAACTTTAAAAATCGATATTTGGAAACTTTTTCCTATAGTGATAAGCCCGCTCTATGATACTATCGAGTATCATATTCATGTAACTGAAATAGACGATACTTAATGATAGAATTCTTTAAATAGGAATTGATCTTTCTAAATATGTACGTAAATATTAAATTTCCTACATTTCATCATACAAAAAGGTACATACGATCCATTGATTATAAAATTCTGCTTTCTTCTCGAGAATTATTGATAACATATTATGCCTTTTTTTTCAGAAAAACAAACTTTAATTATAAACTAATATATAATCATGTTAGTTTTAAGTGAAGTATAAAAAACTAATTTTTTTAATGGTTTTCATTATGAAGTACATCATTTTCTCAAGGAGAAAAGAAGATATATTCTAACAACTTTTAATAATATTAAAAGAAAAGAATATAATGGTGGATGAATAATAAGAAAAATAAAAACAAGTTCTAAGTTTGTTTTCTTTGTAATCTTTCTTTAAATGGAATATGAGATGAAAGATAGTTATATTTAGATGAAATTGTATATCAATAGGATAAAAATGATCGAATTCACAAATCTCTTTACAAAATCCTAGCGGATAGCTTTTAGCAAATGATTTCAAAACTGTGTTTATTCGTAGTCAAGAATATAATCATAATTGATTCAATATTTTTTAACTCTATTCTAAATATAACAAATGGGGAAGTACCTTTTCATTATTAATCGACAATCTATGTAAATATTCTTCTTTTGATACAATAATAATTAATTCAACATGTCATAATATAACGAGAAATGCACAAAAATATATGCCTGAAGTGAAAAGATCTATTTATGTAAAAACTTGAATCAATCTATGACACATAATTTATGCAATAGAAATAACAAATATAGCTGAATAGTAATTAGTATGTTTGAGAAATACTATTCAGTTCTTTTTTATCGTTCTCTCGTATCTGCTTTCTTCCGTTCCTTAACCATTCATCATGTACTTACTATGGATCAAAAAACTCCGACCGTTCATTAGATATAATTACATTAGGATAATTTCAATTGAATTCCATCGAAAAATACAACCGAAAGAAAAATATGCAGCACTGAGTATTCTAAAACTATTTATAAAGAATCTCATAGGACAAAAACAATAAATAAACGTCTAAAGACAAATAAAACAACTATAGATAAAATAGCAAATATATTCACGTGAGAATATTCTGGTTATATAAAAAACAAGATACCATTGATGTTCTACAAATATATTTATTGATGATTAATTTCTAGTGTTTATGAACATTTATATGGCTAACTATAAACGGCTAAGAATGAGTGTATATAGAGAAGTTTTAATGGATAATTGTAAAGATTAATGAATTTATTTTTCTTCTTCTTCTTCCTCTTCTTCGCCAGCTTCTTCTTCGTCATTTCCCTCTTCAGCTGGTTCTTCTTCTTCATCAGTTGGTTTTGGTGTTGGTTTTGCATCAGGTTTATGTGGTGTTGGTGTTGGTCCTGAAGGATGACTAGATCCACCTTCTTCTGTTTTTGTTAACATCCATAATTTACGACTACCAGAATTTGATTCACTTGTTACAGTAAAACCTGCTTTTTTAAATACATCAAGAATATGTGCTGGTGGATGTGTACATTGAACACCTTTTTCATGATCACATAAATTGTCATTTGAACAAGATTCTTGTAAAAGTCGAATAAGTTCAGGTTGAATACGATAATTTTGAACACCAGTACTATGAACAATTGTTGGTCCTGATTGTTCTTGATTTGCTTCACATGAGACTGTGACTGTTGCATTCATTGCTAAAGCCATGTTTTCTTTTTATCTATTTAGAATAGAAGTTTCTAGAAAAAAAAATAATGTAAAATTATCAAACTGATAAACTGAATAACTTTTACCTATGTACGTGTGTAAAGAAGTAGACCTTGAAAATAAGTGTATGCTGGTTTGTGACTTGAATATATATATGCGGGCTTGTGTGAGCGAGAACGACAAATTATACTATCTGCCTGGTAGTATGGGAGCACAAAAAAAAATAAGAACAAGAAACGCAAGAAAAAAAGCGAAAGAATAAGAAATAAAAAGAGAAAATGACGGTTCTTTTTATTATATATTATATAAATAAATCTCAGACGAATGACAAAAATAGTTCCGTTGTATTTCAAGATTCATTGATAAAATATTATTGGTTCATACTACAATGAACAGAATGCTTCTTTGATTGTTGATATTTTATTAAACAATAAACGAATTTCTAGGTTGAAAAATCGAAGAAATGATTAGTTCAATACTCGAATGAGAACATAGATCGAATAGTATTTGGACAAACTATAGAAAACCACGGAATTGAACCCACAGAATTAATTAGGAAAAAATGACACGATAAATTATTTGCATATTGAATAATATAAAACTATGAATGTTAATCAACAATGATTTTGCTGTTAAAATAGAAAATCATGCAAACAAATATGGTTTTAATCAATGAAGTACATTACTTCTTTTTGAATTTTAATTAATATAAATATTCATTTTTAATATTTCGAATAGTATCTTCTGTACCAGAACAATCTACTTCGTATTTCATTATCGAGGTACATTTAGATAAATAGTCACTTCCGAAATTGTGTGATAGTAACTATATATGAGAAATTTGTTTATTGTCAACCGGTAATGTTCCCGTAAAAGGCAAATGATCGATAATAAATATTATTTTATTTGTCTAGTGTGATCATTTGATATATTACCTAGTTGACATTATAAAAACTATACTTCATATTTTTTTTCTTCTCATCGAAAATTAGTTTCAATATCATTCTGTTTTATATATGAATTTCTTCAATAATAACTTTTTCTTATAATTCTAACATTAGTTTATAATCGATAATTATATTTATGTTCATTGTATATTAATTTATTATACGATGAAAAACAAAATATTTCTATAGTTTTTCAATGATTATATTCATCATGCTACGGAATTATTATTCCACATACAAAATCAAGATATGCAATGACATTTACAATTGATGCATGTGTAATTGCTTAACGAGAATACCCATTAATGATTGGACGTCTTTCAATTCAAATAACTTTGTATTGCATGATTAAATCAAGTCTAGCTTAATAGAAACGATATTTCAATGAATAATACTCATATTTTGATACTAAAATATACCTTGTTTATTGACATAACTACGGAGCATATATATATATTTATCTTAATATACTATTTGTTGATAATGATTATGATAGTATAATTCAAGTCTATTCAATAATATTTTTGCTTTTGAATGGATTTTAACGATGTATACAAAATCGAATATAAATTGATTACATCTGTAATTTCATATCATAATCAATCTTATTTCCATTGATAATTTTGACTAGAACGAATATTTTCATATCAAAAATAAACTCATTCACAGCCACTGTCATAATAAAAGTGTCGAAATGACTAAACCTAAGTGAAATAAAAACAAAAAACATACCACTATATGATTCCATCTATTTGAAGAGAATAAAATGTTATTATTTTAATGTAGTATAAATAACTCGGTCAATGTGATGAGAAAAACAGGAATGTTATGGTTAGTGTTAAAAAATCATTTTGATGTTAGTGTCAAATATTCTTCGAAAAATAGTATTATTATAAACTCTAAAACCAGTAACAGAATAATAGAAAACAAAATGTGTTTTTTTTTCCTAATAGCATGTCATAATAACAATGCTATTGTATATATATAACTCATTCAAGAGTGCAATGTTAATGGCAGAATATGGTCTAGTTAAATTGAGATCCTTCTTAGATTTTTTTCTTTTATCTATGAAAGTATCATAAATCTTTCAGATAGTGTATTATAATAAGACAAAATCACACGGTTTTCTCTCTTGACTTTATAAGTATATTGATCAAATATATTATTTCTCTTCATCGAACAATAATAAAAGCAAATAGTAATCGTAATAAGAAATTATCGACAACAACAAGTATGGCATTAGAAAAGAAAACACTATAACCCACAAGAAAAACAAAATAATCAGATACAATTTAAATGAGACATAACATATAGATTGTCTGGAAAAAAACACATACAGAAAGAAATGATATGAGAATAAATTATTTTGTTCAGATATTCAGTTTAACCGAATTTATCTTGTTTTGTTGATTGAGTTACTGTTTTTGACAGGCATCACAGGCAATTAAATTTTGACTAAATAATTAATTCGAATTTTGTGCCTGTTGTAATATTTCCAATGAACGATTATCGAGAAAATGTTTTGGATTTGTTGATAACATAAACGCATTAATTAAAATATTTACAATACATATAAATAAAATAACAACTAATGCGAGAGTATTAAATCGTTCTAAATTAGTTTGTTGTTCAATATTCCTTATATCACCTTTTATCAGAACATATAAAATAAGAGCTAAACCAATTAGAAATAAAAATGATACACAAACAAGTATCAGAGATGCTGTCCAGAAACCATCATGTTGTTTTTGTAAGATTAAAGTTCGTAATTGCATTACATTACTCGCTATTAAAAAAAGATTTTTCGTTTTATATTTAAAAATGATTTGTTTTTGAAATTTTTACTTACTTAACAAAGTAAATCCTAGAAATGCAATGCCTAAATAGAAAAAATAGAATTTTTATGAACAAAAAAACATGAATATAAATTATTTATTTACCAATTGCCTTTTTTCTTGCATAAGTATTGTAGTTACATGTCGAATCAACCTGTGAAAAAATAAATATTATGTAAATAAATCAATTAATAGGATTAAATTTTTTATTCGAGACTTTTTGGCATTCAATCTAATAAATAACAATCAGAATATACATATAGACAAAATAGTCTAGTAGTTTAACAACAATCATTCATTGTATAAATGTCATATGTACATATATTTGTTCAACAATTCGTGTCTTATACGTTTAGAGATAACAGTAAAATAAAGTGACCCGCCGACTGAACAAATTATCACAGATTGTATATATTTGTCAATAGCAAAGATCAATCTTTAACTTGTGAAAAAAAAACACTTGAACATACGACTGTGCCTGTATGTACATATATATATATGAATGAATGAGATGATTGATAACTATTATGTGTAAAGAATTATTTATAGTCAACTCTTTATAGATGATTTGCATATTAACAAATGAAATCTTTCAATTCTCTTAAATCTCAATCTTACATTTCTATTTGCACATCAGATTTTTTTTCGTACTCTTGAAATTATTGCATAAAGTTAATGATATGTACGTATATATATACACAGATAGATGTATGTATACGTATTTACCATTCAGTAGAAGCAAACATTATTTCTGCTACTTCTGTTTATATAGCACCGAAAAAGTCTTCATTTCTTTTTATTATATTTGATTGGCATCAATAACATGCTAAATCTTATAAGTAGTACATATATATACAGAAGACAAGGAAACAGAGACATTTTCAATACAAAAAAGAAAAGATTTAAACAGGCATATGAAGGATAATGATAATCACTATATTTATATATATATATCAGACACGGAATTCGATAGCATAATCATGGTTCCTGTTATATGAGAACATCGATTACTATAATTACGCTATATTGAAATAAATTATCAATAGAAGAAGAATTCTAGACAATAACTATGTGACTACATAAAAACTTACGTTTGCACCACCAGTATTTTCCTCATTATCAACCTAAGTAAAAATATAAGTAATATCTAACTTTGTTTAGGAGTAAGAATAATAAATTTTATAAAAATTATTATGCATGCAATCAATTATGTAAAAATACTCTTATTAAATATTAATATTTACCCTTCGAGATCCACCAACAATATTTGAACCAGATGATGGTATATCCATACGTGGTGGTGCATCAGGTGGTACTTCAGATCTCAAAAGAGGACGTTGTTGTTGATACTGTGGATATTGTCTGATGTCCGATCGAGGAGGTACGGCTGGACGATCATTTGCACCACCATCAGGATACATAGGTGGAGCAGTTGGCTCATAATGGTTATTGCGCGATGGCATTTTTTATTTATTGTCTTTAACTAGAAAGAAAAAATGAATAAATTCATTATTTTATATATACATATATGTTGGAAAAAACTGATTTGATCAAAAGCATGGAATAATATACTACCGACTCTATCAAATTTCTTTTCCTTTCTGGCATACCTTTTCTCTATTTTTTTCACTATTTTTCTCTCTTTACTGTTGCCTCTTATGACTAGTAAATCGTGTGCATCACAAGGTTATCTCATGACGTTTAATCATATCGAATGCCTCTTGTTTCTCTCATTCGAAACATCAATAACGTCAGTCAGCTACGACAAATATAAAAATATCGAATAATTTTACCTGTAAAAAATCCGTGCAAGTCACAATATGTATCCAATAAATGAAAGATACAATATTTATCCCATTAAAAATATTAAAAAAAAACGAAAAATAATGAAAGAAAGAAGCATGCACAAGTGTATAGACAACGATGACAGATGTTGAGCAATAAAAGAGAGAGAGAGAGAAGACAAAAGAACGTAGAAAGAGAAAGGAAGGGAAGAAGTCTGTATTTGTTACGCATAAAGACGTCGGTGACGGCAGACAAATCCTTTTCTCTCGCTCTCTCTCTCTCTATTTTTTTTTTCTTGACAACATATAACGTCTTTTTTAATATTAAATTTTTTCATGCACGTCAACAGAATTTTTCTTTTTTCATCGTTCATTCTGCTTCCTGTTTATGTGGGCATCAATGTCTACGTATTATTTTTTAACATTGGACTATAGACAAGATACATAAATGATCATATAACATCATGGACCATGTCTAATTAACCGATGGCATTGTCAGAAAATAAAGGTCATCTCAGGGGGAATAAAGATAAATAATCAAGTCTTACAAAAAAATAAGAAACACATTTTTCTGTCTGGAAGTCATACAAATTTCTCGTATGACGCCTTAATCGATGATTCACGTGCATAGATCATATGCATACATGTTTACACATGCTTTTATCATCTATCATTATGATACAATACAATCTAACTAACAATTAATATTCTTTTTAAAGTTCAGTATGAAATTACCTATACAGAAAATTTATATTGGAAAAATACAATAGATTTACATAAGTTAGTATGATCAACATTTCCTCATGTATAAGGTCGATAATTCTGAATGATGCTAATCTCTAAAATATGAAAAAATGATGATTTTCTTATCTGTCAATCCTAGAATTTTCCTAATCAATCAATAACAACGTTGTTCATTCCTTTGAGAACGTCTATTGAACGCAAATTGAATTTTATTCCGTCTTACACATCGACTAACCATCATTGGAATAGAAAAGAAAAAACTCAGTCAATCATAAGGGAAGAAAAAATCAAATTAGTTAACATGAGAACTAGTTTTATTTTTAAGTGAAAGAATGGATATAGAATTCTCATTACATATTTGTGTTCTTCGTCAAGTAGTCAATATTTACCTACTCTCTAATTGTATCGAATGAAATGAACAAATATCCAGACGAAAACAAGTTTATGAAATCATTGACATTGTATACTTATCGCTAAACAGATGACATTGATAATTTTTCGATTATTTCTTCTCATTATCGTTCGATAAAAAAACCTACGACTATGTTTTATACATTTATATGTCTTCAAGAACAAACTTTATTACACTATTTGTCTGTTTTACTATTTAATAGTCTATTTGAAGTTTTAGATACAATAGTCAGTAGCCTTTTCAGTATTTAAAATCTCAAATGAATCATAAAATACTTGAGAGATATGCAAGACAAAAGTCGTTTTTTACTGGCAAATAAATACAGTACATAGAATATACTTGTATTTTTCTTACTCACAGGGTTGAAACTTGATATAAAGACATTGTACTAAGTAATCAAAGATATATAGATAACAAATGAATCGAAAGAAGTAATCAAAACGGAAATAAGTTTTCTTTTACTAAGTTCACTTTTCAAAAAAACCGATCTGTTGTCCTTGATGTTGATTAAAAAATTGTATTAATGAGTTTTATCTAGTATAATTCGCATGGATCAAATAATTCGCGACTAGAAATTCTATGATATAACTAACAATAGAGAATTTCTAATTAATTTATAACATCTTTATCAATGTCGTAAAATACAATAGTCTATTCATATCTTTTGTATAAGATCATGTTTGTACTTAGTATTCCTGTTTATAAATATTATATCTTTATTCTTTTTTTCGAAAGATTGTTTTTTGAGAATTTAAAAAAGTATATTATAAAAAAAAGCAACACGAAAAATTGCACAAAAGATAGTTTAACTTGAATTAGTCGTTGTATAATGTCGATAATCATGAATGAAATCATTAAGATTTTGTGTAAATGATGGTAAATCCTAGAGTATAGAATAAATATATTTAATTAATGAAATAGAATAAATAACAAACCATTTCATTTCGCCCATAAGTTTCTGTTAATAAACGTTTATGTTTATCATTTAGAATTGTTTGTATATTTGATTGATCTAAATAATTATGAATAAAATAAGCAAAATTATTCGTATTATCATTTGTTAATATATAAAATAATGTTGATATAATATCATCACGACATAATTCATGTGAACGAGCAAGTAAAACACTAAGTAAAAGTGATAGAAGTGCTTGAGACATTTGTTGACGAAATATTAATTTTGTATAAAGTCCACATTTTAATTGAAGTTCATTACATGACGTTAAATTCGCACGAAATTGTTCGATATCAGCTTGTGAAAATGACCAAGCAATACTCTAAATCAATGAAGAAATATAATGATTACGATGCTGTTATTGTTGTATTTACCTCCATTAATTGAATAAAACTTTGTTCATTAGCAGTTGTTTCAATTTCTCCATTGAGTGTTGTTAAAACATTTCCTTTAAAAAAATATCGCCAATTATTTACTAATAAATTATAAACAAGTTTATAATAATTCTCTCGAATATCCAACGCACAATTCTAGAAAATGAAATTCAATTCAATTGAAATTCAGTAGAAAAATATACTTCTCGTATAGCTGGATATAATGCGTTTGTACATAATTCAATAATTGTTGGTAAAAATTGTTGAGTTAATTTACTATTTCCTGGTTCATTGACAAGTAAGGATAGAAATTCAAGAAATCTAAATCATTCGCGTAAAATAAGAAAAAAGATTTTCTCAGATTTGTCTAACCTTGATATGGCTGGATGATCATTTTTTTTTGATTCACGAAGAACATTTTGAACATTTTCACTAAACATAATCATATATTAAGAAATTTCCCCTCGAAATACAATCTATACGAACATGTTAAATGCAGAAAACGTTGTTTGTAGTATTGTATTAATTAAATCAGTACCCATTTGTGTTCGAAATATTTCAAAAATAATTAATAATAATGAAATCAGTGCTGTTTCACATTCTAAAACGAATATTTACATAATTAAGTTCTTTCATTAGAAGAAATTGTAATAAAAACCTGTATCACGATTGATAATGAATGGTAAAAATCGATTTAAATTGACAATTAGATATTGTACTGATAGAAAAAGATTTTGACGAAGTTTATTGTTTTCTGTACGAAGAGATTCTATAAGTTCGGAAAGTAATTTCGTATATTCAAGAAATGAATGACGAATTAAGTATTGATCTTGTTGATGATTAAAAAAATTTGCTGGTTCTTTTAACAGTGTATCCAATGGTTGAAAAATTTGACGAAAAAATTGTTCTGTTGATTGTTGATCTGTTAAGATTATGAATGATATTATTTTTATCGATAATTTATAAAGCTAAAATTAAATATAAATAATTCATATAACTGATTATTTAACACGGAAAATTTTACTTGAAAATTAGTTTTTGAATTAATTACGATATTCCATGTAAGAACACGATGAATTAAATGTTTAATTGAATTCATTTGATCAATCGGTAAATTTTGGCGAGTAAGAGGAACAATAGAAGAAAGAAGAGTACCAGCTGATATAGCAATAGATTTATCAAAATTCTGAAAAAATAAAATAAAGGATAGATGAATGAAATATTTGTGTTATTATATACATACATTTATATCAATCAAAGGTGTACAAGTATCAATAATATGTGTTATTAATTCTTGAATCATTCGACGATTATCTTGATTTGAATTGTATAAAACTAACATTTGACTAAGCCAAGGAATTAAATTCGTCACACATTCAAAAGATCGTGTTTGACTAAATACGAAAGATTTTATTAATAAAGGCCATATTTTCATATAATCAGTGAATGCTAACAATTATCGTGATTTATACTGGCTACCGGCAAAATTTAATTGCTATACTCTAACCTGAGAAATCCTCTATGAAACTCATTCATTGAACTTTTATTGTTCATAATTTTCGATCGAACTCAATCCTTTAAGAAAAGAGCTTTACTATATTCCGTTGTACTATGTCTATTTTTGGATGAAAAAAAAACAATTATTATAAGATTGGTAAAAATTTGCGATAATACTAATGGACATTCATTTTTTGAGGATTTTATGAGACCTTTCTTTTGTGATCTGTTTTTCTTTCATTTAAAAATTAAGAATTAAAAAAAAGGACTCTGTACCCTCGGTTTGAAATCGGTTTTTAAATGATTTACTTACGCATGAATAAGTTCATTATGTATTTTTTTCGATGAACATTCAACTAAATCGAATCGAGCATGAATTATATAAGTAATTAATTGTATGAATCTAAATAAAAATTTAATAAATATTTATATTTCTTCTATTTTATCTTACTGATGAACAAGTGTTAGACGGGTTTGAAAGTAATTTTGTTGTTGATTATTATCATCATCAAGTAAACATGTGCTTGCAATACTTGAAAACGCATGAAGTAAATTACTAAAACTGTTCAATATTTGACTACAAGCATGTATAGAATCATTATTTAATATGAATTGCTGACGAGAAGGATCTAATTGAGAAGAAAGGTTAATTATAAGATGAATTTTCTATATATAGATTTACCATTTGGTGAAGTTTGAATTAATTTTTGAATACTTTTATATTTTTCAATATCTGGTTGTAACAGACTTATCTAATAAAATAAAATTGAATAGAAAAGTGAATAGATATTCAGAATTATTCTTACGAGTGAATGTAAAATATGCGAAGAAAGATTTGGAATATCAGCTAATTTACTTAATACATCAATACATTCTCTTCGATATCGATCAGTTGCAGTTTCAGACTAGAATAAAACAAAAAAACTGATATTTAAATATAATTAAATCAGACAAAATTCTATACATCATTCAGATCGGTAGTTTCTTCTAAATTCTCTGCCATTGTTTGTGCAGTATGAATACGTTGTAATAATTCTTGACTTAATGAACGTAGAATTTGTGAATATCTATTTTGATATTAATTAAATCAAAAACAGAAAAAAATCAAATTATTTTACTTTTCAAATGAACTTTCTTTATTCAATAGACGATTTTCATCTTTTGTTTTTATATAATCAATAAATATTGACCAAATATCTAAACAAGCATAAAATCCATCTTGTGTGACCTATTTACAAAAAAAAAGAGGTTCATTATTAACTAGACAATAAAAACACAATTACTTGTTGAAAAGTAAATTTATAGACACCACTTAATAATTCAAACATTGGATAATTCTCAATAGATTCACATCGTTTTAAATGTAAACTAAAAAGTGAATGTAAAATTTCTGTTATCTTATTTATGATTATATTTGTTAAATTTTGATTAAGTATTAAAAGTAATTGTATAACATGACGTAATGATGAATAAAGAATTGTTTCATATTGTCGAGGTATATGTTGTTTAAGTATTAATTCATGAATACAATTTAATGCATCTATTGACCATGTTGATGATGTATATTGAAAGAGATCATCAATTAATTCGGATGGTAATGGAAGAATTGAAAGACGATTTATAAAGCGATCCAAACATATTAATGTTTGCTGTTTTATTAATAATGGATCTAAATTCAGTTGAAATTCTATTAAGATTTGAAATTTCGAATAGTTACCTTTCATTTGATTATTGTCTTTTTTTAATAATACATGTATAATATGAATAATATGTGGTGCATGTTGATTAAGTGTAGTTTTTAATTGATTACAACGTTTTATAGTACAATCTTCATTGATTTGACCAAGTTCTTCGATTGTTGTTGTTAAAAGTAATAAACCTATAAGTGTTTGTGTTTCAATTAACTGTAATTATTGAATAGAAAAATAATTATTTTTCCTGTAAGTTATTCAAATAGACACTGACCTTACGTGATAACAAGTTTGAAAATATTCATCGATTGACCATTGATTATCACAGCGAACAATTTGAACTATGAGTAAACACAATTTTGAACGAACATAAACAGGTAGTGATTCGAATAGATGAAGAAAAAACCAAAGTAATATCTGACGAATTTGTTGCTGATCTCCGTAACGATGACGGATTGAATGTTCCAGTACTTGAAGTAAAAAATAGATCAATAATGGTGGCATTACATTTGATTGATTTTGTTGTTGCTGTTGAAAAGTTGTTAACGCTATTTGCCATGAATTTTTATCAATTAAAAATTTATTTAATTGTTCATGTAAATGCTGTTTATGAGTTAGATCCGTACGTGGATCATAATAGTCTACTAGAGCTTTTGTTAATTCCTCCATAAAATATCTATAAATCAGAACAAAAAATAAACTTTTACTGTTCTTCTTTATATTTTATTTTTATTTATAGAATAAGCAATAATATAGAATATATATTTACAATTATCTCCCATAAGTTTTTTTTTTGTTGACTATCTACATAAACAAGTCACGGGGGAGATAGGAATAAAGAACGTTTGTTTTTTTTAAATAGTTGAAAATGTTTATTTTAATTGCTTGTGGGCAAAACGGAATCACTATCTTTGTTATCTTCAGTTTCATTTTTGGGTGATTTGCTTTTCACCGGTGCTACAACAAATTCCTTAAGTAAATGTTGAACATTCGGATCAGTTTTCAATGCACTTGTAAATATACAACCAACGAATACATGTGTTCCTAAAAATAAGCATGATTTTTCTATACAATATATTTTTGTTTAATTTTTACTAACCATGTTCTTTGTGTTCAACAACACGACAACAACCTAAATCAACAACTTTTATACCAAAATAACGAAAACGTTCATCAGTTTCAAATAATGTATCTGTTGTATGTGGACCATAGTAAGGTCGACCACTTGATGGATCAACAAAATCAGCCCAATAATGTTTTGTACCTAAATAAGCACAGACTTCATGAGCTAATTTGATAAATTGATCTGTTAATTCATTTCGTTCTTCTTCAATTTCAGGTGACCATGCTGACATATCAGAATTTGTTTTCAATATAATTGTTATAGCTGTTAATGGTTGCATTAAAACGTTATAATTTAAAAATAAACGATGTAATTCATAACGTAATAATGTTGGACAATCAAATGCACGAATTTCTAAATTATCATTATCAACTAATTTCGAAAGAAATTCTGTTTTATTTGTTGGTGATGATAAAACCATATGTGTACCCATTAATTGAGTTATTGAATCTTTTTGATGATCAACTGGTAAAGTCATTGTTAATAAATCATCTAAAAGAAGTTTACCATCAATACCATAACGAGATGGATTAAGTTTTGGTACTGATTTAATAGGAGTTATGTTTTTGTCACGATTTGGTCCAATACGTCCAGGTAATGGAAAACGTTGATCAGGGTCTTTTAATGATGCGTATGTTGTATCAACAACTAATGGTGGGATAGGTATATTTTTATTTGCTGTTAAATTTGATGCATCTATTTGATCAACTAGATCTAATAAGGCACGAAGTGTTTTACGTCCAACAATACGTGCTTTTAAATCAAATGGGTTTGGTTTAAATGATGATAATCGACGTATGGGAGAAAGACAATATAATGACTGAGGGCGAATATGTGTTATAAAACGATCCATTGTTTTAATCTAAAATCAACTGAGTTTACATGTTTATTCCTTCGTTTTTTTTCTCTCACACCAGAGCTGATCATGCGCTGGATGCATGAGTCATTACGTCGTTTTATTTTTCTACTTGCTCGCTAGCTGCGCTACTATCGTATTCGTTACTGACTGGTTCTCTTTCCTCCTCGAGTCAATAGAGTGTTCTATTGTGGTGTATACTAGGAGTCGCACATCATCATGGCTTCGCTTTTTTTGCTTCTTTTAATCGTCGGATTACTGACAGAATGTAAAGGAATACATAATGATTTATTTCCTTTTCGAAATGTATCATTGGACTGGCCAGTACGTGTTGATGATCTTGTTTCACGTCTTACTGTACATGAAATTATTGATCAAATGGCATATGCAGGTGGATGGGATGCTGGTGTCACACCTCCCATACCTCGATTAAATATTCTACCATATTCATGGGGTACAGAATGTTTACGAGGTGATGTAAGTGAAAATTCAACAGGTTTTCCACAAGCAATTAGTCTTGCATCAACATGGAATAAAGAATTAGTAAAAGCTGTAGCAAATGCAACAGCTTATGAAGTTCATGCACATTATAATCTTTTTACTAAAGAAGGTTTATATGGTGTACATCGTGGTTTAAGTTGTTTTTCTCCTGTAGTCAATATTATGCGACATCCATTATGGGGTAGAAATCAAGAAACGTATGGTGAATGTCCTTATCTATCAGGCATGTTTGCTATTTATTTTGTTCATGGTCTTCAAGGACCATCATCTGCACGGTATCTTAATACAAATGCAGGTTGTAAGCATTTCGATACACATAATGGACCAGAAAATATACCTGTATCACGATTTTCATTCGATGTTAAATTGTCTGAATTTGATTGGCGTTCAACATTTCTTCCTGCATTTCATGCTTGTGTAAATGCAGGTAGTTATGGTATAATGTGTTCATATAATTCTATTAATGGTGTTCCATCATGTGCAAATAATCGTCTTTTAGCTGATATACTTCGTAAAGAAATGAATTTTACTGGTTATGTTGTTGCTGATGATGATGCGTTAATATGTATTAATAGTGAACATCATTATGTTGATACAAATGAAGAAGCAGCAATTGTTGCATTACAAGCTGGAGTTAATTTAGAATTAGCAGATTCACCTGGTGCAACAATGTTTGAATTATTACATCAAGCATATAATGAAGGAAAAGTTAATAATCAAACATTAATTGAACGTGTTAAACCTTTAATGTATACAAGAATGCGTCTTGGAGAATTTGATCCTCGTGAAATGAATGATTATAATAAAATACCGATGGATGTTATTCAATGTGAATCACATCGAAATTTAGCACGACAAACAGCATTACAATCATTTGTTTTACTTAAAAATCAAGATAATTTTTTACCAATTCGTTATCCTCAAAAATTTCAAAATGTTCTCTTTCTTGGACCCATGTCAAATAATCCAATGCAACAATATGGTGATTATTCACCTATTATTGATCCTTATTATGTAACAACACCATTGAGTTCTTTACAAGATAGTTTTTTAAATACAAGTTATAATGAAGCATGTTTAGATGGAACAAAATGTTTAAAATATAATCAAACAGATATAATAAATTATTTAAAAATCAATTCATTTGATTTAATTATACTTTCATTAGGTACAGGACCAGATATTGAATGTGAAGGTAATGATCGTGTATCAATGAATCTACCTAATAATCAATCACAATTACTTGAAGATGTACTTAATACAATAAATGTTGAAAAAACAAAAATTCTTCTTCTAACAATATCTGGTACACCATTAGATATTCAATTAGCACAACAATCAAATAAAATACAAGCAATTGTACATGTAGGTTTCGCTGCACAAGAATTAGGTGAAGCACTTAAAATGGCTCTTATTGGTGATGGTATTTCAAAATTTGGTCGATTACCTTTTACATGGCCAAAAAAATTAAGTGATATTCCTGGTGATTTAACACGATATGATATGACAAGTGGTTTTACATATCGTTATTCAAAAATTGAACCACTCTATCCGTTTGGTTATGGTTTATCTTATTCAAATTTTTCATACAATGATCTTAAGTTTAATGCAACAAATATAATAGCCGGTGATAGTTTAAAAATTTCGTTTAATATTAAAAATATAGGTGAACGAATATCAGATGAAGTTGTTCAAATTTATTTGACAATTCATTTAAAAAATACTTCTTTAACAAATGTATCACGAGCGCAATTAGTTGATTTTGATCGATTATCAGATATTGAACCATTAGAAACTATTATGTATCAAGCTATTATAAAACCACAACAAATGGCCGTTTATATTGATGGAAAAGGTTTTATGATTGTCCCGGCAACATTAGAGTTTCAAATTGGAAGTTTTATTCAACCATATCTATCTGGAAATATCATTATTGATGGTCCAGATTATTATATTGGACAATATATTTCTTATGCGAGTATTTAAGATAAAACAAAAAGAATGCAATACAATCAATTTTCTGTGATTTTTTTTGTTAATCAGCCTATACTTTTTTTTGTTAATTTATTCACAAATTTTTTAAAGATAACAAGTTTTCTAAGAAGAAAAAAAACGGAAGGTTCTTTGTTTTTCGACAGCGAATAAATAACAAGAAGTGGACTGTCAGGAAGAATATATCACTGTATCATTGTATAATAGTAGCTACGAAATGAGTAGAAAGAAAACGATAAGTTAGTAGAAAAGAAATAGGAGCAAAAAGAAAACAGTAACCCATATGTTTCTTTATGTTATTGATCGACAGAAAAAAAACTAACAAAAGAAAAACAAAAAAAAAAAGAATTTTAATAGAATCGTGCACGATGATATTGTCGTTTGTTCATGTAATAATATGCGCCAATACCAACACCCAAACAAACAATAATTAAGAAAAGAATAAGAAAAAATATTTTTAAAGCAGACCATCCTGATCCACTTGGATCTTCGATATGTGGACGTTCAGCTTCAGCTCCTGGAGCATTTGGTATTATATTTTTACGATCTTCATTACGTCGTTGTTCACTTGTTTCTAATTGATATGTATGTACTGATATAATATCATGATTATCAGATAAATCACCGGTAGCTGATGTAAAACCAAAATAATAATGTGATGGTAAATGAACATCCGACGCTGAAAAACATTCTTTCCAAACATTTTTTCCTTCAATATCAGTTGAAATCGTTAAACGATCATTTTGATACCGTATAGCAACAAGTGTATCAGTTTCTCGACCACGAAAAGGTGCTTCACAACCATTTATAATTGTATGTGTACCATCTCGATCATGATCATAATGAAGTGAACCATTATTAACCATAGCTGATATATATGGATGAGCATGCTAAATAGATTAATATTAATAAATATTCAGAAAACAAAATATTATTTAATACATACATTATGTGGTCCATTATGATTGGAATATGTATCCATAATAATAGCTAATCCATGAAAATAATCTTGATAACCAAAAACAGGACCTATGATAAATAAAAGAAGTATATTTAGGAATAGAATTGATTTGTATACACTTACCACTTAATTTTGGATCTCGAGCATACCAAATAACAAATCCATCACCAAAGAGTTCTTTTCCAGTACCATGTACTTTATAATTAACATGCATTTCCCAATCAGGATAAGCAACAGGTATCATATTCCATAAACCACCAGCTTTACTTTGTGAATCTGATGTTAAACGAATATATCTGTCTGTAACTAATGTATTTCCGACTAAATGCCAATGTGAACTTCCTGTAGAAAATACTAAAAGAAAAAGAAAAACGAATAAAACAAAATTATTTAATTGAAAATATACCTCCTGGATACGGTCGATTAATACTATGTTCTCGAATTTCATATGAATTTGGAACTGAATCTTGATCTTGTTCATATGTATGTTGAATAAAAAGAATAATAACAAATGAGATAATCGAAGTAAAATACATCTGAGAAGAGGAAATCAATTTGTTTTTTTTTTGATTGTGATTAAATTACGTTGATCGTGAAGAAGTGATAACCGAAATGTAATGTATGTATTCGTACGAGGTGCACATTTGGAATAAATTGATTGGACGAAAATATTGATGATTGAGATTGATGAAAGAAATATTTTGAAATATAAATATGAGAAAAAATAAATTATTAACGAATGTTATGTTCATCTAAGAATAAAGAATAAAAATAAATTAAAATGAAATAATGAACGTCGACTATGGCGCTTAATTCTGATTGGTTCGGTCATCTATTCTAACTAGGAAATAAAGCAAGCGATTTGTTTCTATATATATATTTCAAAATTTACGCCATAACCATCATCGTTGAAATTGAGTCATTACAATATAACAGTCATTTACTCAACTATTCGTCTGTTTTTTTCTACAAATCTACTTATTGAATATCAAGTTACTTCGTACGACATTACTTCACTTCGTCAATGACAACGTAAATTACTTTTTTTTTAAAATAATCCTTTTTCATATTTGATACTTTTTAGTTAATAATTTTTAGAACTAAGCTTCTACATCTGCTTCAATTTGACAGATATTAAATGTTCTCATAGATAGACAAAAATTATCCATGTTTATTGTTACCACAAACTTAGTTTCATCTGAGATTTGCTTAGAAGAATAAGACAATTATTGAAAACTTAACTGTTCAGTTTCTGAAAGATACATGATCGAATGGAATATTCCCTATTGTTTTTGTGTAGCTCAACCAGAACGAGACAATCATTTTCAAACATAGACAGTATACATCATTCCCTTTTATAATGAACTATATTCAAAATATTCTTCTGAAGATGTTTTATTTCTTAGATGAATTATACATTCTTTTGTAGGTCTTGTAGATTTATTTTTATCAACCTCTCGAGTTGATAGTAAGAAGTTTCGATTAGAAAAAATAATACTAAATCGTTAAACTATTTTAGTCCAATTGTTTCGGTAATCGCTCTTATATACCGTGAAACATAGTGTCGAGGATCGAATCCTCATTAGCGAACTTCGAAAAAAAAAGAAATGATTTTCTATGATGACACACTAGATGACGAGTTGGAATAGTAGGATTTATCTTACTTTGACACAAAAAACGAGGCATTTGTCTGAGAAAATCCAATTATTTTTTTTATTTAAGATTTTAGTAAATATAAATTGATTATTTCTTTTTTCTAGATTATTTTTTCTTTCTGATGATGGACATTACTAATGGTTGGAATGAAACTATAAATTATCCTTCAGTAGTAAGTAAAATTTAATTATTTAAATCTGGATAACATTTAGAAATAATAGATTCATATTTATTACACGAACATTTTCTAGCTCAATACTCAATCTATCATCATCAATTACAACAATCCCCCATACGATCATGAAGGTATGCCGGTGGACCATTATTTTATAGAAATAATTCTTATATATATATAGGATGAATAAATTTTCTTTTTTTAGTATTTTAAGTTTAGATAAGACAGTATGATGTCTATAACTAAATCCAGTGTTGATTTAATGTCAGAAGAGGATCTTCTTCCTTTCTATTGAGAAATGGAATATTTGACAGCGAAAGAACAAGACGATTCTACAACAGTATTCTTCATCATAAACTGTTTAAGATCATTTATATTAATACAGGAAAACCAAACGTATGTAAAGTAATCAGAAGTCGGATACACTTAAGTTCCAAACAAACAGAAAAATCTGATAATTGTTTAGAGATTAGTAGAAGTTATACCAATAGAAAATCTTTCATTTATATCATATTTTCATCATTTGAATATCTTTTAGGATTATCAATCGCAAACGTTCGTTACGAAACATGATTTAGAATTATTACATAAAAAAATTATTGCAACTGAGTAAGTTTTTTTTTGAAAATATTCATAAAATCTATATAAAGAAAATTTTAGTTTAATTGTACAAAAATATCAAGATGCTAATAAAGCTTTATTAAGATTACAAGCCGAAAATGATGCTTTCAAACAACAAATTGAACAAGTTACAAAGTAAAATTATTAAGAAAAAAGAAATTTTGATATTTATCTGATATTTTTTTTCTCTAGTGAATGTTGTATATTTGGCAAACAAGTTACAGAATGTACACAAGAATGTGATAATTTAAAAGAAGTAATATTGTTTTTTTCACGTAAAAGTTTATTTTTATTCTATATTTTTAGCAAATTGAAATATTAAATGGTGAAAAGCGTGAATTACATCAACAATTACGTATATTACAAGATGAAAATACAAATAATTATCATGAAATTATGGTTTTAGTAAGTATTTAAAAGATAATTCATCTTGTTTCTTATTAATTAATATCTATCTTTTAGAAACAGTATGAATCATTAAAAGAAATAAATGATCAATTAACTAAAACAGTTGATCGACAACAAAAACAAGTATCGAAATTACAACTTCAAGCACAAAGACAATCATCTATTGTTTATAAGTATGAAATAGAATATTTTGAAATTAACAAAATAATTTTCTTTTTTTATATTTAGGCCAAATAAAACTAGTCAAGAACCATCAGAAACAGGTAGGAAAAGAAAAATATATTTATATATATATATTTTTTAAAAATTTTATGTTTAGAAATTGCATTAACCAGCTCAAAAAAATCAGTTCGTGAATTGAAATTAGCTCTTGGACGTTTAGTAAATTTTGTACAATTATCTAGTAAATATTTTAATCAAAATCAATAATTTCATATCTTTTCTTTTCTTTTCTTCTCTTCTAGAGATTGAAATTCCGACATCTCTGAATATTCGACCTGTTCTTAAAGCTCATGAAATAAATGACGGTAAGTTTAATAATATTTTCCTCTCTATTGTCTCATATCATTTTTATTTAGATTTTTTGGAGTTTGAAGGTATATTTATCCATAAACCAGTGAAAAGAAAAGTAAAGGTACGTATTTCAAAATAATCTTCGTTTATTTATCGTAAGTTATTTTATTTTTATTTTATAGAAACCGGTTGTTAGTCAAACTGAAGACAAGAATGATGATGATGATGATGATGACGATGATAACGGTGATTTTATTGATGTTACTGAAACAGTTCCAACTTCATCTGTAAATACAACAACTGCACCCGTAAATATTATTGAAGAAACTCCAGTACCATCAAGATCTTCTTCTCGTCAACAAGAAAAAAAGAAAGAAATTCCAAAAACAAAATCTAAAAAAAAACCTCCAGCAAAAAATCGTCGACAACCAGATCGATCCAAATCACTAGATTCACCTACAAAACTTGATGATCTTGCCAATGAACTTGCAATTGCTTTATCACAACCGAATCAAGAAGAACCTATTTCTCAATTATCTACTTTTCTTAGTGATGATGATGATGAAGATAAAACATTGAAGTCAGATAAGAAACAAGTACCAACAATTGTTTATAATCCTATGATTTTACAACCACAAATTAATCGTCCAAGAACAAGATCTACAATAGGATTAAAGACTAAATCACCAAAAACAATTTCAAAAAATATTTCATTTTTTAGCGACGATGATAATGAAGAAGCGATTCAAAACAAATTACCTCCAGTTTTATCTACTCATGAACAAATTAATTCTTCATTACTACAAGTCGACAGTATTACTCCAATGGAATATGATATACCAGATAAATCTACTAAATATATGTCTTGTCTCAGTGAAGATGATGACGATAATAAATCACTATCATCTACATCAACTTCAATTACCGTTCAGCAACCTATACATCAAGAATATATGCCTCGATTAGACTTAAATGAATCAAATATTAATAAAGATGACAATCAATCACAAGCATCAGTATTATCAACAATTCCTATATCTACAACCGATGTATTATCACAATCTTTATCATCTATTGAAGATTCACAACCTAATAAACAAGAAGAAACTGTTCAAGATGACAATAATCATACACAGCCAACGAATACACTTGATCCAAGTCATACTAAAATTGTTTTGCGTTTATTACATGTTTTAACACAACTACCTACAGCTTTCAAACCATTACGACCGATCCGTCGTCGTATTCAACAAAAAACAATGCCCGAAAAACATATTACTACATTAACTGAAGAAAACTCGGCTAATGAAACCATAGATACAACAGTTACCGAAATACCTGTAGATCTCGTTCGTGAAATAGAAGAACAAACCTGTACTATTACTAATGACTTACCAGAAAATCAGATATTTACAACAGTGGAAGAAAGCATCAATACAACTACTGATAATTTATTGGTAGATAGTGAAATGACACATCCTGCAGAAATAGATGTATTATCAAATAATTCACTGTCTATACCAATAGAAGAACAATCAGAACTAATTGAAGAAAACAAGATAACTATTGATAATTTACTGGCAAGTCAATCTTCTATAGAAGAGAATCATGTGACAATTATTGAAGATCTAAAAGATACACCTACAACTTCTGAACGAATAGAAGAAGAAGTCGATACAAGTATTCATAGTATATCCAATAATTTACTTTCCATACCAACAGAAGAACAATCACAATCGACTGAAGATAATAGGACAATAAAAAATGAAACATTGGAAGAGCACGTTTTTATACCAGACAAAGAACAAGTTAAACCTATTGAAAACATCAACAAAACAATTTGTGAAATAGATGAAAAATCTGCAATAATCAAAGAACCTTTGATAATGTCAACATCTCCAAAAACAACGGTAATAGAAATTTATCTTAATATTTCTTTTTTTAACAATTTTTTTTCTAGTCGTCTATCGAATCCATACAATTCAAACGACCGCTACCACCTCGTCCTGTTGTTGCTGTAGTCTTAGGTAAATAATAATTTCTATAATCCTCTTTAAAATATATCTTGTTTATTTAGCGAAACCACAACAATCTTTATTGAAACCTATTCAAATTTCAATTATTTCTCGTCTTCTCCATGTATTAACTAATCTACCTGTAAAACCTCTTAGTCTTCCGTTGCCATATCCTTCAGGAAAAAGAAAACGAAAATCTGTTACAAAAAAATCTTCTATTATTCCTACTCGTCAAACTTCGAATCCAGTACCTCCTCCTGCACCAATTCGAATGCAAACCCGATCATTAAATTCTATTCGCTCATGTATTGCACGTTGTAATCAACCGAAAACAATAACTAAAAAACGAACAGCAACTGAAATAATTTCCTCACCACCAAAACCATCAAAACGAATTAAATCAACAACTACACAACAAACTCACAATGAATATGATTTAATAATTAAATTTTTAAATTCATTTTCAAAAGAAATTAATAACGAATTAAGTCAATTTATTGAACAAAAACTAAATGATGATGTTTTATTATTAAATGATAATATCTATCGAATTATTAGTGAATTGTTGATTAATAAATGCAATATGATACTTCCATTTATTAAACAACTTCATCCTTATGAAGAATCAATTAAAATATTGTTAATCTATATTCATAGTAAATCATCAAGATTTCAACAATATTTTCTAACGAAATTAAATCAAACATTTGAATATGAAACAAAACAACCACAACAACAAATATCTCATAATCATATTGAAATTTTAAAGTAAGTGCAATTCATTATTAATCTGTAGATTTCCGAGAAAAAAACCCGTTAGCAAATACTGAAATAGAAAAAAACATCGCGTCTTTTGATATGTAGTTATTTTTAGACCTAAAACGCAATGTAGGGCATGTATTGAGTGTCATCAAGTGCAATATAGATGCATCACACCCCCGATAATAGCAAAATTTATTAATATATCTCTTCTTTTTTTAGTCGATTATTCTTTGTCAGTTGTTCGATATTTACATTGTCTTCATCTGTAACAATCTATGCTCGTTTATTCGATATAGGTTATTATTTCTCACATGATATTCTTATCAATACATTATCATTTATTTTAAATAATTGTTCATCATTAATATCAATTGATTGTCAAACGAAATCATCAAATATATTACTTCATCAAATATTATTTGATATATTACGAGAAAAAAAATTTAATATATCATATGAATATCTAGAAAATCTTTTTATTGTGTATCATCGATATACACATGATCAAGAAGATTTGCAACGTTGTTTTATATTGATATGTCGTTATCAAACATGGTTATGGTGTTCAAATGATTTATGTAGGAAATTTCTCTTTCCATTATTAAATCAAATCAATGAACAATATCAACAACGCGGAATTATTTTAAATATTTTACAATATATTTTATTTCTCTATAGAGATAATGAAGATTTTAAACAAGATATTATCTTTCATGATCAAATAAAACAACTACTATCATCATTAAAGACAATGAATAGTTCTGAATGTATTGTACGAGATAAAATTTTTTCCATTCTTCATACTTGTTGTTAAATAAATAAAAAAAGTCGATAGAAAATAAAACTAATCGAAAGAATGATTCACATAAACTATGAAATTTTTTTTTATTAATAGACCTGAAATAAATAGGTTATAAAATAGGATCTAAAAATAACCTATATTTTATCCGAAAAGTATAAAATTAAAATAGAAAGAGATAGGTGTGTCTAATGGGGTTATAACCCTTTTTTCATTTCACTTAAATTCAACATACGTTCATTTTCTCATCATTATTGATTTTCAAGTCAAATAACGATAGATTTTTTCTTATCTGAAGTGTCTATATAAAGTGAGAGGAATTTATATATAGTTATATTCATTTCAATATTTCTTATTTCTCTTAGTCAATTAAAGTAAATCACTAATAATAAACTGAACGGTGGAAACTTATATAGAATCTCTTTGGCATAGATTTTAATCGACAACAGTGATCTTATATATATATATATAGTATATTTAAATATCAATCAAATAAGTGTAAGATATTATCTTCATTAAATAATTTAAAATGAAAACAAATGTTCTTCAAGATACACAACGTATACTTAATCTTATTGCTAAACGTGATTTAGATGATGATGGTAAATTTTCCTATGCTATTGAAATTTCTTTGATTATCTATTATCTATTATTATTATAGAAAAGAAGCAATTAATTGATGAAACTGTGGAGAATTTTAATAGTTATATTAATCCAGGTTTTTTAAAATATCGAAAATCATTTTCATCGGATTATGTTGCAGGTAAATTTCTTTTTTTAAATATATTATTTAAATTATACATCTTTTTCCTTTTCTAGTGGAGTGGGCAGATAATGGGTCAACATTTACATGTGTAAAAGGTATTGAATATATTGATTGTTTAGGTGGATATGGTATTTATAAGTAAATCAATCATATCTTTTGTTTTAGCTTTGAATTATTTAATTTTTCTAGTGTTGGTCATCGTCATCCAAAAGTATTAAAAGCAGTGACTGATCAATTACAACGTCAAGCATTACATTCTCAAGAATTACTTGATCCATTACGTGGCTATTTAGCTAAAATTCTTGCTGAATTAACTCCAGGAAATTTAAAATATGCATTTTTTACAAATAGTGGTACAGAATCAGTTGAAGGTGCATTAAAAATGGCTATGCTTGCTACTGGACGTCGAACTATTGTTGCTGCTGTTGGAGGTTTTCATGGAAAAAGTTTAGGTGCTTTAAGTGGAACTTCAAAGTAAGAATATATATCTATTCATAAAAAAATCGAATCATGAAATTTTTTCTTAGAGCGGTATTTCGAAAAGCATTTATACCATCATTATTAAATATGCGACATATACCATTTAATGATTTAAATGCACTTGAACAAACATTATCTTGTCTTCAATTTACCGGTGATGATGCTGGTATGATTTTGTAATTTTAAATATTTTGATTGATTTAAATAAAATATATGTTTAGCTGCTGTTTTACTTGAACCAATACTTGGTGAAGGTGGAATTATTGTACCAAATGATGATTATTTTCCAGGTGTTCGACGTTTATGTGATAAATATGGTGTTTTATTAATAGCTGATGAAGTTCAAACTGGTATGGGACGAACAGGAAAAATGTTTTGTATTGAACATTGGGATGTTGAACCAGATATTATATGTTTAGGTAAAGCATTTGGTGGTGGCATTATGCCAGCAGGTAATTAAAAGATTTTTATTTGAAATCTTCAATTGTTTCTATTTTTCTTTCTTCTTTAAAGGTGCTTTTATTGGTTCAGAAAAATTATGGGCACCCATATTTAATAATCCATTTTTACATACAACAACATTTGGTGGTAATCCATTAGCATGTGCAGCAGCCATAGCAACAATTAATGTTTTACTCGAAGAACGTCTTTGTGAACGTGCAAAAACTATGGGTGATTTATTTTTAAATAAACTTAAATTAACTATTAAACCATATACACCACATATAGTAATTGATGCTCGTGGTAAAGGTTTAATGTTAGCATTAGAATTTGCTGATACAGATATTGGTTTTCGTGTTTCAAAAGGTTTATTTCGAGAAAAAATACTTGTTGCTGGTACATTAGTTAATGCAAAAACAATACGTATTGAACCGCCATTGACAATAACATTAGAACAGATTAATAATGTTATTAATGCATTAAATAAAGTATTAAAAGAAATTGCAAGTGAAATGAAACCTCAGTTAACAAATGAATTAATTAATAAAATCATACCATTGAATATTTTTCAACATACTGTACTTTCAAGACAATTGTAAATAAATAAACGAATACTTTTCTTTTGTAATTAGTTTCTGTTTTCTTTTGATTATAAATAAACTGTGGGTGTAGATGTAAGTATCTTATTATCTCTATATACACACCCACACCCACACCCTCAAGATTTGTAGAAGATATTTTTTTCATTTTACTTTTTGAATATAAATATAATATAGTTCCCGTGTCCCGAAGGAAACGGGAGTGGACCAAACTCAACGGCACTGCAGTGTCGAGATGATCCGTGGCACAGGTCCGAGTGAACTCGGGTGATCCTGACCGATGTCCAAAAATCCGCTTGAAAGAGCCTGGCCTCAATGAGACCAGCGCCGGCTTTCAAACCGACGAGAACAGATACTACACTTTGATCTTAGCCGAAAAGGCCGAGAAGCGATAACGAAATACACAAATTCAAGTTTCTTTTCTTTATCACGTCAGTACACATTTCGTTTTTTCATACAAGAGAAAGAAAGAGAATCAGTTATTCATTTTCGAGAATTTCCACATCATTCAGTATGAGTCATAGATGATGAACATTTGACAAGAACGAAAAAAAATACTATATAGCCTAAGAATAATAGTGGAGTGCACAATATTCGTTCCTGTTCTTTACGATTTTTGTCAATATCATGTTTTTATTTTTGATTTATAGAAAAATGTTGCTCTGGCAGACTAGTGTTACCACCAGTCCGCATTTTATCGTCATCGCAACATGTATTTGATCGAGAAAGATCTTTACCTCTTGGTAAGTTGTAATAAGCAACTTTTCTCGAAACCCCTGAAAGCTCGACATCTGCTTTGTCTTTGCATATATCATGTTAAGAGATAGAAAAGAAAGAATGAGATGTGTAAAGACAAAGTAGATGTCGTGCTCTGTAGACGATCAAGAAAAGTTGCTTATTACAAACTTACCAAGAGGTAAAGATCTCTCCCGATCAAATACATGTTGCGATGACGAAATTGTGCGGACTGGTGGTAACACTAGTCTGCCAGAGCAACACTTTTTCTTATAAAATTATCAAAAGAAAGCATATCAATTACTGTCATTATTTGCCTATATGTTTTAATATGCAGATTACTGTGAAAAATATTTTTACGAGACGACGTTGTCAATAAAGACAAAATATTGTTTATATCTAAAAAAGTACATTGTTGTGGAATTTGCAAGTAGATGTTAATTATTTTACTAATTCTAAATGATATCCATCGATCATATCTTCGATTTATTTCTGAAGAGAAGCTTTTTAGATTAAAAATAATGAAAATTAAGTATACTTGAATATTAGAAAAGAATAGTGAAAATGATATAATGAAGAAGAGTTTTGTTGATTTATAAACAGAAACTATTTG